GCCCATGAATGAGCAGCAGAGCAGACAGAACGGTAGCAGTTGTTCGCTCACCTCGTGCTTTGGAACATCGAGTCCATCCCAAAGTCGGACGCCGGTCCGCGCGAAAAGACATGGTTCATCTTCGCTTTCGTCGGCACTACAGGAGGTTCGTCTTGCCGTTGGGATCCGGCCGGGGCATTCTGGAACGGAGATGCACATAAGCCACCATTCCTAGCAAAGCAAAGGTCATCTGTATCACCCACATTGGATTGAGAAGCGGACTATGAGGAGATCTGTTAGACAAAGCGGAAAAGACGACGAATCATGTGTCAGGTTCTCACCATGAGGTATCCCGGCTGGTAGTGGCTCCGCGGTTGGGCGAGTGCATCGGTGAAGGAGTTTGACAATGAGCCACCAGGATTCGCTCCGCCCCACGTGTTCAGGTTCTGGCCGTGGTTGTGCGACTGGCCGAGTTGGGACGTGGATGCCATACCGGCCACAGAGAAGCCTAATGGAGAGGAGGGCATGAGCGGTTTACACGGCGCGACGCGTCGTGGTTTTTGGTGGGGAAAGAGAAGTGAAGCAGGGCGTGTCCGTGTCTGGGGTTAGGGTTCGACGCAGCATATTGTTGTTTTTCGCTCCTCACATTTACCTGGCATCGTATCTGTCTGAAGTCGCAGAAGACTTTGTTATGGACATGGACATGGACCTGGACATGGAAGTCGAAGTGTCATCCGCCCCGTCTCGACTTCCTCAACCCTTCGACGAATCAGTGGATGTGGTCCTCGATCGACTTCAGACCTTCCCTCCCCACTTACGGCGCAAAACACAGTATAACGAACACGCGCCAGGACATGGGATCGTTGCTGCTGAATTTCTCGTTGTGAAGCTGGAGGGCCAGTCGAGAGCGCACATGGTCAGCGCCGTGAAACGCAGGATTATCGACACCGAGCCTGGGCACGTCTTGGATTCGACCGTTCCACCTGGCTGTGGGTGCCCGTCACCTTTCTTCAGGAATAGGACTGACCAGGTCTCCAGACCATCGCAAGAAGTTTATGTCAATGGCGCGCGCGGAAGCACACGCCTCTCAGACTCTATTGTATATGGACGAGATCGGGTCATCACACTGAAGATGACAGACTCAAGTCGCTCGTCTCGGGCCCGTCGTATCTCCTTGGAAGCAGGCATCTCCGGACGCCCGCCCCAACACGTCTCGAAAACGCATGAGGACGACAGTCGTACACATCAAGTTTTTCAGCGGCATTGGAGTTGCCCCTCCCTCATGAGGTCACCGGATCCTTCATCGGCAGTTGGCCTCTCTCGTGCTTCTGCTCGCTTATCCATCTCACGCTTCACCCGTCCCCTCTCCCTTTACGACACTGCGCCTACTAGCTATCGGGCACGCGGGAGGTTTACAAGCTACGGGAATATATGATCGCTCGGCCTGGAAAAGATCGTCCGGGCTTTACGACGCAAATAATGAGCTTTGTCGGAGAGCTTGCCGCCGAAACCAGCGCTCGGAGTCCGGAAAGACTTTGGAACGCAGCGTAACGTCCGCGCCGAATCGTATGAACGCTGCAAGACGGGCAGTCACGTACTCTTCGTCTCGTGCTTTTCCGCAACACACGTTACGGCCCAGGATACCTCAAGTCAATGTACTTGGTGAACATCGCAACGCTCCGCTCCTTCCGCCCATGGCCACTGCGTCCCCGTTCGTTCTGCTTCTCGGTCAAACGACAAGCCTCACGATCAGATGCTAGCACCAGATTACCTAGTCGAGAGAGGGTGAGAAGCCCATTCGGTCCTTCTGTCCAGCCGCGATGTGCCCAGCACGAAGATCAAATGCCGATGGTCAGGATCCGAGCGGCCACTGGCGGCGTACGGAAGAGGGACGTTAGTGGCATAGGTTCTGTGGGAGGAGCTTGGCGATGCTCACTCAAGATGTCGGGCACCGAAACAGTCGGGCAGCTTCAAGACGTAACACCCTTGCCCAAGCTTTTCGCCTTCGATGACAACGTATATGCCAGCTACAGCCTCTGCCTTCTCGGGTTCTATCTTCTTACCCGCGCTCGAGGCGAATCCTCCCTGCACTCACATGTGTCCGTTCGTCCTACCATGACATTCCTGGGTCAAGAGAACCAAAACTTCGTCGCCGCTTGCATCCTACCTACGGTTTCGATAACGCATGGACTCAGACAAGATCCCTCCTTCTCTGTGTGGTGCGCTTGAATTCCTAGAAACCGCCAACCGTATTCAGCGAATGCGGATGGTACAGAATGAACCACTCCGAACGCAAGACAGATGAATGTCTGCTTATATTCCCTGTGCCTCGGAACTCGGCCGAGGGACTTGCTGCAGTCGACGCGTCAGCCAAAGCATGGTGCCACGGAGGAGACATCCATCGCACGCCGTACCCAACCAACTCTCCGATACGATGCACGAGCCCTGGCACCCCGGGCACAAACTGAAAGTCAATCCGATCGAGGCGATTAGCCCAGGGAACATTTCATGCGACAAATCCTGCGTATCAGGCATGACTGATGTTCGTCGGAGCGCACTTGAGACACGATGGGTGAAGACTCGGAGTCGGGGGTTTTGCTCAAGCACGTTCCGGTGGCACTTCGGAATCTCTCTGCGACACTGGCGGACTCAGTTGTCGGGGACGTGGTTCTCTTCATGTCATATCGAGGCTTGGGCGCACGGAATCGAGCACGAAGCAACGCTGCAATAGCTAAGTATAATCTAGAGGAGTTATAATACACAGTACACTACACAGAGCCTATATGTGCCACAGCCTATATACACGTACGAAACACACAGAGCTACCAATACAGGAGATAGAAACACACCGGAGCTAATCTTCAAATGTACAGTGTACAAGCGAGAGCAGTGTCTACAGCCCGCCGTTCGATGCGAAGTCCAGGAACTTGTTCCAGTTAATACTGTCGCGAGTAGAGTCGTTCATAGGAACGGGCACCCCAGGGAAGAAGACCTGAGGCTCATGCGCCGTCTCGTAGTTGAGTGCCGGCGGATCCAGGAGCGATTCCAGAAACGGAGGGATGGAGTGCTTATCGAGCAGATGGGACATCCCATCGGAGCCCAGGCGCCTCAAGCCGGGATCGAAAATCGCGGGGTCGAAGGGAGAGATGTCGGCCTCCGCGTGGTAGACCGCGACATCGGGACTGAGGAATGGGAGCTGGAGCTGATGAGCCATCGGCCAGGTAAGAGGGAGAGTCGGGGCTGAGAAACGCGATGAATTGGGGTGGGAACTCGAGGGAGGGGATGTCACGCCAAGGTAGCTCGAAGATGGTGAAGGCAGCGACGAAGAGCTCGAGGATGGGGAGGGGAGAGGGGACGGAATGGATACGGGCGAGAAGGAGGGGGAAGAGGGAGAGGAGGAGGAGGAGGAGGAGTCGATCTCTTCCGACTCTGTCAGCTGCAGGCCTGCAAGCTTGAGTCTATGCCTACGCGTCTTCTTGTGCCTGGAGAGCCCGGACGGGTCTGCTGTCCTGTAGCCACAAGAATCACAGCAGAATGGCTTCTGGTTCGTGCTGCCCGAGATGTCAGATATGCAGCAACGGCTGATGAAGTAAAAAATGGAACGGACTGGACGGAGCGATAGTGGGTCTGCAGATTTGACTTCTGTATCGTCTCGTAGGAACACCCAGGCTCCTGACAGCGCATTTTTATTTGCTTGCGCTCTGGATCAGGGAGATGGACAGGTTCGTGGCGCCTAAGATCGGAGGCCCGTTGCCAGCTCTTTCCGCATCCGGGATGGAGACAGATATGCTCGAGAGGAGGGTAGTGCATCGCCGATTTACTGCTCTTCTGGGTGGAGCTCTAAGGAGAAATATCAATAAATGATATCAAATTTGAAGATGCAGGAGAAGACTTACCATGGGCGACGTGCGCTGGGCAGCTCTAGAAGTAGTGGCTTTCGGCATACTTGGATCGCAGCACGATCGGCTAGAGGAAAGAGTGGGGCCGGGGGAGCGAAGAGACTGGGCCCCAGGCTTGCGTCCATGGCAGCTTTATACGCTATGCCACAGCCGAGGACGGTGCAGAAAGTGCGTCGAGGGAGCCAATCCATCAAAACAATCCTGAAAGATACCCACCTTGGAAATCAGTACTTGAGCCACCCAGAGTGATTGCCTGGCGAAATAGCCTTCTATGGTAAGTTTTGGCGAGGGGCTCCAGCGCATGGCGCTTTGCTGTAGGAGACAAAGGAGACAAAGGAATCACTGATGGAGAAGGCCACAGCGTGTCCACATTAGGATTGATCTCCGATGTCAATGTGATAAGATGAATGACGAGTATTACGGCATGGACGCACACATTGTCACGGGCCGTCGCTCTGCAGAAACTAACGCGGAGACGAAGAGTTGGTGAGATACGGGACAATCAAGCGGGATTTTCGGAGGAATGGGACATACAACCACCCTAATTGCATTTCAAATGAATGATCCAGTCACTGAGAAAAATGAGTCGGTCGAGTGCAAATACAACCTTGGTAAACAATGCCACGACGGCGGAGAGCACAGAATATCCATCCAGTTCCAGGCGCGTACTTTGTTTCTTCAGAGAGAAAATATGGTGGATCACAAGCGGATCATTTGGATTCACGTGTATGACACGGTCACCTGCTAAGTCGGCAGCCAGAAGTGACTCTGTCACGTCCGTCGGTCACGCTGGAAGCTCTCTGCAACTTTCGCGCCTTTGGCCCAGGGAAATCTGATGACACCCCAGCTCATCCCGGAGCGACCATTCTCCAAGAATCCTAAGTCATTTCCTTCCCCCTTCCACCGCTACACTGAGGGCATCCTAGTAGACATCATCTGCTCTCATAAGAAAGCTCGTGCGCTCAAATTGCTGTGCATGGTAGACTTTGTTGAAAGCGTCTTTCGATCACAGCTGCGTTCGATTTGCTCGGCATGTGCTGGTGTTGGGGCTCATGAGGTCGGGAAAGAAATCTTTTTGTTCTGAATCTGCAATTCCCGTCTCCGTTCGCGCCCAAATCTGCGCAGAAACTTTGCTAGTGCGCTCGATGAGTACGGATTGCTCCGGCTGCTCGAAGAGACGACCGCGAATAGCCCTCAGCTTCTCTGATTTCGACCAGGTACTTGGTATGGTCAACATGACACTGTTAATGAATGGAAGACGAGGTGTCCTCTGTGTTGTGCTCGTTTTTTTTGGCGCGCAAGACCAAAAGATTCGTAGAGAGCTTCGCCACCTATACAACTCAATCTGACCAAGAGACAGGACACAGGGGTTGCTGACCAGCTTCGCGGGACACCCCGACAAGGTGCATTCTGAGCTGCTAACCTGCTGTATGGCACGCGCATAGTAACAAGCAAATCGACGTTGGAGCCAGAGTCTAAGAGGAGCTCTAAGAGAGCTGTAGGCGATCATGACTCAGCGATAAGCTTCCGAGACGTTTCGGGCTTCCGTCGGGGAAGGAACTGGAGGAATGCCCGTAGCGGCAGTGGGATATTTTGTTGACCCGTCGTTAGATCAAATCCATACCAACGTTGCCCAGCGCAGGAAGCGACTGCCCACCCGACCATAATGGCGAAGTCGCTGAATGATGTGTAGAAACATAGAAGCGCTCTGGCTCAAAGTAATTCAAGTCGTAATGTATGAAAAAGCTCTGCTCGTCTTGTCGGGGAAAGAGGCCGGGAGCAAGCGGTGATAAGCGTAAGCGAATGGGGTACAAACACCGCAGACCATTTTCGTCTGATTTTCGTCATCCGCCATGATCCTGATGATGACTCCTCTCATTATTGGTCTCCTCTCCTTGCTCAGGAGCGCCATAAACCATCCAGAGATATCTCACCGATGCCCAAACTCGTGTCCACAGTCGTCGATTATCTCTCTCACCGCCAGCTCTCCCGATATTCGTCGCGCGTCGGTTTTCTAAGCTCGTCGGAGGCCACATCCCGTCAGTCGACACTCCCGACACGAGCCAACTCCCAGGATGGCGACGCAGTAGAACTACATCCAGTCTCCGAGAGTGGAGAGGTGGAACCTCAAGTGCCCGACCAGGACCCCGAGCTGCGGCTTCCGCCTTTGACGTCGGTGGGGATCATGCTGGGCTCGAATGCGTTGATGCAGGTGCGTTTCTTGAAGCTTCCCCCGAGAATCTGCCTCATCAGAATACTCTGAATATCCAGTTCGCGTTCTTCGTCACTGTCTCTTCCGCGGCGCTCTACGCTGAGCATCTGGGAGGGTCTGCGTTGTTCTCTGGTTTGACAATCGGTATCCCCACGGTATTCTCTGGCCTTGCTCTGATACCACTCACTCGATACGATGAGGGTTAGTCTCTCGTCAGGTTCTATTCTTCTGAGACACCAACGAGCTGACAGGTCGATACACCCGCCCGCTCATCGCCATTTACCTCTCCCTCTTTATCGGCAGCATCTTTCACGCGCTTGCGTACAAGGCCAACTTCCTCTACCTGATTCTCATTGGCCGCATCGTCGCTGGATTCGGATTCACAGGCTTTATGTATTCCAAGCGATACTGCTCGGGTACGTGCTCACGCTCTCACCCCTTGGCTTGCCTCTCATTCCTGCTCAGATCCCCGCATAATAGGTGTTCGTCGACGTACAACACTTGCGAGCTACTTGGTATTGGGGCAGGCTTTCGGTTTCAGCGCCGGCCCCTTCATCGGTGGTCTGTTGTACAAAGTGGGCTTCCCCAACGACGTTTTCAATGGATACACAAGGTGCGACTCGTAGAATGACTTGCTCCAATCCTCAACGGCCGACTAGTCCTGGCTGGGTCACCGCCTTTGTGACGCTTCTGTTCGCCACAGTCGCCTTGTGCCTGTTCCAAGACGTCGGCAAGCCACAGCAATCTGGGGCGGAGAACGGTGCTGCCGCCGATCCACCTCGGTCCGATGGATCCTTGAAGGACTTGACCCGCGAGCAGTGGGGTGTCATTGCCTCGATGTGCTGGACAGCGATGACATGCTTCTTCGTGCTCGGCTCGTGGGAGTCCAATATCCCGATCTTCACTGCCGTCAGCCTCGGCTACAGCCCCTACGCTGCAGGGAACTTCATCGCACTGGGTGGTGTCGCGACCTTGCCGTTCCTCCTGCTCAACATCCGGTTCGCGCCGCGATACCAAGATCGCTCGACGCTGGCTTTGGGTTCCGTCATCGGGACCTCCGGGCTCCTCCTTGCCCTCATCCTCCTCGCCACGGACAGGGTCGTCTTTGCCTCGCTCTTCATCTGCTGGTTCCTCGTCGCGCTCGGATTCAACATCGCGAGCACCTGCACGGTCAGTCTGCTGTCGAAGCAGCTTCCGAATGCGTACAACGGCCGGACGAGCCTTGCAGTCCAGTACAGCAACTACACTGGTCGGGTTACTGGTGCGATTCTGGGCGGTGCAGGGGTGCAGATGGGAATGAAAAGTTATGTCGGGGTGCAGCTTGCTGTCGTCGGAATCGGCGCTGTTCTGCATGCACTGAATTGGCAGAAGCTGAAGGCGAAGACGGGCTAAATCTTTTGTAGAAGTGGGATTAGTGACTTTGCATGTCTCATTCATATTCCCGACTGCGCATTTATCCAGCTAGTCGGACTAGATATCAAGAACTCGCTGTTTGTCCAAGTTTGGACGAAGATTCCGACGCACCACCTATCGCACCTCAGCTGGAGACCACCATCTCGCAACCATCTCATGGACGTCCCAGCACTCGCCTCCGATCCTGTTCAACCGGTGACCGACTGCACCTATTCGCGCGGGATGACAAACCTCGTCAACGGTGTAGTCAGATTCCTTGCGCATACAAAGAACCTCTGGCGTGTCGATCTGAACTCGAAGTTGCCAATCACGCTGGAGCAGGAATTCCGTCCTGGCGACATGTGGACTCGACTGACCCGCCTCGATATGAATGTGGCCACCACCTTCATCACCTGTGCAGCCCTGCTTCGCAACAGCCCTGTTCTGGATTCAGTGTGTTTTGGGGATGTCCGGGCATTCAATCCGTCGGTCTGGAGTAGCCGGGTCGCCACGCCTACGACGCATGGACTCGAGCTGCTGATCGTGCGGTTCGACATAGGCGCTGAGATCGACGAATTCTTCTCGCAGTTCTCCTTCCCTAATCTTTATTCCCTCGAAATGGATTTCAAGTACTGCGAGCGACGAACTCAATCGCCGACGCGCAGATGCCGCGCCGCCCTGACCTGGCTGCGCGACAACGCTCCTGGGCTACCGCTCGCCAAGCTGATCTTACGTCGCATCGCGTTCGACCTCGACGACTTGGTGTATCTGGCTGAATGTTTTGCCAACACCCTCGCATCGCTGCGCCTCATTCATGTGTGTGCCCCGACGTTGCTCGAATTGCTGACGGCGCGCGACGATCCGTCAGGCTGCATCTCGCTGCCCCTGCTCCGCCACCTGTTCTACCGGTGCAATTTGGAGGCGCACGATGAGGCTTGCGCTGTCCGCAACGTGCTCGAGAGCCTTGGTCCTCCTTCCCATCCGGCGTTTCCCAGTCTGGTAGATTTCCAGTGCGAGCTGATTGATTCGAAGCATACGGGCTGCTTTGACGATCAATTCTGCGAAGTCGTGGGCAGGTTCAAGTCTCGATTGCGATGCAAAGTCTTGACGCTCTTGACGCCCTTGACGCCCTATTGAGTTTTACTGCGGCGGTTTATGTAAATCAACTCAATTCAGATGTGTCCGTCGTTTTGCAATTGCAATATACCTTGAGGAACGTTGTGGAATCGAAAGGATGTTCCGATGCCGACTGGTCGAGCTCATGCGAGCGTTCACTTCTTCAATTGGGTCTCGATGTGCTGGAAGAAATCGCCAGGTTGGTGCGCTAGAATGTGTACCACGCCGGCCGATTTGTTCAGAGCTGCTTGAAATTACAGCACATGCTGTACAAAGATACTAATGGAGATTGGATTACAGGCGATCGATTCGTATAATAATACCTATTACAACACCTGGCTAAATATTATTCGGCTGAAGTACCGAGAGATCACGCGATATCCAGAGCTACATCTGCCTGCCAGACATCGTCGAAGGTGTTATGCAAGCCCACCAGGAACAGATGGTCGAATTTCACACAGTTCGCGGAGAACATGAACCCCTGTGCTGTTGGCGCTTCGAATTGACATTTCTAGATAATGTATGTGAGTACGCGTTGCCGAAGAAATTGACGCGGAACACACCTCAACAAAGCGACCGAAGTTGAGGGCGATTTGTACAGCCAACTCAATTCGAGTGAGGGGGACACCGTTTGAGTGGACCACGGGAATCGTCCGGCACCATTCAACGTGCGTGTATCCAGGCCACTGGGAGACGGATTAGAAAATGCTGGGAGATGGATTTCAATCACTCACGAGGATTCGCAAAATCACTCTCTGCAAGCCTGTCTGGGACAAGGCGGCCTCGCCCGCGCCAGCCATGGGCATCCCGACTCCGCGCAGTCTGAGCTCGTGCATCTGGACGCCTTGTCTGGCGCTTCCGGGAACATCGAAGGACACAGGAGCGTGGATGCCCCTGCCGGTCGCAGCCTTGAACTGATTTCCCGGGGTGTAGGGCGTGAACGGGACGCGGCGGCGGGTTTGGGAGGTGAAGGACATTGCGTGGACGCTGTGTGTGTGCTTGCTTTCTGGAGCATAGTATCTGAGCTCGAGCTACCGCTTAAATAAATGGTGAGAGTCGCAATGCGCGCGCGCCGTGTCTTGGACGGCGGGGCGGGGGACACATAGGGAACGGATTCTGCAATGCGTCGAGCAGCGGCTTGGACATAGGGATCATTCTGATGGGAATTTGGATAAAGGCGATTGGGAGGCGTGATCCCTTTCTGCAGTGCACGACAAAGGGCGATCTACTTTCCTCATGCGGATGACACATGTTGGACAAAGCCACATCGCTGATGGGGTCTGAGAACAAAGGGCTGCGTTGCTGGGCCGTGATGGAGGCACAAAGGGAACAATTAAAGACACGGGTTCGACTTTTTGCCAGCTTCTAGTGACATCATGCTGTTGCGACACGTCAAATTCAGAGCTCGTTCTTCAGTGTCGCGCTTGGCAATTATGCACGTGATCGTGTCCTTCCATCACAGCCACCTTTTGATGCTTGACTGGTTACTTCATTTACAATCTTTTACATGTATGCTCCGCCGTCTACGATGTACGTTTGACCGGTGATGTAATCGGCACCATCGCTCGCCAGGAAGCTCACCAAGTTGGCGACATCCTCTGGCACGCTCAGCCGTGGCAACGCAATGAGGTCTCGCCCCGTCTTGCGCATGGCATCGCCCTTCTTGGCAGCACTGTCGCCCTCGTACTCGCGCATCTTCGCGTCGATGACGTCCCACATGTCCGTGTCGACGATCCCCGGCGCGTACGCGTTGACCGTGATCCCGCGCTTCGCCAGCTCCACCGCCCAGCCCTGCGTCAGCGCGCGGACGGCGAACTTGGACATCGCATACGGCCCCAGCATGCTCCACGCGCGGAACGCCGCGATGCTCGCGGCGGCGATCAGCTTCCCCTGCGTGCCCTGGGACAGGATCTGCCGCGCGGCGGACCGGTGGCAGTTGTGCACACCCACGAGGTTGACGTTCATCATGTGCCGGATGTCATCCGCCGAGGTGTCCAGAAGCGACTTGACCTGCACGATCCCTGCGTTCGAGATCATCGTCGACAGCGGCCCGAGGGCTTCCACGGACGACGCCACCAGCGCGTCGACGGCCGCCGCGTCCGTCACGTCCGCTGCGAAGCCGTGCGCGGCGCGCCCCAGCCCGCGGATCTCCGAGACGACGCTGTCGATAGACGGCTGCAGGGACGGCAGGTCGTTCACTGTCACGTCGTAGCCGTCCCGAGCGAGGCGCAGAGCGATGGCCTTGCCGATCCCGCGCCCGGCGCCCGTGACGATGACTGTGCGCTGCGGCGCGGCCGCGGACGACGAGGACAGGAAGCGCTGGACCGCGGTCCTAGCGGGGGACCGGCGAGCTGCGCTGCGGGCGAGTGGGAGGATGGATTGCATGGGCCGTGGTGGTGGTGGGTGTTGTATTTGGGGTGCTTTTAACCCGGTAGAGCGTCTTCCACGGCGTGTGAATGATCGTGCCCCGTTCACGTACCAGAGCCCGCACCCGTCACTCGTGACCTTGGCCTCGTGAGCTAGTATCAAGGCGACGTATTGGAATCCGGCTGCAGGTTCTACCAGGCTCTTCATACGCGGTGACACTGAACAGAGAAGATATCAGAGCCTTGCTGCGGGTGTTAGGACCGCGCGAGGACCGAGAGCTACGCTCTTTTTGCACAGTCAGGAGGCCAGCCCTGCCGACGAAGCTCCAGTGTCCTCGAGCAAAGCATGGCGGTGACGCCTCCAATCTGCGACCAGTTTCGTCGGCTCTGCATGCATGGCTCGAGCGTTTCAAGGCGAGGAAGACAGAGCCGATGAGAACTGTCTCTGCTCTTCACGATGATCTAATATTTCTAGCGATTGCGCCTGAGTGTGAGAAATAAGGGCTAGGATGTTACCCCACACCTCAGGTGACTGCAACCCCAGATTCTCCAGCTTCACGCTTCTGAGCCACGTAGCGCTTCTGGAAGCCAAGTCGACCGGCGAGCGCAAGTCGGATCACAGAAGACTGTTGACGAACGGCTGAATTCTGCACACTGCCGAACGCGAGTGTCAGGCAGTCGAGGGACGGGAGGATGAGGCCGGGATGGCATCTTCGTGGAAATACGACAGACGACGGTGTATGAGTGCGGAAATAGAGAGGATCTCCAATCGCGGGAATGAGATATGCGCAGTACATCTTCCATCTCTCCGCGGCACGGTAGAAGTCGCACGCGCGCGCAACTCCCGACGCAAGAAGCTATGTATCTACGTTGCCGCGAAGCCGGAGCGCGCAGATCCGCCTGCAACTATGTACCGTTTTCTTCTGCCACCTGCGGTCCGGCGGAAGCTCGCCGTGCACAGACTCCCGCAGGCGATTTCCTCGTTACATACAGTATGCTGACTGCCTGCCCGGGATTCCGAATACGATCCGTTGCGGTGCGCGTTGGTGTCGGGCTGGGGGTACAGTACGCTCAGTGCGCGGCGGACGCCCTTGAGCAAGTGCGATCTGCCTTTGCGCTGCTGAAGCGATCGAGAGATCTGCCCCCCGCTCTTCACACTTCGCCTACTGAATCACGTCGACGGGAGGACATCTGGAACCCGGCGGCGAGCCGGACGGGGAATGGAAGTCCGATGAGGCTGCGGGGGCTGGTTATCTCGGCCAGGACCCGTTCGTGGCGTTGATTGAGGTAAGTACGCGAGGATGGTGGACCGCGCGCGAGGCCCGAGCTCGTTCAGACTCGCTCCGAGGAGTGTCTGCATTTGAAGAGCTCATTTTACGGAGGGATTTTTCCTTATGCTGGAGAGGACATTCGGAGGAATCGATTGCGTGGTGCGTGAGGAAGCAAGAAAGACAAGTGACTTCAAATCAGGCTGCATATGTGTGTGTGCGCTCAGTAGTCCAAGCCTATGGTTAGGGTTATACAGCTGTTTTCCAGACTCAAGAACGCCGTTAGCCACCAGGCAATCAAATACATAAATGGACACACACAGATTTGCACCTCCAATGCTTTCCCTACCAGCTGCCAAAAATGTTCAGCAAGTGAACGACAGGAGACGGGTGCCTGAGCATCGCCAACAAGACCTCATTTTCAAAACCGTCGCTTGCTTTCGTCCTCCCTTTTCCTCCGCTCGTTTCTCCTCTGAGGACCGGACGATGAGAGTCTTTGCCCACCTCACGCTCGTTTTCACTGTCCCTACTGTGCTGGTCTCCGGCTACGGAACCCCGACGCGCAGAGCCCCTGATCCCCGCGCGTTGGAGCCCTATACGAACGCGAGGCGGATGGCTCTGGGGCTGCCGCCATTACGGCCACACCGACGAGGTGCGTCATATCCGTTTATCCTCGCCATCGTGCTTACGGATCCATCACCAGAGCATGCTGCCCCTCGCCAGGCTGAACAGTCCGACAGTCCTCCTCACCCGTGATCTCGTCAGCGCCGGACTTTCCTCCGTCCCCGCTTATCCCGAGGCCAGGACGACGTGCACAATCAGGCTTACGACGCTGGACGGCGCGGACATGGGTTATGTGATGGACGCCGGGTGTGGCCCGCAGACGGCCTGTTCGGCTGGAGCCAGGATGTCGGGACGCCGCTCCAGCTCACTTTCACGCCCGGCACCGGGACTCAGGGCGGGTCCGTCGACTTTTCGCTGAGCCAGTTCCCGGTCGGTTACTACCCGTACGTCGGCGCAGGTGCGTTTCGGACGAAGCGGCGGGTTGTCTGGCTGCTTGTTGATCGCTGATTTGGAAGGGTAGTGGTTGGTATGCAGTTGAAGCCTCGCAGGGGACTCAGATGGGGGTGGGCTCCGCCAAGTAGCACCGCACTACATCGAGAGCCGGATCTGGCTGTACGACCCGAGCGACCAGTCGATTATGCCGCGATGAGACAACAGCGATGGGTCGGGGTGGGTGCCCTGCATCATTCTCGTACCCGGAGGAAGCGATCGTATGTCTTTCCTCCTAGTACGTCCGTTCGAATAGCTGCGGATGTTGATTGGCTTCGTCAGCCGCTTTGAGCCCAAATTCGATCATCTTCACCGGCAGCTCGGGCGCATTCCATTCTGTGTTCGATCCGGGATTCGCGTGGCCGGACATGGTGCGTCGTCGCTTTGGCCCGCCTCCGGGTACTACTGAGGCTGACTTGTGCCGATACCCGCAGATCATGAGCTGTGAGCCCGTCACGGCGGCTGCGCCATAAATAGACGACTGTATGTATCTTCATCTCCTCGGTCGGGGGATATCACAGGCATTGCGCTCGGGCTCTGTTCGGGGATGTTGTGTTCTGCTCTGTCATTAGGGGTCGATAGAAATTCACGAGCCGGAGTGGTTGCTTACAAACGAGTCATGCCCCAATGGCGTGCCGCATTATTCAGGCTCAGGCTCAGACGCGATTTCGATCTACACGTAAGGTATGGGCCACTGGCATGTGCGCGGCTCCTTGGTCGTATCGTACACGGATAGATACGGATAGTCTTCGGGACAGGCGTTCGGACCGAGGGACCGATCCGGGATCTGCCGACGCTTGGGTTGACGGCTTACGTCAAACTGCGAGCGAAGTATCCTTGATCCGCTGCAAAATCGGATGCTTCTATTGTTGCCATCATGTCGATGACGTGTCACTCAGACCAGGCTTGGACAGGCCCGAGCAACAGAGCCCGACAGAGCTCAGGCTGAGATGCGCTGGCAGGCCATCCGCTTTGTATCGTCCTCCCAGCAGTGATAGATTTCACAGGTTGCCCGATTCCGCACCCACATGTAATGGGTCAGCATGATTTGAAAGGCATCTTGGGAGCGTACAGAAGCTGACGAAGAGATCTCCGCACATCTTCGCTTGCTCCTGGCCGACGGCAAATCGCGCAGATTGATCGGACAAACCTTGTGCCCGCTGCGCGTACCTGCCCAGTTGGCGCCGCACATCTCCAAACGACTTTTCCCACTCGATGTCAGGGCGCAGCACTGGGTGTGTGTGTGTGTGCGCCCCATGGGAGCGCCGCGGGGCGCTGGGCAGACGATTCCGGGTGGTCCAAGCGCGAGACGGATCCGACGCGTGCAGTGATCGTCGCGTCGGCGCACGGATCACCCGCCTTTATCACCCATCAGCTGTGCCTTGTCGCGTCATTTTAACAACGCACTCCCTGCAGCGTTCCTCTTCATTCGTCCATCTCTCTCTCTCCCCTTCCGTCTGCGCCCATGCCGCAGTCCGACGAGAGCGTCTCCGAAGATTCTATCGGCGAGCCACCCGTCGCCGACTTTCTGTGCGTTTCCTGCCTATGCACTCGGAGCGGCGGCTCGCTAAGTTGCTGTTTTGTGGAATCAGCGAGTCACGGAAGGACATGCAGAGGGCGAAAACCAGGGCGCGTATGGTGCGGTGCGTCCCTCTCTGCACGACTCATCCCCGTCCGCCCGCGATCTGAGGAGCGCACCGTCCAGGCTGCGCCAACGCGTGAAGCAGCTCCCGCCGGACGAGCAGGAGGCCGTCAAGGCACGTGCCAGAGCCGCACGCGCGCGGTACCGAGCCAAGTGCGTCTCCGTCTCACTCATCCCGTGCTGGCAGTGCATCGATCACACGCGCTCACGCTCAACCGTCCCCGTGCAGCCACCCGAGGAGCGCCTCGGCCAGGGACCCAGACTCTGCCCCGCCCGAAGACTCGCCCCCACCGCCGCCGGCTGCGGCATTGGTGTCAGCATCAATCGCGTCCACGAGCGGGCCCCGGACATGTCTGGTGCCGTCCCCCGCGTCCCAGCCACCCCCGCTGATCGCATCAGCATCATCCGTGTCGTATTTCCGCGCCCGACGCGACGGGTGGAGAAGCGACAGCAGCAGCCCCGCCGCCGCAGCCGCCGCTTCGTGCCCCCAGTCTAGGTCTCCGCTTCTGGCTCTGCCTCCGCCCCCGCTGCAGTTGCAATCGCAATCGCAATTGCAGCGACGCCCGCCGCCGCACGACGGCGCGCACACCCCTACGTACGTCCGTCTCCCGGCTGCAAGCGCCGCCGCTTACCCCGCGACGCCCGCAGATACGCGAACCTGCCGCCGGAAGACGAAGCGGAGTACTTCGCGTGGCTCCGCGCGGGGCGGGGATAACAGAGGGTCTGCTGGGAACTTGGTTCCGCTGCCCCTGCCGACTGCTGCTTGCTGCCCCTGCTGCCTCTGCTGCCTGTGCCCGCGATGTATTTTTAGTTTCTGCTGTATTTTTATCGGGTCGATCGCTGCGCAGCGAGCATCGGCGCCAAGAGATCGCAGTACCGCAGATTGAACCTCCGGTGCGAGAGCGAGGATTCGAGCTTCGGAGGGATGGGAGGGTAGTAGACACACCCGTGTAAAAATAACCGATGACATAATATGCCGATGATCTCGACATCTTGCCTGTGAGGCTGGGGGAGATTATTCATCTTCCTCGATCTTTTCGGAAAATTACAGTACTGACACAATTGCTTACTCGCATTTCTGTTTCAGTAATTCCCGACCTGTCGGCCGAAGGAGCCCGAAGCTCGGCAATGTTGTTTCTGAGCTGAGGGATATATACGATGCGTGTGACAAAAAGGGATGTGCGACTTATTGCCGAAATGGGCCCCCGGCTACTTACTACGCAAATCCAGGCCCGAAAATGGCCATCCCTCAGTCTAAACAATAGCGAAAATCAGGCCGGAACACCAAACCTCAGGCTGACATTGTGCGAATCGCGGGCTCACACCCCTTTTCTTTCACAGTTGCTGTACTCGAGTGCCAGAGGAGAGTCAAAATCAGGTCACTCGCCCCTCAGCCTGAGAGAGGACGAAATTATACTAAAATTTGCTCATGACATTGCAAACAGCTCCAAAGTTATCCAAATATAGGCGAGGCTCAGTCCGGAGAAAGTGCCTCGACTGTGGTCGACATGGTTAGCACAAATCAACGCTCAGACAGCTGATTTGGTAGTGCAGATCAACAGCTTGGGGCAGACTGCCTAGTAGGGAGTAGCCGGGGGACCTGCCGGGGATCCGGGCAAAATTAAATCCAGTGACATCGATGAAGCGCGCGGCAGCGACCACGGCTCACGGAGAAGGACATAAATCAGATGACCATGACGCAGAGGTTCCACATGCCAGTGGGAAATAAGACCCAGAGAAGAGTGAGATGATCGGCGGAGAGCCGGATACACAGCCAGCCAGCCTAGTGCGTATATATGCATGTTTAAAATAAGCAACAGTAGATCCGGCCCGATGTACATTAGATGATGTCTCAGGATGGGTATGCCGATAATAACAATAAAGAGGGCCTCACAGGCGCTTCTGGTGCAAAGCCTCTAGTGCTGCTGACGTTCGCATGTGCAGGGCATTCTGAGGAAGCGATGCGTAAAAATGGCCTTGCAAAGGTAAAAAGAAAACGAAAACGAACCTCTAGGCTGTACTTTCCCTTCTTCCCGGACGCCCCAACCTCCAGATATTTCCCTGCGGAGCCTGAGTGGTAGAAAAAAAAACTGAGCGCGGAGCGCGACTCACCCGACATCACAAGCTCCAGATGTGTCCTGGCCTCGGATTCGTTGTCCATGCACGCCAGCAGACGGCCATACTCGTAATCTGACGACGATATCAGACCCCGGCAAGCACACACGGCAGACCACTCACGGGCGTGATACACAATCCAGTGATCCAGCTCTATCTTTGGCCCGTGCTCGAACACAGCTTCGAATGCCCGTTTCGAGCCCGCGGCGGCTTCGTCGGGCGTCATGAGCGGCGTTTCAGCTGGATCCCGGATCGCGTCGGGGTCCTGTTGGTCATCGTCATCGTCAGCCAGCGTCACTGGGAACTATTTATAGGGCAGCCACGCACCGGATACGCTACATATCGCAAGCAAACACCTTCGAGGAACCGCGCCAGACACAGATCATCTGCGTATCCAACGTTCTTCTCCGATTCCGGCTTGTCGAGCTCGACGAGCTGCGCCCGGACTTCGGGGAGCATCTTGCCTTCGACGACGTTTCTCGGTGCCCGGGAGATGGAGAGGAAGAAATACCCCAGCTCCAAGACGGGCAGCGCAAGCCGACCAGACTGTGCCGTGTATTTTCGGGCTTTTCGGGCCACGAATTTCTGGCGTGGGGTGTGAAATCGGGCTCAATAAACAGGAAATGAAATATAAATCCAACCTCTAGCGGTATGCTCTTTCCTGCGATTTTTTGCCTCGACGTGGGCACCTTCTCCATTAGCGCGGAGACCTCTTTGAGCCGCTTCTCCCGATCTTCCGCGCTTTCATCGAACGGTCTGGGCTCGAGAAGCGATACTGCGAGTCCGTAAGAGTAGATCGCTTTGCTCCACTTCGGCGGTTCAGCAAACGAGAGGCGCAATTTTCATCAGAACTCACTGAGGCTTCCTTTTCGAGGATCCGCCAGCAGCCTTCGCTCCCATCAAACATGAACCCGTCGCTCTTCTCATTCACTCCACTGGCAACATGCCCTAATGCGAATCCCGCAATGGCCATCTCCCAAAATGAGACATGGTGCAGATTGCGATACTGCGTCTGCACCTGCATAGCCCGGGTGTGGTGCTCGATCGCCTTGCGGGGCTGCGACTGCGCCAGCGCGAGCCGCCCCGCAGCGAACAGAAACAGCACGCCGTCGGGGTAGCGCTTGAGGTTCCACCGCACGATGCGCTCCGCCATGTGCACATCGACGCCGTCGAACGTCACCGTGCTCAGCACCAGGTGGAAGATCAGCAGCGCAAGATCGCAGATCGCGCGCCGCACGCCCTCGTCCTGCGTCGAGACCAGCGGCTCGTCGGCCTTGCCCCACCCGCCCGCGCGTGCAAGCATGTCGAGCCCCTCCTTGCGGTCCGCGTGGTACCCGAAGAGCTCGACGAGGTTCAGCAGCCGCCCGGGGAGCAGCGAGAGGATGAGGGTGCTCATCCCCGCGCCGAGGTACACCCCGGAGCGGAAGTGCGCGTCGATGGCCGGCGACTCGGGCCCGTGTCCGCGGTCGACGAGCGGCCCTGGGGGCGCGGAAGCGGCGTATTCGGCGTCCGCGGTTTGGATGTATTTGTAGAGCGTTCGGTATATCGACACGATCGTGCGCATGTTCAGCCTGCGGGCCCTAGATGGGGTGAGGGATCCAGGCTTCCAAAGAAGACACGCACGCTTCCTTGATGAACGCGAGCCAATCGCCCGAGTACACGATCCCGAGCAGCGCCTTCTCGAAGAGACTCTCCGCGTACACCAGCTCCGCGTGCCGCTCCACGTCCGTCATGCCCTTGATCCAGCCCACGCCGGTCGTGTTCAGCGACGAGACGACGTAGCCCGCGAGCCGGCTCGTCAGCGCCGGAGCGCGTTTCCGGTGCTGGGCCGCGATCAGGTTCCCTTGCTTCGTGTGTCCGAGGGCCGAGAGGAGGTCGTCGTCGGCGTACGACATGAGCGCCTTGACACATTGAATGAGGCCGTATCCCGTCGCGAAGTACAGCCGCTGCCTGGACGATGGGTTCAACGACGCTCACACCCACATAAACAAACCAAGCACAAGGCCTTTTTGACACAGGGGTTGGGATGGGCAGACGGGCAGCGGGGGACGTACTTCTCTTTGTCGCTCTCGTTGCAGTACTCCTCCGCCTCGATCATCTGGCTCGCGAGGAACGTGTCGAGTGCGTACCCGACGCCGGGAAGGTCCGCGAGGGCGTCCGCGGGCTTGTACGGCCGCTTGACGGGGGGCGGGGCGGTGTACAGCCGCGCATACGACGGGGAGGCCGGAGCGGGAGTAGCAGCAGCAGCAGCCATCGTCCAGGGTGGGGGGGTGAGTGGGGTAGGGAAGCGGGTCGCTGATGGTCGACGACACCCGTTGACAGAGTTGGTGGGTCAGAAGAGTGATGACGATGATGAGAATTTGGCACGTGCGATCGGGCCGAGGGTGCTCTGTCAGATGGTTGACGTCAAACTTCGAGAGAAGATCAGACCGGCTGCAGCTTGGAAGTGCGAGTGATTCCTCGCTCTAATTCATCGGAGTTTTGCGCAGTTGAGATTTGAGACGAGCAAAATTTGAAGTCGAGATCGCAAAGATCTACATCAATTCTCAGATTGCTTGTACATCTTGTTGATTTGCAGTCAAATGCATAAAATCCAGAGAGACGTGGCTGCTTCTATTCGGTAACCCGCAACTATTCGGGTTCAACAAATCACGCAGGTGCATACCATCTCCCATTCCAGCTGCTCAACGCATCTCCACAGTTCGACGCATGTGGTGCCCTCCATCTGCGTTGACACTATCATGGCTGGATAGAAGTTCTGCTCGTGCTGCACTGGTCATGTGAAGCTCAACCAGAAGATTGCCCCGGTTGTGCGCGATGACACGTCCCATGGACGGACACGAGGGACACACAACGAACGACCACCTCTTGCACCTATGAGCTCGGAGGCCTTTCTTGTATTCAACATCCGGCCTGTTTACATCCCAATTGATGGCCTAGCTTTGCTACTTCGGCGGAGGAATACGCACATGGTTGCCTTGCTTGTCAAGGCACTCTCCACACTCATAATTCCTTTTTGATGGCCATGTTGATCCAATGCCACTGTTCCGCGTACTTCCGACGCGCTCGTGCGCTGCAATGTAGTAAGTATGTACACTTGATGACACATGCATCTCCATTTTTTTTTTGCTTGTGTACTTTATGTTCGCGCCTTCAACATTTACAAGCTGTCACTGTACAATCTAGAACCTGTACCGAGCATGGTGCACGCATTGCACTTTCCTCGCTCTTCTCACACTGGCATTTTGAAGGTGTGTCCAAACAGCGCATTGCACACAAGGATTGCACAATGGTGATGTGCCAATATGTCACTCGTCGTGTCCCTGTCTGTTCAATCGTCCTGCATCATTCTCTCCCACCACAACTTGGTTGATAAGCTCTGCGCATATGACTTGAGTGGACGAATCATTGCGCCCGAAGACTACTACATGGGGAAACTTCCCGGTGCTACAGTGGCTGTAACTTTTACCTTGACGTACTTCAGCTTCGAAAACAAAAACAAGGACACTATTGTGGCGGATATTGTGAAGCTTGGTATGATCGAGGCAAAGGTCGCTGTGCCCCCAAGCCCACAGAAGCACTGTGCAGTGCCTGAAATGGACGAGAGCCTGAAAATGAAGAAGAAAGCATGATTGTAATGTAGTTACTGGTCTGCGGCATACAATTTCTTTGTGTCTCATTCAAGCAAGGCTTCCGGTCGCCAGGGGCGACGCTTTCTAGTGACTATTCTCGACCAAATTGCCTTGCTTGTCAAGGCACTCTCCAGACCCTAAATTAACACACAAATCAGATGAACCTGATCCGTGGTGTGATCCGCTTGATCATCAAAATGTGATGTATCTCATGTATTTCACGTACGGCCGAGTCGATCATTCAATATTCACGTTTGTGTTGAGCCTTGTACTTTCTAGCGCCATCGATTCCATGCTACTTGTACAAGACAGTCGCTCGTTAAGAACACTGGTCGATCGAGTGTAGGTAAGAGCGCAGGTTGATCGGGCGTAAGGCTGACATTCAGGGTTGTAAGTCCCCGACAATAATCTCGTCGTCCGTTTCATGTCTCCGGCGCATCCGCCATTCTCTCGTAAGAGTGAGCTGGCCCGCGAAGGGATACAGAGCATGGAAGGCAAATACGTGGTGGACCGTTTGTGTGCGTACGATTTTGATGGGAGAATTATCGCGCTGGAGGATTATGTGAAGAAACTCCTGGGTGCTTCAATCGCGGTCACTTTCAATATGACCCACTATTTGTTCATGAGCCAGCAACAAGACACATTCGTTGCGGACATCGTCAAGATACGCGTCATCGATTCCCAGGTCGCTCCGCCGCCTAGCCCGAAGAAGCGTCGACCGGCGGTTCCTGACATGGATGAGAGCCCGAAAAAGAAAAAGACGAGAGCTGCTGGGGCTTAGTTACAATGTGCTTAACAAGATGATTGCGTATTATAGCCGAATTAAAGTTAAATTGACTGTCTCTGTAAAGTGTAGCAAGGCATTCTGTCGGCGGAGCCGACGCTTTCTAGTTTCGATCAATTGAAGCTGATGCCCAATCACTATTTGATGGTCGCGCTAGTCACACAATTGGCTCCTCCTGGCAGTTCCACAACACCGCATCACGTACACCATGGCTGGCAACGCCCCAGATCTCACAATAAACCACAGAACTCGTGCGCGGCCCCGCGGAAGAAAAATCGTCCCGACTGGGAATCCACCGGTCCTGCCGCTCCACCTCGATCAGTCAGCGGGGAGGGATTCCGGAGAGCGCGTGCCGCGAGCGTGATTCGTCCTGCCTGCGATCAGCTGAGGTGCGGTATAATCCCAGGGACACTGAGCTGACGACAGAAAATTGTGAGAGCTTCAAGAGGAGCTGGGATGACAGCAGTGTGTGTGTGTGTGTGGAGCACCCTCCTTCCCGTCGCTCAGCGTCCCCGTCTACAGTATGTGCAGGGAATGAAAGAAGACAGATCTCATCATCATGAAGCAATTGCATGAGCATCATCTGCGTGTGTATTGGCTTAAGGTGCGCCGTCGTGTCTACATAGCCACCCTTCCGCTGACGGCCGTCGGCAGGACAGGGCAGCAGAAAGTCTGCCGGCCAAGCTTGATATCTCAGTCGCAGGATCGTCTCACTCCCGTCTCAAGCGCACTGATACGGGACATACTGCACCGGAGAGCTATGGACTGACCGACCGCAAGGAGCGGTGCGCATGGGTGATGCACCCACCCATCACACCATGCGTTGGAACTTAGCCTTGGCTTGAATGAATGACGTTATTACTACTTTCTGTGTCTCCCCACATCACATTACTGATGATAGATCTAGAGCGTAATGTCTAATTGTATCACAGGCCGCAGGGGAGTTCGGAGTCCCCCGCTGCGGCTGCACTTTGTGTATGTTATCTCTCTGATGTGAAGGTGCTTAAACTGTTGGTTGGGCTATCTTACCTGGATGAACACAAACTCTGCATGCTCAGCCAGCATCCGAATATCCTTGGACGCTACGCAGGCTCTTCCTCACGCATGCAGTTTGATCTTCGCGGCGTGAACGCGACGCATCGGGCAGATTGCTATTATCGACCGGATGTATGCGTTCTCCTCGATTTTGCTAGATCGTCCTGGGCTTTTTGAGGGATCACTAGGAGGCAAATTCAGAGTGGATGTCCGAGTATTGACAATGTAACATGCCCTCCGTCTCGAATGTCATGGCAAATGTCTCGTCGGTGAGTTTGACATACAATACTTACTGTAACACTCTGTCGCTCATCATTCAAGCGTACTGCTGATAATTGGGACGCGGACCGCATCATGAGTGGATACTCTGTCAGCACTAGTCTTCACGGTCTAACTAAAATGGGTTGCGTGTATAGCTTGGAGTTGCTCCATGGGGACAGGGGCCCAATGACACGATGACGTTCCGAAGAAGACATCGGCGATCGAGACGTATAAAGCCGCGCGTAGTCACTCCCTCACGAATCTGCCTCCCCTGCATCTCCAACCCACGCCATCCTACCCATGATCGACTTCCAGAGCCTCCCGCGCGACGAGATGGAGGCCATGTGCACCCCGCTGCACCTCATCCTCCCTCCCCCGACAACGACAGCGGCACGCGATCCCGCGGCGCCCGGGCCGTCCTCCGGCGGCGCGCTGTACCTCGGCTCCATGGCCGCGGTCCTCGAGCCCGACACCCTGCGCGCGCACGGCATCACGCACATCGTCCAAGCGCTCGAAACGCCCTGGGCGCCGCAGCCCGAGATCGACGACAGCGACGCCGTGCCGGGCGGCTCGGGGCGGACGAAGTTCGTGTACCACCGCATCGACATCGAGGACGACGCGGCCGCGCCGCTGCAGCCGCACCTGGAGGACGCGTGCGACTGGATACGAGACTCGCTGGAGGTGGGGAACGTCCTGGTGCATTGCCAGCAGGTGCGTCTGTTGCGGCTGGTCTTCTTCCCTGCGGAAAGACATGCGTCATCCATTCACGGTCATCTCCACCCCGCTAGGGCGTCTCGCGCAGTCCGTCCCTCGTCATTGCGTACTGCATCCGTGAACGACACATGTCGTACGACGAGGCATTCGCAGCCGTCAAGAAGGCAAGGCGGTGTATCAAGCCGAATGCGGGCTTCGTCAGGACGCTGAGGGAGTGGGAGGGGATATGCCGTGGTGTGGAGAAAGAGCAGATGGACCGAAAAGCAACTGAACGAAGGCGAGACGCTGCCGCCGAATCTCGATACAACGAAAGGACTGCCTCCGGGACCGCAAGTAGTACCCAGACTTTGTCATCACACACGGCTTGAATGACACACTTCATGCTCCGAAAACACGATGAGCCCGTTGCTTCAGCAATCCAATTCCGCTATCAAGAACCAGCCATGAACCATCGAGCGTCCAGCAGGGTAGATTTCTCCCAAAGGCCTCGTAGACATGTCACGACCAGAGAGTAAGCTTGCAAGGCATGCGCGACGCCGGTAAATGCGGAAGAGAGCCGGGCTGAAAGGTATGCTGACCTGATCGCCATGCACAAGACTGAGCCGTAAAGTATCTTCGCGATGGAATAAACTCGAGTGGAGATCCTGTCCAAGGCGAACGTGTATCTCTCCATGCGTTGTGGTCTTGAGTTCCACGTCCTCCTCGAAGCAACGTTGCGCTATCTCGATCGCACCATGCACCGTCTCTGCACCGTCCATGTGCATATCGAGAAACGACACGGGCGTTTGTAGCAATCTCAGCATCCGTTCCCATGTGCGCAACCCCTCCCGATAAACCATCTCAGGTTATCAGCTTAGCCTGTCCCCGATCTCGAATTCGCAGTAGAGGTCAGGGCCGTGCGCGGCACCATGCGATACTTTCCCCTAGCGTCTCTGTGACTGGGTGCGGGGACGCGGTTTTCATATATGCCAAGCATCCTGGGTTGTTGAGCATGCTACAAGTCCACAGAAAGCCGTTCTCGGCTCCGTTCCCTCCCAATAAACCATCTCAGGTTATCAGCTTAGTTTGCCCCCCACCGCGAAGTCGCAGCACGTGTTAGGACCGGGTATGGCACCACGCGATAGTTTCCAGCCCAGCGTCTCCAGAATCGGGTCCGGAGATGCAGTTTTCATATCGACCAAGCATCAGGATTGTCGAGCATGGCCAAGTCCACAGACAGTTGTTTCGGCTCCGTCCTAATCCCTTGCAAAGCATGATCTGGGCGCTACCGAAGTTGGTAGAGCGGAGGGATGATATTCTAGCCCCGATGGATCATTTCGCCAGCGGAGATGGACTGGGGTCGTGCGTTGTACGGGGGCGTGGTGTGGGCGTGCTTCGGAAGGCCCTCGCATCTTGAGCGGAAGGAAACAGAAACGATCCCCGGATCACTTGGGTACCGCAGTCGAGTGAAGATCCGCCGTTCCTGGTCCAAGGATTGGATCCACACCGAGCAAATGCATGGGCTAATGGAGCTCGACGGATCGTCGATGTATCCACATATCTGTCGTGACAGAGACCTGATCTCTTCAAAACTGCGCGCATGTGCCTCCATCGACCCCTCACTCCACATGCATTCGCCCCATCCACTGATCAGCGGCGCGGTTCGCCGGTGTGGGCAGCGCTCTGCGTCCATGAGCAGCCTCCAACACTTCCTTGCCTCCTCCTCGTCGGTGCACCAGCGGACGGTCATCGTCACTGGCGCAGGACGTGGGATCGGGAAAGCCGTGGCTCTGCGTCTGGCGCGGGACGGCTACGACGTCACTGTCAACGACCTTCCTACCCAGCAGCCATCCATCGACACCACTGTCTTGGAGATCCGTGCCCTCGGTCGTGCCGCGCACGGTTTCGCAGCAGACGTGACGGACGCGTCCGCCGTCGACGCACTCGTGGCGTCGTCCGTGCAAACCCTCGGCCCGCTATCCACCATGATCGCAAACGCCGGCATCGTCCAGGTGAGACCGCTGCTAGACACCTCAGCAGACGAGGTGCGGCACATGATGGACGTCAACCTCGTGGGTGTGCACAACTGCCACCGGTCCGCGGCACGGCAGATGCTTGCTCAGGGCACGAAAGGGAAGCTGATCGCCGCCTCCAGCGTCGCGGCGTTCCGCTCGAGGAGCCTGCGCGGGACGTACTGCGCGTCCAAGTTCGCGGTGCGCGCGATGACGCAGGCGTGGGCGGAGGAGCTGGCGAAGCGCGGGATCACGGTGAACGCGTACGCGCCGGGGATCGTGGACACGTCGATGTGGAGGAAAATCGAGGCGGAGATGCGTGCGTATGGCGTGGGCGAGGCGGCGGCGGCGGCGGAGAGCGGCGGTGCTGTGCGGAAGACGGGGGAGGAGGCTACGTCGCTGCCGCGTTTGAGTGTCCCGGAGGACGTGGCCAACCTTGTGAGCTTCCTAGCAAGCGAAGAAGCGGATTGGATCACCGGGGAAACATATATTATGGATGGCGAGGCGTTCGTGTAGGATTCAATACAGGTTCTGTTGAGGGCTAAGTAGTGGGCACAGCTCAAGAGGTGGCTGTGAGCACAATTTGTCGTAGATTTCCACGATCATTCCACGATCACGTGAAAAACGCGAGGCTGCACGATCGGTTATGATAAGATTGTGCACATATGGTGATGACCCTTACACCGATCCATCAAACTTGATCTCTTTCCTCGCACCGATCATAAAGTATGCAATATTTGGGACTTAGATGTTGTGATCTGATTCCAGCCTGAACAGAAATCATCGGGGCACAGAATTGGCGTAGTCAAGTTTCCGCGATGTCACAAATACTCTTCGGGCGACTGCTCCATGGCGCGATGGCCGAGTGGTTAAGGCGACAGATTCGAATGGATCTTATCTGTTTCGGTTTCCGAGCGCAGGTTCAAGTCCTGCTCGCGTCGGACAGGCCCATTCGTTTTTTCTATCTTGTACTCTCTGGTCAAGGTACTTTTCACACGCTCCAACAACCAAACTGCCCTTTACATTCGGACCAGTGCTTGCACGCTCCCGACTTGCTTCTCCCCTACTCCGAGCAACCCCCTGCCGGGGACTTCGTTCACAGGCAAACCCTAACAAGCCTCATGCTTTCCCGTCATACCATGACCATCGAGGGAGTCTCAAGCTCAGGTCAAGAAAGATGAACCGGAGGAGCCGCATGCGAGACAAGAGCGGCGACGAAGTTCCTCTGGCGGATGATTATCATCGGATTATCGATCGTTCGACGAATCACGATGTTTGCATATGAGACATTGAAGATCTACCAGGGTACATAGTTGTGCAATCCACCGCTCCCGCTACATTGGCCGATAAATCACTGATCGTTGGGGAAATCAATGGCTCGATCCGTAACTTGTCTCTTGATCGACCTTGCAGTATGTATGTCGGATAGCTGGTCAGGTCGAAGAATGTGAGCCCAGGACGGGGGTTCAATGAACTTGAAAAAGCACCCTGGATGCTTCTGTAAACATAAAATTCAGTCCATTGCAATACTACCTCGACCGCACCACAATAACTCCTGGCATCGGACATTCTACCAGAGCGCAGTGTATCCTACGCCCGGCTCGATTTGTGGACGATCCGGCGTACAGTATCACCCATCTGTGCCAAAGCAGTGCCCGCAAAGTCCCTGGTCTTATTGTCCAGGACACTGGATGTGGAGTGCCAGCCGCTCTTGGAAAACTTTTCACGTCGCTCGCCTCTGGCAGAGAGCCGATGCATCGAGGTCGAAAGCAGCCGCTTCGTGGATGAGTGGATGCCGTGTCTTGAGTGGATACGAACTGCCGGTGGGCGGCAGGTCAGACCATTTTATGCATCGCGATGGCGATTGGTAAAACGCTTACATATGCTCGGCAGCTGTTGCTCGCCAAACCGACGCATCGGAAGTCGAAACGGCGCGTATATCTTGAGTTGAGCTGCAGGGCCTTTGGCTCGTAGATCGCAACGCTTCTGGCTCGTAGATCATAGCGCCCCAGATTGTGACAGAATTGGGGTTATTGGTGAGTGCGGCAGTGGCGAAGAAGGACGCACCACGCTTGAGCTTGAAGTCGATCTAGGCCGTGCTCAGCAGAGGGGAGATCATCAATCTGAGCGGGTTGTTAGCAGGACTGGGGTACCAGATAGCAAGAAGTGCAGCAATCGTGCGCGTAGATCTCTTAGGTCGGTACAGTGCGAGCGCCGGTGTCCGATCTTGCCCACCCAACGAGTGAAATTCGAAAATTTTCTCAACACTTGCCTGCCGCTGTCTGTGACCACGCCAGACAAGCCATTTCCGGCGTTAGAAGCACGCATTCTTTCGGACAGCTCTTCGCTGGAAAGTTCTTGTGGAGCCTAAGTTGCGAGCACAGGCAAGGAAGGCTCGTTACTATGATTCCCGATAGCTGTTGCTGTCTGCGGTACTCCTCGGTCCGGTCCCGGTAAATCCTCTGGTTACCTGGCATATGTACAATGCATCGATATGCCCTGTTGAACCCGGTGGACAGTCACGAGGAGGACGCCGCGCTTTATTTTGGGACACAGACATGCCGGGCCGTGGGTGAGCTACAACCGCACCTCGTCTCTTCTTGCTTAGCCGTGGAGAAAGCGGACGAGCAGCCCGGTGTCCTGTGTCCACGTTTACCGAAGATATCAGATGTAAAACCAAAATCATGCTTCAGGATTATCGATGAACCCCGCGGCAGCCTTGGCTGGTAGTTAAGTCAGGGCGATTGTGGATGGGCAGATTATGGCGAACAGAGTAAAATCCGTGACCTGGACCCCATGTCAAGGGAGCAGGAGGACATTTCGATGATGTCTAGTCCTGGCTCATACAGTGCAGCAGCCGGGAGAGGGACACACAACCCATGGGAAGAGAGTCAGTGCACAAGCCAGTGATGATCAGATGGCTCGATTTGGCGCCGGCCCCGATCAACCGCGCTTCGTCATCTTGGATTTGTCACCGACGTTGCAACAGGAGGATCTGAAGACCGCACTCAAAGCGCTTCTGTCCTCAACATGAGAAACTAGAACTTTGGCGGGAAAATGAGGCCGGGACGGGTCTTCCTAATCGATGGGCGAGTGGTGGCGCGCACCAAAAACAGACAAGAGATGTATTGCTCGATGGGCAGGGATCCTGTGCGGCGGTATCTCCCCACTGCTCGCGCCCACTGAGTCGGGTGGACCGCGAGTGTGCACATCAGAAGCTGGGGCAGCTCGTGCTTCTTGAAATCTGTACCATTCGAGCGGTAGACCATGTCAATCTTGAGTGGCGTATTTTCGGGACATCGTGAGCAGCATGCGGTCCTCCTAGATGACATCGAGAGGACGCATTGGAGGAGGCACGGTCGACATTGTAATTCATGACAGCGTGGCTTAGCGTTCGACGGAGACGGATGCGCCCGCGCGCGTCGGCCCATGATGTCATGCATCACATTTCATTGACGCCGGTGAGTTGAGTCGCAATCCAGGGCCTCGTCCGAGGTATTCACACGCAAAGATCCTTCTCATGGAGATGCGCGGGCAAAATAAATCGGGAACAATCGCTCTCCGCATCCTGCGCTAATTTGGTTACCTACCACCAGCCCGACTTGATACCTGAGTGCGGCGCCGTCAGAAGACCGTGCCTCCTCCCTGTTGCCCGTCTTCTCGAAGCCCGCCGGTGTCTTGATGGTCCCCGAGGCACCGAGAGACGTCGTGCGGATGCCTGGCCGTCACTTGCAAGAAGCAGGTTCAAGTGTGATCTCGTTCTTTGGGGCAATCTCTGATGCTACGGCGACCCAGCAGATTCGTCCGCCGGATTAAACAAGATGTGATGAGCTGCTCCGGGTGCTGTTGAGATTTGCAAGGCGACCGTACTGGGATATGCGGATCTGCGCAGGAGACCGTTAATGAACATCACTGCTGGTGGCGCAGGGGGACTGCTATCGCTCTCGCAGTCTCCCGCTGCTCGACATTATTACGCTACGCCGCACGCCGACCTTCACCGTGCCGAACCTTCTGACGAAAGTCTGAGAGAATGCCATTTGGAATCTCTCCGCCTGAGAGATATCCCTGCAGGAGTTAAGCAGTCGACCGAATAGATCAAATCGAATCACACGACCTCGACTCTCCCTCCTTGACATCGTTCAACGGGGTTTTATTGCATGGCCGATATTCCCACAGCAATGTGCTCCCATCCCTTCCTGGGCTAGACGAACCCAATGTGCTTGTCACTGTCACAAGAGGGATCACAACGCGTGCATTTTGGGTCATTTGCTGCTGGGAAGTGCAGAAGCGATACAAGATCGCCAGGATAGCGCGTTCGCAAGAAAAAAAAATCGCAGATTTTTTGATGCTGTCTCGGCAGAATTTGGCGGGATTCGAGTCCGTTCCTCCGGCATAGCGGCCAGGATTCCCGGTCCGTGCTTTGAGCAGATTTTGTGACCTGCACGGAGTGCGACCTTTGACAATTTTTTACAGGGAGAAAGGGATTAAGGTCGCTGCTAACAACAGAGGGAAGAGCGTAGGGCCAACTGCGGAAGGTAGCTGACTGTGATTCCACTGACTGAGAGACAAGGACCCGGACCTGCGTCCTGGAAGCTAGATGTTACAGAAAACTTGTTATTAATGTCTGCAATCCTATGACAACAGCAACACAGAGCATCACGGCAGATATACAACAGGAAAGCTGGGACGAAACAATCGAGAGCACAGATCTTGTTTGTTTACGCAGATGAAGTCGGCGGAGCAGACTCCTTCTCCTTGTCCTTGGCCGAGGCAGCGACATTTGCCTCGTCCAATGGGGCGAGCACCTGCGGATGGTCGACGACCTTGCCGACGATATCATACCGCAGTCTGTCTCGCCAGTCAAACTTCCGGGAAACTTCACCAGAGATAAATGGCGCGACGCACGTGAAAAAGTTATACCAATCGTCCAGAACACCTCGGTCCGCTTCATTTAGCCCGCTGTAATCCGGCAGGGCGTCCTCCTCCTTCAGACTCGACATCCCCATCCCCTTCGAGGGGTCCTTCCCCGCGAAGACGTTGTACGAGCGCCCGAGGCCGTAGACTTCGGCTTTGCGTGTGACGTCGAATACCGTGCCTACACACCCACCCACACACACATATAAGGACGAGCTGATGATCTAATGCGGACAGTGCACGGACGGACCCTTGACAGAGACGTAGATCGGCTTGCTTTCGTCGCGCCCGTCGAACTGTCGCAGATCCTCGAGCGTGTACGGATCATCCTTGGGCGGGGCGAGATCGTCGCGGGGCGGCTGCATGATGAGCGCAGGATGACAGACGGGTATACGCCGACATCACATGCTCTGCTGACGCGGCACGAGTGTGGCGGTGCCGTTCGTGCGCCGCGCAGTCGGTCGTCTATCGGATCTGATCCCGGCGGCGCGCCGCATCGAATGGGTGCGCTGTGGGTGTAGAATGATGAGTAGTTCTCCCGAGTAAATCTTATTCGTGCCTGCCGGGATCTTCCGATGGGTTTTCCCTCATAGAACCCGCTGCCGGCGTTGCCGAGGGTAGAATTATCATGCAGCAGGGTTCGATGGTATGGTTCGGATGCGGGGCGCGCGCCATGGAGTATCATTAGTCAATATACGAGTGTCAATTTAATCTATATTCCTGCCACTTTGAAGCAGAAATGTGGCAACTACACTGGTCTCCAATAATCCCAATCGTAATGCTTCACCCGTGAGTTCCAGCGTCACCCAGTCCCTTCCCCGGGATATCCTCCCGAGTATCTGCTCAAGAGAGTTATAGTAGATCTACGGAATTGGGGCAAAATCAGCCAGTGGGAAAGTAGGAGCAGAATAGGCGATGAACTGACCCAAATGTAATTGTCACGGGGTACGAATAAAAGTGCAGAACCGTCTGCCCAGGTGAAACTCCGATATCTGTAGGACGTCAAGGGAGATGCAGCGTGAGCGCAGAGGGTACATACGACCGGTCATGAGAAAGCGATAATAGACTCGAGGTGGGCTGTCTCGCCGCCACGCCTTGAATCTCCACGTCTGGATGTTGATTCCACTGCACCAACGAGAATGTGCCACCGGTTGCGTTCTGGAAGACCGAAACCCCCGCCATGGGCGTGTCTGTGATGATTCTGAAATAGGCTGTCGCTTGGGGACCCATCACTGTGCAGTTCATGATCGATGGGTTGAACGATGTGAAGCGGAAGGTGAAAAAAGTCGGTAGTGCTTTCGCTACAGATGGCAGCGCGCCGAACACCGAGGGTGGTGCTGAGGCGCCGTTCGGATGATTCCAGTCTTGGGCGTAGGGATTGAGCATTTCCGTGTCGCTGGGGAGAGCGAAAGTGGTTTCTGACCAGTCCATTCGGAGGCACCCGCTGAAATACAACTCGAGGCCCCCGATAAGCCTGGAAGCCGTACCGCCTGTAGCTTTCTAACGCTGGAGGTGCTCAAAGCGCCCACGTGTATGTCACTATGCGCACAAGTGAGTATTTGGGTTTGCGATTTGAGTCAAGCGCCGTCTGGTATCGCAGTGCCGAAACGCACCGACTGGCGGCTATCAGCAGACTAAAGTCATGCTGGGCCGTCCTCCAAGCATGTCTGCGGATGCACTGCTCGTTCTGGCCATCTGTTTCCCGGGTCGGAGGGCGATTGACTTCGGGGACGCCGGAGAGTGCGATATTATCATGCACGGCACAGCCTTCGGCTAGCTACAAAATGGATCCCTGGCCAATGCAGAATTGACCGTTCCTGATGCTCCGAACCTTTTGGGAAGTGGCTCCCTCGATCCCTGAGTAGGATGTCATGCACGGATTCACGAATGGGCCCGGTGCTCGTTGACTCCAGGGTCTTCGGCGCTAAAGTCTGCCCGACGAGCCCGACGACTCGCGAGTGCTTTCACCACATCTGCAGCGCTCGAGCATGGAAACAGATTCGAAACGGAACAGACGTGTAGGCAAGAGGTGCTGATGAACGAGCTCTGGTGCATGAGCGGGAGGGCGACGGCGAGGAGAGATCCGGAATCAAAAGGCATGGGCGCTCGGAGCAGTTATCCGCGCTCACCGGCAGCTAAGAGTGCCCGAGTGCCGTGGACGGGCCGCGACGATGGAGACGGCGTTGACCGAGGAAATCGGCGTTTACAACGGGCGGATCAGCCCAGTCCGGCCCTCAGACGCGGAACCACCGCAGTGCAAGGCTCCGGAACGAATGGTTGCAGCCCCTACGCGGACCAGACGACCCGGTCATTTCAGCGGTTCCTTGAGCTCAACACCAAGAACACCAAGGTGCCCGTTTGGGAAACGTGTATAATGCTCGCTAGCAGATGAGCCACCAGCCGGCCATGCGTTTCATAGCTAGGCGCGCTGTCTGCTGCGCAGAGCCCATGCGTAGAAGCCCTGGGACGTCTGGCGACCGCGAAGCATTCCGAATCGGGAAATTGCCACAGAAACGCATCTGGAGGGCCGGACGGGCGTCGTCATCCGGCAATCATTCCGCCACAACAGCTTTTTGCCCCATGATCTTCCCCAAGTTTGCGCGCCGGTAGCCAATCCTGTTCCGTGCCATCCAGTTCCGACAGATATTTACAGACACCGGTAAAACTATGCCTGACTCAGGGTGCTCACGTCACGCCATTCTCCGGGTTTCTACGCCAATTCCGACGGAGTCCAGAGGAGCAGGAAGAGACCGGTTCAGGGAGAAATCGGGCCACGACTGGAGGAGCTTCGACAAGGAAGAGGATTAAAGCTTCCATCTATCTCGCTGCTATCATAGTCGCCGGTGAGAATTCGTGGATCGTTTCAGATGGGTGTGCTGGCTGGAATTGGGCGAGGATGGCAGCTCATTACGTAACCGATCGTGACGTAGACTGAATGCCAAAAATGCCCTCGGTCTCAACATCAGCCGTAAAACCGCGAGCGAGAACGGATTCGGCTTCTAGTCGTCGTACATAAAAGAATGTCAGCCACTCTCATCGGCAATACCGCCCCCCACCCGAGCACCGATGGACCCCTCTGCCCACGATAAAGCCCACCTCAGGCGCGGCAAGGCCTGCTATCACTGTCGAATCAGGAAAACGGTGTGTGCGAGCCTCGGTCCTTTTTGCCCCTATGATGACCAAGATCCCAGAGATGCGACGGTGCCCTCCCGTCGTGCGGGCCCTGTGTGCGTGCAGGATGCGAGGACGATTGCGAATACCTCCACATCGGCGAGAAGGCGCGGGTGCAGATCATCGAGGAGCGGATACTGGAGGTGGAAGCCAAAATACGACGATATACGAAAGGCAAGCGTCAATCTACATTGAAGGGCAAGGAGAAGGCCCGAGCCGCCTCTCCATCGGCCTCCTCGTCGTCCTCGTCCTCTGCTTCACTATCTACGGCGACCTCCACATCGTCGCGCAGCTCGTCATCGATGTTGTCCTCGCCCTCTACAAGCTCTTCGGTGTCTTCCCTCCAATCTCAAAGCCCCGCCTCGTTGTCTCCGACCTGCCCTTCCCCCTGCCTGTCCCCAGATTTGACTGGGTCCGTCCCGCCAGAAGCGTTCGCCACAGTGATTCCTCAAGATGTAATCCATCTGTTGTGCGTCGCGGCCCTTCCCCGCGTATGGTTTGTTCGCTGACCTCGATACAGCTCGGACACTTTCTATGATCACGCGACCGACTTTGGCTTCTTTCTGGACGAGGCCTTGATACAGTTCCGTCCTGCTGGCGATCGCCCCAGCTGCATGAGCCCGGCCCTCACGGCCACGATCTACCTGCTCTCCGCGCACCTTTCGGCCCATCCGAGCGTGGCCAAACTCGAGTCCTTCCTCCTCACGACGGCGTGCAATCTCTTACCGAAGGAGCTTGCGACACCGGGTGCCAACGTCGCTGAGATCCTGCAGGCGGAGCTGCTGCTCGCGCAGTATTTCTTTGCGCTGGGCCGCAACACAGAAGCGCGGTTTCACATGTCCATCGGCTCTGGTATTGCATTTGGCTGTGGGCTGCCCGATAAAGTGTGCCCTGGGCTTGATCCCATACGATCGCGAGCAGCCTATCTGTTCTTGCTATCCCTCGATAACGCATGGTCTGCGGCACTGGGCTACACCCCTCACAAGCCGCTCTCTGCAGTGCTCCATGGCTCCAACTGCGATGTCATGAACAGTATGTGGACGATGTCCGGGTTTCCGGGGCAACCTGTCCTGGTCACCAAGTCCGTGACGCTCTGGCAGGGCGTAGAGGCCTTGATTACCAGTGCGTGCTGTGTCATCAATTCACCGCCCGCTTTAGTCGCTCATATCACCTGGTAGCACCCATGCCATTCGGAGATCTCCTCGAACGATCGGAAAATCTGGAGAAGCTGATTCAGCTGTGGTTACTTGAGCTGGATTACTACGAGACAGAGACCCGCGACACTGGCGCGCTGAGCCGCGTGCTTCTCTTTGCGGGAACTGTTACGCACTACGCGTTCATGAAGCTGCGCAGACTGCTGTGGGCCCGCGAGACACCGGAAGACCACTTGCATTCCGCCTGTGCGATTCTGCGCAAAATCATCGCCGCGGTCGAAAAGGGGCAAATCACGTACTTGAACCCATTGATGGGCGTGAGTTCTGCTTTTCCCTGTCGTCGGTAACTTGATCTGACTGCCTCGCGTAGAAAATTTGGTACGGTGTCTACGAGCTCGTGTCGCACGAGATCCGCCAGCGAGGGCCGCTTGGTGAGGACACCGCCGAGCTGGCGATGACCCTGCGCTCCGGGCTTGTCGCCATTTCCAGTCTATCTGACACCTGTTGCTTTGCGCGGGAGTTTTCAGTCCTGCATGTACCATCATAATTTCCGCTTAGAGGATATTAGTATAGTGTCTCTGCTTCTGCTGTATGTAACATAGTGTAGAACTGATTTTGTTTGTTCCTGTAAGCGCTAGACTCAGAAGGCCCTTCCTTTCGCGCTTGCTTATCACCTGGATTTGATGCCTGAGCCTCAGGCGGCGGCTGGAATACCGGCTCGGTTCTCCGACACCGCTCTCTCTGCCTCCGGATTCGCAACCTTACACATCACATCACACGCGTGGAAAGCGATCTCAGATCTGGGACAAGGCCTGACCTGATCTGACATGACCTTCGATCGACCGCTTACTAGATGCCGACGCTGACAATCTCTTGGAACGGAGAGTCACAGTGGTAAAAGCAGGGTCCTGACAGGCGTGAGCAGCCCATCTCCGCGCAAAGCAGGCATCAGATGGAGTGCTTGCCTAGCGACTGGAGCGGTCGGATTTCCACGAACGTTGTGCGGGATATTCTTTGCAGCAGCAGGTTAAGCTGGGCCCTGGGGGGCGCTCTGAGAATCAGCCAGCCACAACCGCTAGAGAGCGCTGCGAAATTCCCAGTGAGATTCAGGGTGTACCGCTGTATCCGTCGTTCCGAAGGTTTCGAATGCCAGGCTTTCATCTCCGGCCTCATTCCCAAGAAGTCAAGCACGCAATTTCCAAGGGACTTATGCTACTGGGAACTTGAAAATCCACGGGTGGAGGTAGCTTCGGCGCTCCTCTGAATAGCTCCCTAGACTTGCGAGTGTTAGACCCAGCCATCCAAGTCGATATGTAGAGAATACGAATTTTCTAGCAATCTTCAAATCACCCATTTGGTCCCCAAGAAGAAGGAATCGCATCGCTAGACCTGATTGGAACCATGCTTTAGCGAGAGAGTGCTATTCGCGAAGTGCAGGTGGTGCCTTGCGATGAGAGAGTCCCAATTTTCCGCTGCGTATTTCGCTCCCGGGGCGAATTCTGGACTCTGGGTCGAGCCTGGATGTATTCTATTGTTTTGAGCCTCCGATACGGGATGACGGATGACAATCTGGGGGTTTCTGGAATGAGAAAATGAGTTTATCGGGCCTGGACATTGCACTAACCCAACGGGTTCGGCAGGAGGTGTAGAACTGGTTGCAAAGGTCAGAAAATGCGAAAAATATCAGTCTCCCTATGGCTAGCAGAATTCCGGCACAAGGAAAGCTTTCATCAGAGCTTTTCAGGCGAAGGGGTGGGTCAGTTTGACCACCAAAATCTATTTGAAGGTCTGAACGAGAGCCCAGCTCATTAGCTACGCAGAGGGGCCCAAGGAACACATGAGAAATGAAATGTGAAATCATTTTGCCCTCTGCTGAAGAGCTCTCTTCGTAAGCGGATGCTCTTCCGGTTTTGTTCTAATGAATTTGTGATCTGAGATGAGTCATCGGTCTCGAGCCCCATCAGGCTTAAAATCGGGCGGATCGGGGCCAACACTGCCACTGATTAACTACGGCCGTGGCCACGCAAGAACACGTAAATCATGTGGCCATTGCTTCCACGTGACCCTCGCATCCGGGGGTGAACTCCAGCATTGGATATCTCCTTCTTCCTGTTCTAGGGCGGCTGAGAATATAATTTCCAGTCTCGTCTCACCGAGGAAAGAAGTCTTTAGGAGCATTCTATCGCCGCAGAGATGTTGATGTTGTGACAGCATGGACAGGGCACAGCAGATTTCAATAGGTTTGTGATCGTTCAAGGACCTGATTATCAATACATACTTGGTCTCCAGTCACCTAGTAGCCGCTTCTGCCGCTCGGTGAGCGTTCCAAAGCTTTCTCAGTCTCGGGAAAGACAAGCGATTGTGTTTCAGCCATTTTCCGGTCGCTCGAAATGATTTCGGGCAGCGTGAGTGAATGGCAATGCTAGCCGTGGATCGTCTTATCAATTGACCGAATCCGGCGCCGAATTCGAGACAAAAGAAGCAGTGGCTCCCTCTGATCGAAACCGTCCAATGCATGGAAATGTGTCATAGCCTCACAGGCGGGCCTCATCGACTTCACAGTTCGCCGGGTCAGCGTGCCCTCCACGGGCTCCGCCTTTTTTTTTAGCTCGAGCTTTCGCGGGTCTCTGCCGGACTGTCTTGCACTCCGCCCCATCATGACGTAAAATCTAATCGAACAAACCCTGGTCCTTCGCCACAGACACATGTGCTATTGCGTGGATAGCTGACAGTGACACTGCGGCAAAAACCCCGCGCTTGCGCCAGCCGGATGTTTTAACGGCTCGCGTTGAAGCCACAGACACGTGTACTCGCATCTTTTGCAGATAGTGAACATGGCAGTGCTCGGAAAGACTTCAGTCTTCTATCCTTGACGCCTAGCATGAATACGTTACGGTTAATCCACTGTCGGTCAGCAAGAGGACGAGCACACACGGAAAAATTGCAATAATAATCGTGTTTTCTGGCTGAGTGAGCTCACTGGCGCAGGTATAATTGGTTGCAATGTCGACCATGTCCTCGCGCAACCAATAGGAGTCGAGGCCGTCTGCGGATTGGCCTTTTGGCCCGCGGCCGGTCCGAGAACCCTGACGCACGGGGATCTCCGCGCGAAGGAGACATCTGTGAGTGCGGCAAAACGTCCCAGAAAGAAAGCACACCCGGATGGGGTAAAGCCTCCGCAAGTGTTTCGTTTGAGCGGGACCGGTGGGGTTCCCCTTTGGGCTGATCGAGGAAGAAGTATGAAGAAACTCGGTAAGGCCGCAAGGCGAGCGAAGCAGCCAGGGCTGTGATTTGTTTGGCGGGGAGAATCGAATCTGTCTCTCGAGTCATCGGTGACCTCGGGATCGACGGGAGGCAAGTCCCGTGAGCACCTGGACCAGGTTAACGAGGTACAGCAGACTCATATCGGCGGATTCCGGTGCGGGACGACGCTCCGGACATGCTGGAGATCGATTCGATAGATAGACGGATCTGGGGTCGCAGTTCAGCTGCTTAGCGGTTGCTTTGGAGAGAATTTGGGAACAAGTTCCACCATACTTTACAGAAGATCCAGATTGGACATGTGATGCGAAACCCTCGATGGGAAGCACTGCTGATCAGATTGTGCTGGCGGACCTCCCACTTTCTACGCACTATAGCCTTCTGTAGAGCAAGTCATGAGGGATGAGAAGCCTCAGGGAATCTATCATCCATGAGCTCGTTCTGGGAAGTCGAAACAATATGCAGAGCAGAATGACCAGTCGCGACATGACGAGGGTGTCCTAGGCACAAAAGCGCCGTCGTTGTATGTCGAGCATTCACGGCACAAGAAAAAAGTCCCCACAAACAGGATTCCTGGGAGCTTGCGGATATTCGCGCCTTTATCGCATGCGTGGAATGTAGACAAAGAGCCTCTAGCCCGACGGCAGGTGCATTAACGTCCGGAAATAGAAAAGGGCCTGGCTGATTGCTGAGAGAGAACCAAGATACACAAATGAGAATTATAAGGAGGGACGCCTTCCGAATACTGGGTCGCTCTGAAAAGCGAAAGCTCAGGGACCCAGGAAAACTTGTAGAGCCGCTGGTGGGATGGGTGACGGTGGAGAGTGACTGCCCGTCACAGTAACTGTGACTGTGACACGGTGTGCGGGGAACCCCACAATGCTTACCCGATCTTTGCGCAGAGCGGTCCGAATCCTACATTCCAACCCTCACGCTCGCTGCGTCTCCAGCAAAGTCTTGCGCACATTCAAGCTTGCCGATATCGGGGAGGGCATCACGGAATGCGAAGTCATACGCTGGGCCGTTGCTCCGCAATCGAGCGTGGGCATCTTCGATCCGCTGTGTGAAGTGCAGAGCGACAAAGCGAGCGTGGAGATCACTAGCCCATTTGAGGGGATTGTGACAGAGCTGCTCGTCAAGGAGGGCGAGGTTGCGCGTGTCGGGCAGGGTTTGTGCCAGATCGAAGTCGAGGAAGAAGCGCAGGAGGAGCGGAGCTTAACCGGCGACGACGCGCCACGGAATAACGAGGAGTCGGTAGCCAAAACAGAGGCGCAACACAATTCGCTTGATGAATCTGTCGAAGCCCAGACACCTCGGACGTTGCCACCTCAGCAAGCCGCACGACGCCCTCACCCGCTGGATCCCACCCAGAAATCCGAGAAACCCAAGAGCAGCGCCGAAGTTCTGGCTCCGCCCTCAGTGAGACACTACGCCCGTTCTCAAGGCGTCGATCTTGCCTACCTGGTGCCGGGAAGCGGCAAAGATGGTCGCATCGAGAAGGCAGATGTTGACTCGTACCTCTCTGCTTCTGCGCCCTCGCCAACTTCTGTCTCGTACGATGGACAAGACATCACCGTTGAGCTGGGAAGAACGCGTAATGCCATGTGGAAAGCGATGATTAAGGTAGGCCGGATCTTGCTCATGCTTCATACAATCTCACCGTCTCATCACATAGAGCCTCGAGATCCCCACATTTGGGTATTCAACGTCTCTTGATATCACAGAGCTGCATGCGCTGCTACAAGTCCTCAATCTGCACATCCCAGCCCACTTCCTCCCTGCCTCGGATACAAAATCCAAGTTTGACCCAGCCAATGCTTTGGGTGTTGCGGTGCCCACGATACCCGATATTCCAGAGACTGGGAGGTTCACCCGGATGACATACCTGCCGTTTTTGCTCAAGACCTTGGCGCGGACCATGATGGATTGGCCGCTCTTCCGCGCGTCCATCACTCCGAATGCGGCTAAACCGTCCCTTACTATCCGGTCTCACGCCGATATTGCGCTCGCCTTGGCGACACCGACGGGCTTATATACTCCTTTACTCCGTGCTGCCGACACACAATCGGTGTACTCTCTGGCCAGCACGGTGACACATCTCGCGGCATTGGGCCGACGCACTCCTTCCGGCCTGACCGCTGCTCATCTCGGCTCTGGCACAGTGAGTGTGAGCAACGTCGGAGCAGCTGGGAAAGGAGAAGGCGCGTCTCCGGTCCTCGTGCCAAGTGGAGGATTGGCCATCGTTGCTCTCGGTCGAGCTGAGTGGATCTGGGACGTGTCGGAGACTTATTGGGACGAAAGCAGGGGTCTGAAAGGTGCTAGAAGGCTGCGCCTGCCCGTATCTTGGACTGCGGATCATCGAGTCGTTGAAGGTGCCGAGCTTGCTGCTTTCGTCGAGGCTTGGAGAGCATGGGTGGAGGCTCCCACAAGAATGATTGGTGAAGGACTGTGAAACCGGAATGTCCTCATTTGTAACAACATCACTGCATTTAGCTATCGAACGCTTGCTTTCTGTTGAGCTGGTTGGTAGTACATACTTCGGCCAGGGATTCAATCTTATCGGATTGGGTCAATACGAGCCGGCTGCTACGTCGACACTTTCCATGATAGCAGCACCAGAAGATCTTCAGTAGGCCCATGAGTGAAACAGACTAGCATACAAACGGCAGACTGACGTTCCAATGCGCTCGGCCCCTGCCTTGAACATCTCCACACACTTTCCAAAGCTGCGAATTCCTGCGGATGCTTTCACCTTCACACCCTCCTTGAACGCGACGGTCTTGCGCATCAACAAGACATCCCCGGCAGTAGCACCTCCGCCCAGGAAACCAGTGCATGTTTTGACGAAGGCGGCACCGGCATCGGCTGCTAGGAATGAGGCAGCAATTTTCTCCTCGTCCGAGAGAAAGACGGTCTCGAGGATCACCTTGACGGGAACAGCCGCTGAAACGACGACGGCCCGGATGTCGTCATGAACGAGGCCATAGTCTCCGGATTTGAGGGCACCGATGTTGACCACCATGTCGATTTCATGGGCACCGTGCTTGACGGCGTCGGCGGCCTCACTGTGCGATTATCAGAGAAGGTGGTGGTGCGTGAACTCTACGGACAATGCTTTGGATGCAGACGTTCCGGCGCCAAGCGGGAATCCAATCACAGCGCATGTGAGGACGCCGCTTCCCTCTAGATTCTTTGACACGCGACCGACATTGGCCCCATTGACGCAGCACGACTAGGACGACGATGGTCGGTATCCCTCAAGATGTACGAGCAATGGGTGAGACCTTGAATTTGTATTTGATCGCCTGTGCGCACAACGCGTCGATCTGTGCTAGCGTGGCCTCCGGTTTCAGCAAGGTGTGGTCGATCCCGGAAGCGAAGACGGAGTCCGGTGAGGGGATCGATGAGAACTCCGTAGTTGGCACTATGAACTTGGTGTCGGCGAGGACCTCCGAAATCTTAGCGGAGACCAGAGGAGTCCAGTGTGTGGTCGGGGAGGCCATGGTGGGATTGTGTGAATGTGGACAATCGACCGGAAGATTCACACGTGATAACTCCTTACGATCACGTGGAACTTTCTGGATTCTTCCATCACCCTCTCCACTTGACTGCAAGGCATTTAAAGAGTCGGGCGCGCACTTTGAGCGCCTCCCACTTTCTTACTTTCCATGTCTCGAGTGCTTTTTCAATCTTCTCGTCTTCGAGCACGGGTCTTTTCCCGTGTTGGATTGCCCACACCTGCACTACGCGCTGTCCGACCTGTGCCACAACCGGTCTTGCGCGGGCTTCCTTCAGCATATGCCTCGATTTCGAGGCGAAATTACTCGCAGGGCCCGGTGGGTGGTGGAGGAGGGAGCAATCCGTTTTCTTTCAAGATGGGGCCCCAGCATGCCAAGGGCGATGCTCTGAAGGAATACAGTGTTGACCTCACAGAGTTGGCGAGGGATGGAAAGCTGGACCCTACCATCGGAAGGGATGAAGGTGAGTGTGCACATCTGCACTTACTTCTGCTAACTGAGCTGGTGCTGCTAGAGATCCGAAGGACCATTCAGAGTACGCCGTGCTGATACTTTCACGTTCTGACTCGCTTAACTTGCTCAGTCCTTTCTCGGCGGACCAAGTCGAATCCGGTCGTAAGTAGACATCCCTCGAAAATTTCGGCCAGCCGCACTCATCATTATCCCAGCTCATTGGCCCCCCTGGTGTAGGGAAGACAGCCATTCTCGAAGGTCTAGCGAGTCGAATAGTTAGTAAGGAGGTTCCAGAGGTACGTTCGGTCTGCTTGATCTTATTCCCACGTTTTTTTACATCGCACAGTCTCTACATAACAAACGCGTTCTCTCGATCGACCTGTCTGGTATCATGGCGGGCTCTGGCATCCGGGGACAATTCGAAGAGAAGTTCCGCAATCTGCTCTCGGACATCGAAGCCGAGGTAAGTACTGGACCTTTCCTCATCGTATGGTCTGCTTATCTTCATATCGCAGGAAGGCAACGTCATTTGCTTCATAGATGAAGTGCACACCCTCTTCAATCTCGGCAAGACGGAGGGGAGCATTGATGGCGGACAAATGATCAAACCTGCTTTGGCTCGCGGTCTGCAACTCGTTGGCGCCACAACCCGTCGGTCTTTTTCTCTTCTCCCTGGCTGATCACTGACGCACTGTCAGCTGACGAATACCGGAAGACTATCGGAAAGGATGCTGCACTGGAACGTCGCTTCCAGCCAGTGCAGATAGAAGAACCTACCGTCGAATCGACCATCTCCATCCTGCGCGGGCTGAAGCCTCGTTACGAAGTCCACCACGGAGTCGAGATATCCGATGCTGCGTTGGTGACGGCCGCGGTCTACGGCGCGCGTTACGTGTCAGAAAGATTCTTGCCGGACAAGGCTATTGACCTGGTCGATGAGGCCGCTTCGTCACTTCGGCTTGCGCAAGAGTCTAAGCCAGACGAGCTAGAGACCTTGGAGAGGGCGATCATGACACTTCAGATCGAGTTGGAGAGTCTCAAGAAAGAGTCGGACGTGTTCAGTGTCGAGCGCAGGAGTGCAGTCGAGGAGGAGATCAAGACGAAGCGCCAGTCTGCTGCTGAGGTGGAGAGGATCTGGCAGGCAGGTATGAGAATATTGTGTTGTTGATGATTGGATCCTGACTCGTTCAGAACGCGCTCGACTGAACCGCACAAAGGAGCTGAAGCGGGAGATCGAGCAAGCCAAGCACCAGCTGGACGTCGCTCAGCGTCTCGGTGACTATGAGAAAGCCAGCCGACTGCGTTTCTCGTCAATCCCCGAGCTTGAGCGGCAGCTGCCGCCGGAGGAAAGTGAGGCGAAGGAGGAGGGATCGTCGATGTTGCATGAGCGGGTCACATCCAACGATATCGCGCGTGTGGTTGCTCGTGCGACTGGGATTCCAGTGCAGAATCTCATGAAGGGCGAGCGAGACAAGCTTGTGAATGTGTGTGAACGGTTGTGCGTGAGTGCGTCCACGCTAATGCTCTGCAGATGGAAGACGCTCTCAGAGGGCGAGTCGTTGGCCAGGACGATGCTGTGACTGCAATCAGCGACGCAGTCCGGATCTCTCGGGCGGGACTGCAGGCTCCGAACCGACCAGTCGCCTCTTTCCTGCTGCTCGGGCCGACAGGTGTAGGCAAGGTTTGTGATGTTGCCCTTCTCCTCGAAGCGTTACTGACTATGTAACATCCAGACAGAGTTGTGTAAAACGCTCGCTGGATTCCTCTTCAATGACGAGAAACGGGGCTTGTGAGAGACGCGTTGTTTCGTGTGTTGCCGCTCGTGCTGACTGTTTTCAGGATCAACATCAATATGTCCGAGTTCCACGACCGACACACCATCTCGCGACTGATCGGCGCAGCACCCGGATATGTCGGATTCGAGGAGGGTGGACAATTGACCGAGGCAGTGCGGAGGAAACCCTATGGTACGTACTGATCTCTTCTGTCGGATTGTCAGGGGAACTGAACCTCACTTGCCAGCCGTGATTCTGCTCGATGAACTGGAGAAGGCACACAAGGACGTGGCGATGGTCTTGCTGCAGATTCTGGACGAGGGCAGTCTGACAGACAGCCAGGGCAGAAAAGTGGACTTCAAGGTGGGCCGCCGCTGCCTTTTGCTGAAGCGTCCTTTGCTCAATCGCTCTAGAACACAATCATCTGTCTGACAAGCAATCTGGGAAGCAACGTGCTCAGCAACCCGGAGGCGTGCGATGCGGATGGGGTGGTCACGCCCGCAGCTAAGCAGGAAGTGCTCGACATCACATCGGAGTACTTCCCCCCGGAACTGCTGAACCGGCTGGACACGATGCTCGTCTTCAACAAGCTGTCTCGGGAATCGATTCTGCAGATTGTCGGCCTGCGGCTGAAGGACGTCGCTGATCGACTGGCGAGTCGCCGTATAACGGTTGACGTCGACGACGCAGCGAAATTGTGGCTAGCGGAGCACGGGTACTCCAACGTATACGGCGCTCGGGCGATCGCGCGGGTTGTGAGGACAGACGTCCTGTTCCCGCTCGCGCAGAGGTTGCTGCGCGGAACGGTCAGAGAGGGGGACACGGTCGAGATCCGCGTGTCTGATGACGGGAGTAGTCTTGTGGTTGGGGAGAATCATGCACCAGATCCGTCTGCGGCGTCGAGTGAATTGCACGATAATCTGAACAGACAGGAGGAGGAGGTGTAGAATAGACTTGTATTCACAGATGTAGCTTGATGTCTAACAACCTCCCTGCTCATGATCATGCGGCACTGGATTCTGAGACCGAGCCGTCGGATGGGCGCAGCTTGAACACTCATCCCAGCCGTCCATAGCGCACACCCGGACGATTCGACAGAAACTGATCTCAACTCTCCGAGAACTCATCAAGCGTGTGTATAAAACAATGCACATCCGTTGTACGGTATTAGAGCAGATGTGTGGCCCCAAGCGAAGTTGCGACATCATCCGTGAACGCCGTGCTGACGCCGTTCTTAGCCCAAGTCTATTTATGAGAGGTGTCTCAGATGATATCATCGCGAACATGCATTTGGCGCCACTCACGCAGAAGATCAACGCAATAGCTGGAGAGTCCATGATTAGGAACCCTGACTCTGTATCATCCTGGAAAGACGCACTATCTGGATCTGAGCCGTTGAAGTTACCCGCATGGACGAAGGAGCGGGAAAAAGTGAGCCCCTCCGAGATTGCAGCGGGCCAAGTGGCGCATGCGTTGTCGAACCTGTGTAGCGAAGAATGAGCACCTCAGATGCGCTACAATCTGCGGGTGCAGCTGCCGCTCACGCATTGGTGAACTCGACCATAGTGTCCTCCGCGGGGATCCGGTACGGCTCGCGGAAGTCAATGGCTTGGGCAGCAGCGGCGAAAACGAGAGGGACGAGACAGGCAAAGCGCATGATGGGAATGTGGATGGCGGCGAGCACTCAGCAGGCCATCCAGCCCGCTTTTATGGTGGAGAACAGAGGGCATCTTTGCCCGTGCAGGACCTGGTCATGCCGGCGACTCTCAGATCCGAGTCAGGTCGCACCCATGGGCCACCGGATGCCTTATTCATTTCCCACGTGATCGTGAAAGCTGGATTGAATTGCCCTTGATTGCCATCTGTCATGAATTGATCTGACGCTTGCCAAGTTGGAGCAACAGATACAGACTCACACCTAAACAAAGGTGATGACTTCTCATCACGATGAAATCCCGATCAACCCTTCCCCATGTCTCTGTAGCATGGGTCAGTGTTCTTCACTGCGCCTCGGAATCAGTTGCAGTTGATATTGTTTATCAAGGCGAACTTTTTGAGCGCGCGGGATCGAGCACGGTGGTCACAGTTGAGGCTCATTCGGGGATCGATGCTTTCGGCACACCATCACTCCTCAGTCATCGATCCCTGCCATACCCTCCGCCTACTGAAAAGAAAGTCATGCATCGGGGCTGATGTCGTTATTAAACACAACGAGGTGCATTAAGGCCAGATTGTGACTATGCTCTCACCTCGAGTTTCCTCGCTCAGTTGATTGTTCTGCCAGCATCCTCCTGGTGGAAAATCAGTCACCAATAATCCTTCGTTGGCGGTCCGATCCTTCTGCCAAATAGCCTCCCAGCATCTCACGGAGATCAGGGCAAAGTTTAGTTTGCTGATTGAGCTAACAGCACCCGAGTCGCCTGACTACACAGCCTGTCTTCCGGGAGGGGTTTAGTGCGCGGCGTGCTCTGTTGTATGTATAAGAGAGGGTCGCTGTTTCCAAACTCTCTCTTCCCCGGCGCTCATCTCTGCCAGTGTGCTTCGTTCATTCTCGATCCCATGGTCTCCTCCGAATCCATTTTCAAGAATATTCGAGTCTATTGCAAGTCTCCTTCGTTGATTGGATCGAATGGGGCTCACGATCTTGGTGGACAGGGCTGGCGTTTGTGACTTATTGGGGAATCATACTCTTCGGGTGCGTCAAATTAGTTTCGCGTCTCCCCGGTCGCGCTCCAGCATGATCCCGCAGATACGACACGTGAGTAGATGGGCCTACTATCCGCATCGGTCGAGTGAGTATACATCTCGCCGCAGGGGGATCGCGTAAGCTCTGGTCCAGCTGATCATCTAGCGTGCGATGCTCATGCGGCGATGACGCAGCTCGGGAGTCGTCACCGCCCCAATCTTCCTGGATCAATTTGGTCTGAACAACGCGGACGGGACACCAAACAAGAAGAAGTGCGCTTCGGAAGATGCCCGATGTTGTTATCCATGAGTTGAACATCGATTCCCAGGAGCAACAACATCTCGGAAAACGTCGTGGCTGTCCTCCAAGCCGGGGCATTCTTTGGGGCGCTGGGAAGCGCGCTAATTTCGGGTGCGGTCGTGCGATCGTACACGGCTACTGCGGAATTTTGACTTTCATAGCGAGATTCGGCCGTCGATACACACTTATCGGCTTTTCAGGTGTCTTCATCCTCGGCGCCGTCTGTTTCCTATCCTTCGACTCCCAAAATCTCTGAACTCATTCTCGATCTTAGATTCTGACTACCGTGGCCAAAGGCGGGTCACAGGGTCTGGCGGAGATCTACGCGGGACGCGTCATCACGGGTATTGGGATTGGCGGGATCTGTGAGTCTATCTCTTCCTCGCTCTCTGACATGGATGTGCCTGAAGGTTATCTGCTCAGCCGCCGTCGCCCCCGCTTTCGTTTCCGAGTGCTCTCCGAAAGAGGTCCGCGGACGGATCACCGGTCTGTTTCAGGTGAGCTTCAAGCCCTCGAATGGAGTTCATCGCACGCTCACGAGTGATCCCGCCACTAAGATATTTGTCGCGTTTGGGGTGATGATGTCCTACTGGGTTAACTGTGCGTATCCGCATCTCCTCCCCATCGGGATAGGGGACTCAATTCTATCTCCATTTCTACTGCATAGACGGGATCGCCCTGCATGTCAAACCAGGCCCCAAGCTCTGGCGCATCCCTTTCGGAATCCAGCTCATCCCCGCCGGCGTCATGCTTCTCGGCCTGCTCACAGTCAGAGTGCGTTCGAACCTCCCTCGCCTTCCGGGGCTCACCCTCTTCCCCCGATCAGGAATCCCCGCGCTATCTGGCATCCGTTGGGCGCACGCAGGAAGCTCTTGACAATCTCGCGTATCTGCGCCGCGAGCCTCCCACGGCCGACGGTGTGATCCACGAGATGGCGGAGATCGAAGCGGCCATCCAGGAGGAGCGCGATGCGAGGCGGGAGCTGGGGTTGAAAGAGGCGTTCCTGGGGAAGGGGAATTGGGTCCGCTTCGGTGCGCACTCCTCCATGGATTTGTGGCGGTGGAGAAGTGAAGGGGGTTTCAGTTATCGCAATCGTGATTTTCTTGTTACAGCAGTGGTCCGGTCAGAATGCCGTCAAGTGAATGTCCTCGCGCTGTGCGAAAGCAACACCGAGCTGATTATCTTTTGCTCTCAGCTACTACGCGCCGCAGATCTTCGCCTCGGTGAGCACATGCCAACTGGGAATCAAGTGGGGTTACTGATGGGGTAAGTAGATCGGGTACACTGGCAGAAAGAACGGATTGCTTGCAACTGGTATGCTAAATTCACCCCCATGTACATTCCTTTGATAAGACGCCTTCTTCTCAGGAATCTATGGTGCACTTCGTCGTTGAGATCTCACCTGGATCGATCTAACCTGACAGTCCTCAGGCGTGATCAAAGTGGTCGCCACCGCGATATTCGTCTTCCTCGGGGTCGAATGGCTGGGCCGTAAAGCATCGCTGTTCATTTCGGCGGTGGGCATGGGAACCTGCTTCTTTATCATAGGTTCCATTCTCAAAACTCACCCGCCCCCCGCCACCAGCGCCACCGCGGCTCCAGTAGGTAATCCACCCGCTGCGTCGAAGGCCATGGCGGCCATGCTGTATATCTTTGTTTGCTTTTATTCGATGGGGTGGGGTGCGTGGTATCCTGGCTCTCAAAGGGTGTTATCGTCTCAACTAACTTACGATCCCGTTTTTGAACCCAGGTCCGCTTCCCTGGTGAGCTTCCCCTGATTGGATCCATTAGCAGAGTCAATTGAGTAATGTTGTGACCTGTCGCAGGGTCTACTGTGCTGATATATTTCCCACTCGGACACGACACTTCGGGTTAGCGGTCGCTAGCGCATCACAATGGCTTTTCAGTTGAAACAATTTCCGAGAGATCGCATTCTTTATTCTCACGAGCCGCCACAGATTTCGTGCTCACGCGTACGACTCTGCAAATGGAGACGAATCTCGGCTACAAGGTTCGAAACGAGAATTGCCCTGTTAGATGTGAACCAAGGACTCACTGCGCGCTCAGATATATCTGATGTTCGGAGCCATCAATATCGGTGGTTCCGCGGTCTTCTCGCTGTGTGTGCTGCAAAAATTCTCAAAACTCGACGCCTGATGTTCTTGTTTTGCCCAGCTTCATCCCCGAAACGAAAGGCCGCTCGTTGGAGGACATGGATGTCATTTTCGGCGCAGTATCACGAGAGAAGAGACAGGCAGATATTGCCAAACAGGAGCAAGGTAAATCCAGCCAACTGCGCCGTAGTGATGGAACTTTGTTTATTCATCAGTACCACAGAACTGGACGTCCGAGATGGTTCGGAAAAAGCTTGAGCCGTGTGGTGTTTTGTTGATCGGAACTTATCTGCCCAATCCCATCCTGTTTGTCAAGTGTGACCACGTGCTACTTCAGTCAGTGACTCGTTTGTTTCAAAGTCCAACCATGTATGGGAAAGTGAATTTCCTATTCTTTACGAGCTTTTGCGGGAGAATTGACCCTTGTTACTCTGTGGGTACTTATAGATGTTGGAAAGTGAGAAAAAGGTTTCGGCTCAGAGGGATTTCCCTCCTGTGATGAAAACGAATGAATGAAAATAACATCTTTCTGCATGAAACTCTTTGAGGTCAAAAGGCATCCATTCTCAGTAGACCTTTTTTGAGGATTTACATGGGAAGGGGAATAAAATCTGGCCCCTGTAGTGTGTCAATCTTTCCCAAGCCGAGCTAGGTTTTTGATAACCGGCAAGTAACACACGTGTATAAGATTGTGGACTGACTAGCATTCTAAATCAATATTTTCTCTTCTACTTCCGCTGCTCTGAGCTGCTGACATAAGTAATGTCTCACTGCTCCCGAGGATCTCCGATTGTGTCGCTGTCTATTTCCCACCTCTGATCTCCCGCTTGGCATAGGCATCTAGGGTCTGCAGCCAGTCCAACTCTGATAACTCGGGCCACAGTTTATCGATGAAGTGCAGTTCGGCGGCTTGGCTGTCCCACAGCAGAAATCTATTCTCAAATTAGCGACCTTTCATCAGAGTACTGCCGAGTGCGTCGACATACCCGCTGGTTCTGCAAGAAACGAGCGTCAGAGGATGTTTCTCGAAAACAGAAATGTAGCGCACCGTTTCTCAGATGTGCGCACGATGAGATCCACAGGCGGAATGCCGCACCCACGGCCATACATCTCGCGCGAGATACTCGCCTCGCTGATGCGTTCCTGACGATTGTGGAGCGAATTGACAGCGTCCACGATCTCCTCCCTGCCTCCGTATCCGACAGCGATCTGCAAGAACAGAGAATCATACCCACGCGTCACTTGCTCGACAAGCTCCATTGCCTCGACCAGCGTGGGCGGCAGTTTAGTCCGAGCATTCTCGCTGCCGATGAAGGTGATCCGGATGCGATAGAGATGAACGACGCTGGAGAACGCGAGCGCTTTGAACTCGCTCGTCATGAGGCCGAACAGCCCGTCCCGCTCCGCAGCCGGCCGGGCGAAGTTGTCTGATGAAAAGGCCCAGCATGTCAGGTATTGCGGGCCGATGTCTCGGTGCCTTAGCCACCATTCTACCACCCGAGAAGCAGTCACGGCACCCGTTCGGTGTCCTGCGATGACTTGCTCCTTGCGTCTGCGCGCGAAGCGACGATTGCCGTCCATGATCATGCCCACTTGACCAGGATGTCATCGCAAACCGGGCATCGAGGATGAAAGAACGCACCGTGCAAAGGGCTCGCTTTCGCGTCCTTCATACGAGAGCCTAGGAGGTGACAGCGAGAGTCCTCTATCATGTCAAGTAGGCTGGATCGAATCGCGCTCGTTGCATGGCCGGTTATGCTTGAAACTATCCCCGGAAGAGAGATCGATCCGGCCCGGTACTTCAGCAAGCTGATGAAGGCACGCTGGAGAAACGTCGGGCGGATGCGACCGCTATGTTCGAGCCACTCAATGTAGTCCACGTGCTCGATTTCGGATGCAGAGGTCGGAATGGGCCGGTCTTGCATCACGTCCATCGAGTGGATCGTCCGTAGAGTTGACTATATGTCCGATCTCAGACATTATCGATTGAAGGCAGGACCGGAATAGGACCCACAGAGACGACATTCGTCATGCCAGGCTCGATGAAGACAACGAGTGCGATCAAACCACGAAGCGGGAGCCACAACAGAAGTGGATAGAGTAGCCGTAGAAGCGCGCACAAGACTCGCTGTGTGATGCGCGAAACGGGGCTGCGCGCACTTTTGAGGACGTACTGTGATTTTAATTCCCCAGGCAGTAGGGTGGGTCCGACAAGAAATGCCGCTTTGAGGCCAAGCGACGTGATCCAACGCATGCGAGTTGAAAGCAAGATTGTCTCTTCGAGAGACAGGAAGATGTTTGTGGTAAGCTTGCACTCGGTCGAAAGTGAGTCGATACGAGCACGGAAGGCGGAGACGAAATCTGTATAGGATGAAGATAACATCTCTCTCGGGACACCGAGACGCATCGCTGCACAAGTGTACTCCCAAACGATGAGATCTTTCATGCGGGGAGACAGTCTGACAGGGATCAGAGATAGTGGGGTGTTAGTCAAAGCTAGTTCTCACTCGCCACCGAACCGCTCTTCAAACTCAATCGTCGCCCAGGTCAACGTCTGGATGACGTATACCATGAGGTCGTCCACGTAGCCGTACATCTCGATGCCGTCTGGGATCCCAAAATCCGCGCGCGTCTTCTCGGTCACCAGCCCGTGGATGTGTCTATGCACCCAGCGGAGCCAGGAGGCCGTCTGCTCTTGCTCGTGGTTGGTACCGTTCAATGCGAGCTCGACGTATATGAACTAAACGTGATCAGTCGAAAGTCAGGAGGTGTCTCCGCGTCTGACATACAGTTCGGAGGTAGCGAATCAGGGGACGTTCCCAGAAATTCGAGTGGTTGTGCAGAGCGAGGCTGATACTGGGATGGTGGATCTGTCGAGAGATAAGAGTCCGGAGCCCCCGTACCATGCCTGTCCACGCACCTGCAGTATTAGAGCCACAGTCGATCCCACAACGCTCATAAGCGCTCCGGGGTGAAAGGTGAAATCAAGCTCGCTTCTGCGAGTGCGCAATGTTCGATGCAGAGCTGAGACCAACAACATTGCTGTGAGGACAAACGCGAGGCATAGCATGAATATGTGCATGGCTTCTCTTCAGTGCGTGGGTTGAGTGGGACTCGGAGCCCCCTTGCTTTTAAGCGTCAGCCGGGGAACATAAATCTGATGACGGGTCATAGTGTATCGCTTCGGTATTCAATTAACGGAGTGATGTCACTGAATTAGGATAATTGTCCGGTCACATTGGGGCGCTGCCGTCGTATCCGAACAAGGCGCCGGTAATTCATCCTAGAATCAAAATCCATTTGACGCATACACATGCGCCGCGTGTGCTAGAACAGGTCTGCGCCACGACAGGACAGAAGATGTAGTGATGAGCGTTGTGTCAGGATTCACACGGGCCGCTGATCCGATGACAAGCTTATAGCTCAGGATCGTCGAATCAGGGCGTACTTGTTGACGTCGTAGCCCGCGTCGCACCCGGATGGCGGTAAAAGTCAAGGAGCAAACTCCCGAATCAATATACAAACAAATGTACAAATATTGATGGACCCTATCTTAACAGTACTTGCAGCTCTTCTCAAAATTCTGCTATCAAAGATCAAATTCCACTGACAAAATAAACAGATTCAAACCTCAATGGGACTCTGCTGACACGGTCAGGCACCACAGCATGCTGAAGGACAACATGAGGTAGCAGAAAGATTGTACTATCCAGAGTCACTACAAACCCAAAGATGAGCAGCTTCCATACCCCCTACAAGAACTCTTTGACCCTTACACAACATCTTTGCACCCATTAGCTCAGTTGATGAGAAAATCAACCCTAGAGAGGGGGTAATGTTATAGTTTGACCACTTTTTCATCTCTTCATCGATGATCTTATCTTATCTTGGCATGGGTTAAGTATCTTATCAGGGATCACAGCATCACATGGTCCAGGATAGGGGCTCAGGAGGGTTGTCAATCCAGGAGTAGGCAGACATTTAGCACATTATTATTTATTATGTTGTCTGTCTCAAGTAGCAAGGTGTTCTGTCGGCACAGCCAACATTCTCTAGTGCAGAATGGCACTGTTGTTGATAGCACATCAATTTTTGATGATGTCAATGATGTGAATTCCAATCTCATCTCATCTTTCAGAGCCAGATTGACATTAGAGTCTATTCAGATGGCACAAAGGCAAATGTATTTTATGTCATAGTCTGGCCACTTTTTCACCTTATCATCAATGACCTTGTCTTATCTCAGCATGGTTTATCTTATCACGGATCATGGCATCTGACGGTCCAGGCTAGGGGTCCAGGGGATTATCTCTATCAATTCAAGGCTGCGCAACATATGCTCCAGAAGGTTCTACTACAACCCATGACCAGTGCTCGATGCGGTACATAGCCTTATGACTCATTAGTTGTAGATAAGACTCAGACTGGATTTGGGTATAAATACTCTATCTACTTGGTTGTATTCTCCAGTCTTCAAATTCACTTCTCTTTTCGACTTTATTTTTGGGTTGATTGTCACATAATTCGAAGACTCCCCTCATACCCTTCTACCTCATACCTCTTGCCGCTGCACCCATTGCCGCTACACCCACTATATCCTCTTCAACCTTGTCACACTTACCCTTTTACTGAATCATCTAGTTGCCCTCTGCAATTGCAGTGAAGGGTTCATATCAAGCAAACAGCACCAGGCCACGGGTAACGTTGAGCCCAACCCAAGCCTTATGGTAGCTATGAGGAGTGCTGCGGAGACCTTTGGGAAAATGCACCTTGGGATCATTGGGCACGTGAAGAGATAGTGGAGTGGGGAGTCTTGTAGCTAGTCACGTGTGTCGTAGCTTAGTCATCGATCCAGCTTGGCTCAGGCCACCTCGCACTGACTCACCCCGCTTTCTGGAGTATCCCTACTCCATCTTGGTGATTGGAGTGTGTTTGCACTCACTTCTCTTGCTTGCATCCTGCTTGTCGCGTCGTTTTCCCGAATCACTAGCGTTTTTTGTCGTCTTTTTGCCACGTTGACACCCGCCGTTTTTGGACGCCTTGCACATCGAACGCCGCAGCCACCACTATCGCGTGAACGTTATCGCTCCACCGCAGTATTGCCCGCAGTTGCCACCACCCGTTGCACCGTTTTTGGTGCAAGATGTCGTATGAAGTTGTCTGTGAAGATTTGAAGCAGTACTTGACACCGAATGCGGATATCAAGCGCTTATTGCTGGTGACCGTGCCATGGGATGTACGGAAGAAGGGAGGTATTGAGTTGCAGGAGTGTATTCGAGCTGTGTGGGACCAAGCCATTTGCATCGGGTCGTTATTTGCGCAGCAGGCTCGAGAGGAGGGATATGCGGAAGGTCGGAGGGACGGGGTGAAGCAGGCCGTTGTGGCCGTCAAGTCGAAAGAGAACAATGCGCGACACACGCAGGAGTTGGAAACAGAGAGGATGTGGGGTTTCGAAGTTGGATGGAGACTCGCATCGGAGAAGGGCGCGGAGAAGTGAGAGAATGAGAAGGCTGTTGCTGAGGAGAGAGCAAACCAGGTGACGAATGTCATGAGGATGCACACACAGAGACGACAGGAACCATTGAGTTGGATGGACTTGGACGATGAAACGACCACGGACGCTCAGAAGCCGCTTGACTATCCGCTGGGCTGGATGGACGCGTGTGCGGAAGAGGAGAGGCGTTGGAGAGAGCAGGGCATTGCTCCAGATGGGACTCCATTCTGTATGATTCACAGTCCAGGGGAAAGCTTTCTAATACAAAGAAATGACGCGCTACTTATACTGTCTATGATGGTGCTTAGTAAAGTCCTGTACAACTGCATAGTAGCTACGCTATCTAAGATCAGTTGCTTTTTATGGTAATGAAAAAGTTGAACAATCAGACAGGTCCTGGCTGATCAGGACCCTGCCCCATTGTCCATATGGTGCTTTTGATGTGGGTCAACCCACGGCGTCATACTTTTGGAATACAATGTGCTGGATTGGCCAACTGGTATATTTTGGCAAGTGAGTCCAACGTGGGCGCCCCAAGAAGCCATATGGCCCTAGGCACTCCAGACGTTCCTCACATGGTTCGGTTCACGGATCTAGCCCGTGTTGCTTTTAGACGTGTTTGGGTATGGGCGCGACTCGCTATGACACTGTGAAGTGTCACCGCAACGCGTCCACAATGTCCCGTGATCGAGTGGATCCTGACATGTGACAAGTCATCGCCATGGCATGATCTAAGGAAACGCCTAATCCAAAATCAGGAGTTGCCGCAACAAGATTGGTTCAATCTCGCAACGCCAAGTCCTGCCTAGTAGTAGTTGTAATGTTGAGAATGTTGTGCATTGCTAAGCCCTTCAGTCCGAGTTCCCATCTGCAGAGAATGTGTTGATCAAATATCATCTGTCAAGATGGATGTCGTGATACATATCTATGACTCCATCACGTGTCATCTAGAGTCATATCGACTCGTCCCAAATAGACACAAACGGCCCCCTGTATCATATATAAGGAGGGCTCTATTACCCTTTAATACAAGTCTCTTGACTACTCCCGCATAGTGCCCACACTAAGCTCTCACTCACACAGGTGAGCTGCTAGACGCTCTCCCCAGTGCTCAACAGGTTATGGGCCCCGAGAGCTATGTCTGCGCCTCAATGGCCGCGACATTCATTGTATGCGCCGTCACTGGCTGCAACGATGAGCAGCGTCTTTAGCCTATCTGTATTCACTTCAGCTGCTGCACAGCGCTGGTGAAACCATGCCGGATCGCGATTACATCGCTTGATCCAGATGCATCAATCTCTCAAGGAGATTATGATCTATGAGAATCTGATCATCTTGATCTTTGATTTTATCTATCAGATTAGATTGATGCTGATTAACTCACACAGATCTAACATGTCGTCCAACTCCAACAACATCTTCAATGCTGTCTCCATCTTTGATGGAAAGCACTGGCTTGTCTGGTCCGGAACTATGGAGTCCTATCTGGAGCATCAGGGGATCTCATATGTGCTGACTGAGACCGCGCCAACTGAAGTCAAAGCTACCGATGGCTCTGTGACCAACGCATCGGAGATCAAACAATGGAAGCATGATGATCTCAGAGCCAAAGGCAGCATTAAGTTGCGCCTGACTGAGGGAGTCATTGCTAACATTCCTCCTGCGGATATAGTGTCAGCTGCCAAGATCTGGGCGCATCTGAAGACCCAATACGGTGGTGCTCAGTGCGCCGACCTATATGCGTACTTCCAAACCGCGTTGAACGCCAAGTACAACGTGGGGTTGCACCCGGATCCACAGCTGCTGGTGATCACTACGGCGTTCGCTCGCCTGGAGAACGAGTCTTTGAGCATCCCTGAGTTCCTCAGAGCGATGATCATTCTCAACATAGCCCGGATTCCCTCTGTCACGGAGACTGTTCTACAGACTTATGACAAGGACGAGATTAAAGTCTCGGCGGTTCGTGACGCTCTCTTGACGCATTTCGCTCAGAAGCAGTCTCAAAGCCAGAATCATGTGGCCAAGTTCAATACCAAGCGCAAGCGCGATGACCCTTCGTTCACCAATCAGCAACAGGGCTCTGGCTCTGCACCCGATAAGGGTGATAAGGCTGATGGAAAGAAGAAGAACCGTCGAGGCAAGCGCAGTGGGAAGAACAAGGACAACAAGGGCAAGGGCAAGGCTGATCACAGTCATGTCCATGGAGTCTCCGAGATCACTGGCTCCCTCACTATTGGTTCGATCGCCTCGCTCACTCCGTCTATCCCTGCGCCGACGATCTCGCATGTCACGCACATCTCTCGCGATGGACCCAAAATCCGCGCGGTTCAAGAGAAGTCTCCCGTTAACAACAATGGGATTATTGACACCGAGTTCCAGAAGCCTACTCGTAAGGTCTTCGAGCTGGCCAAAAAGATGGATGTGACGGTGACCGCAGAACGCTTCCGGACTCTCGACAAGATCGTCAATGAGAAAGGAATGCTCCGCGAGGACGCAATCATGCGTTCTCCATCTCCGGTTGCTTCCGGCTCGAATCACACGCTGGATGATGGTCCTCCTGCCAAACGCAGTCGTATCGAGGAGATCCCCGACGTCGAGATGGCCACCGGCCAACAGAACGATCTTGATCTTCTGTTTGGAGATAGCGAGTTCGCCCAGGCTGAACCCGTCAACTGGGATGAGGTCGTCGACTTCAAATCCCTTCTGGAGGAGATGGACGCTCCTTCCGCCGAAAGGCAAGTACCCTGCCTTCTTGGGCACATGCACAATTCTGATTGTTGCTCACAGCCAGAGCGCGTAATCACCGCCGCCCCGGGTTCTGTACTTAATTCGTTGATGATTCGTTCGCATGATTTTTGTACCAATCTATTCTGTGTGCACTCCGATTTTGCTGCCTGCTCTAAGTGTAAGGGGAAACATCATCATCATGAATTAGGGCCTCTATGGCTTCTTGATTCAGGTGCATCTCTCCATGTGACATCGGAGATTAGTGATCTGGTCGGATATGAGAAGCTCTCAGATCCTATTGTTGCTCAGACCGCTGATAAGAACACACGTGTTGCCCTTATTGGTCGAGGAACAGCCTTCATCGATCATTACGTCACAAGGCATGGAGAAAAGACAATGGTGACTTCCCAGATATATCCAGTGTACCTAGTGCCAGGATTACATGGTCGTCTCATGTCTTTGGGCTCCTTACTCAAAGGAGGATCTCGCGTTCGTGGAGACGAATCGCGGATCAGCTTACATCGAGGGAAGTCCCCACTCTCGATCATGGAGTTTAGAACTCTAGGGAAGGACATTGCTTTGTACTTCCTGATGTCAAAGCCTAGCACGGCTGAGACAGTGCGGTCCATGTCCACTGTATACAAGGTGGATTATGAGATCATGCACCGGCGATTTGCACATCCGTCGAAAGACGTTTTACGTCAGGCAAAGAAGAATACCAAGGGCTTTCCAGAAGACCTAGTATTTCCCGAGGAAACCCGACCGTGTAAAGGATGCGCGCAAGGGAAAATGCACCAACGTGCCTTCCCGCCTTCCGAAAAACGAGCGGAGAATCCGTTTGATTTGATCCACTCGGATCTCAAACAATTTCCCACGGTGTCTTATCACAAGTACCGCTACTTCATGAGCTTCTTCGACGAAGCACTCTCCTATGGCTGGACAGTATGCCTTGTGCAGAAATCCGATGCCAAGCAGGCTATGCGCAATTTCATTGCGATGGTCAAGAACCAGTTCAATGTCACCATCAAAAAGTGGCATATTGACAATGGGGGAGAATTCATGGGGATGGGAATGGAAGAATTTCTCGCGGAACAAGGAATTCTAGTGGAGAAGGGTGCTCCATATGCTCACCAGCAGAATGGGCATGCCGAGCGCTTCAATCGTACGATCATGGATAAGGCAGAAGCCATGCGCTTCACTGCCTGTCTTCCTAATTCATATTGGGAATTCGCTATCAAACATGCGACACGGATCTACAATTTGACACCTATCAGGCGTCTAAAATGGAAAACTCCATTTGAAGCTCTTCACAAGGAAAAACCGGATGTTTCCGAACTCCGAGTCTTTGGTTGCGCTGCATATGTCTTTATCCCTGATGAGAAGCGCGCCAACAAGTTATCGCCCAAATCGGAGCTGATGACCTACTTGGGCATTCCTGATGGTGTGAAAGGATTTTTGTTCATGCGCACAAACAATTCCACGTTCGTTGCCACCAAGGCATTGTTCGACGAGGAGTTGTTCCCCCGCTGTCCTGACAGCAATCGACCACCCCACGTTCCTGTTGGAGAGGAATTTCCAGAACGTGATGACCCAGTGAATCCACAAGATCCACCACAGGTAGACGGAGAAGATTGGCTATATGGAGATAATCCTTTTCCATTTCCCATGCCATCTGATCCGGCTCCACCACCTCCCGTACAGGGAAATGATGATGGTGACGACGGTCATAATCGTCAGGACCCACCGCCAGAGCGTCGGGATGAACCTCAGAGGACTCGTAGAAGTAGAATTCCACGACCAAGTCGGGAAGCTTCACCAGCTCCTGAGCCTCGAAGGTCTTCACGCCAGCGGAATGTGCCTACACGTCCAGGAAACGTCTATGGGGAAAAGCGTACCCCTACGGATATAGTCCGTGACATTCAGAACAGCAGAGGATGGAAGCGGTATGTTGGTGAAGATAAGGGTAGCTCCCAATCTCAACCATCAACCGGTGCTGATGCAGGGGTTCCCGGCCCTAGCTCGCAACCAGATTCCTCAAACGCGGGTGCTTCTGATGATCTAGACGAGGATGCACGCATGGAGAAGCTATGCCGGGAAGGGGGAGTAGAGCTCATCACGGCGCTGCTGTCAAAAGCGGTTCCAAATGAGAACCTACCTGATACGTCCAAAATTCGCGATTGGACGTTCCGCGATATCAAGCGGTTGCCTTCTGAACAACAGAAAGGTTGGATTGATGCTTGCCGCGACGAGTTAGAGGCACTTCGTCAGCGCAAGGTCTATTCCCTTGTGGACCGCCCGAAAGGACGGAAGGTTATCAGATGTCGCTGGGTCTTTGACCAAAAATCTGATGGCCGAAAACGTGCCCGCCTAGTTGCCAAGGGTTTCAGTCAAGTCGAAGGAGTTGACTATGACGAGATATTCTCTCCTGTTGTCAGGTATGAGACGTTCCGGTTGGTCATGGCGCTTGCAGCGCTCAATGATTGGCATTGGTCTGGACTCGATGTCAGTAAGGCTTTTCTCTACGGAGAGCTTGACGAAGAGGTCTACATGGAACAACCCGAAGGCTTTGTGGCGAGAGGCCAAGAGCGCAAAGTCATGCGCTTGCACAAGGCAATCTATGGACTCAAACAAGCTGCTTTAGCATGGTGGAAAGCGCTGACCAAGTCCACGAAAGCCATGGGCTGGATCCGACTAACATCGGATGCTGGCGTGTTCTTCTACAAGGACTCTGATGGCAGCATAGCCGTCATAATAGTCTATGTGGATGATGCTCTGTTCTTCTCCAAGAACAAGAAGCTCCTCGCCTTTCTCAAGGCTGAGTTCAACAAGCGATGGGAATGCCGCAATTCTGAAGATACTCCAGAGTTCTTGCGCGTGCGCCTCAGTAGAGTAGGATCTTCGATCAAGATTGATCAGATTCCTTATCTCGACAAGGTGCTAGAGCGCTTTGGGATGCAGAACGCCAAGTTCGCAGCGACCCCTCTACCGGCTGGATATGTTCCAATGCCAAATGAGGATGAAGTCGATCCAGAGCTCAGGAAGAAATTCCAATCAGTCATTGGATCTCTTCTCTTCATCATGCTAGGCACACGTCCTGACATTGCATTTGCTGTGACCAAATTGTCACAATTTGCCGCCAATCCGTCCCAAGACCACCTCCATAAAGCGCTGTATATCTGCCGCTATTTGGCTGGTACTAGGAATTATTCGCTCATTTTCAATGGTGCGACGGATAGAGGGCTAATTGCATTTAGCGATTCAGACTGGGCTGCTGATCCGATCAAGAGGAAGTCTACCACTGGTTTCTTCACGAAATTGGCAGACGGGATTATTTGCTGGCAGTCTAGGCTTCAGCGCACTGTCGCGCAGTCTTCGACCGAAGCAGAATACATGGCGATTTCAGATTGTAGTCGCCAGGTGATGTGGCTGAAGAGTGTCCTTTCGGAACTCCAGTTCAAACTCACCATCCCAGTACCCATTTGCGGTGACAATCAGGGTGCACTCTTCAGTGGCAGCAATGCCTACCGAGACCGCAGGATGAAACACATAGACATCCGCTATCACTACATTCGTGAGCGAGTCGAGGAAGAAGAGGTTGAACTGTTCTTTATTCCGGGCAGTGAGAATCCTGCAGATATGTTCACCAAGAACCTAGGACGCGTCAAGTTCGAGAAGTTCAGATCTCAACTAGGACTTGAGTTCAACTCGTCCTGAAGGAATGGCCGATGAAGATTCGCTTTCAAACACTATCCCGTGGTTTTCAGCGTGGGGGAGTGTTGATCAAATATCATCTGTCAAGATGGATGTCGTGATACATATCTATGACTCCATCACGTGTCATCTAGAGTCATATCGACTCGTCCCAAATAGACACAAACGGCCCCCTGTATCATATATAAGGAGGGCTCTATTACCCTTTAATACAAGTCTCTTGACTACTCCCGCATAGTGCCCACACTAAGCTCTCACTCACACAGGTGAGCTGCTAGACGCTCTCCCCAGTGCTCAACAGAATGACCCTTTTAAGGAGTTGCCGCAACAAAGTATCCCTTTTGGGGAATTGTCGCGATCCAAGTGTTCATCACTAATAGCTCTGAGCCTAGTATAGACTTATAAGACCAATTCCACAGTAGTGGTCTGACTGCTTTGCCATCGTCAACACTATCCACAGTTGTCGACTGAGCAGCAAACCCCTAAGTCCTACTGAGCACATCACTGGCACCCCCAACATGATACACCAAGTGGTTCAAGAGTAACCTCTGTAGAAGTGCAAAAAAACGCCCTTATAGAGTTGGTGCAGAGCACATATGGTAGCCAGCCCATCAGCAATCACATGCCAGATCCCAGGCTGATCAGTCCGAGGCAGGGGTTCCCCTGACACCAACACTCAAAGCTGGACACTGGGATTATCTAATCCATTGCTACAAACCCAAAGACAAGGGCCTCCCATATGTCATAATTTGACCACTTTTTCATCTTTTGATTGAAAATCTTATCTCATCTTGACACAGGTTATCTTATCACAGATCAGGGCACTACACAGTCTGGGTTAGGTGTTGAGAGGTGTTATCTGTACAGAGGCTGCACAGCATGTGTTCCAGAAGGTTCTACCAAAGCCCATGACCAACGCTCCACATGGTACATAGTCTCATGACTTGTTTGATGTAGATATGACTCACACTGGGACTGGTATAAATACTGTAGCTATTGTCATGTATTCCCCAGTCTTGGAATTCATTCTTATTATTGACTTTGTTTTGGGTTGATTTTCACACCCTGACACGTGACATGACACAACATGCAATGTATCAAGCAGCATCTCCAAAATCATGCCAGATGTTTCAAAAAAGGCCCCCCCCCAAAAAAAAAAAAGTCACTTGATAATGCACCCACTGGCCACCATGGTGTGGAGGAGATGGTAGTGCCCCACCAATACCCCTGAAAACCTCTGCCAGCATTCTTGTAAATTTCATCCACCACATCACGTGAGTTTTTTATCCCTCCATCCTGCCCCTTGAAGGCTAGTCGGATACCAACTAGAAAGGTGCCTCCATCATTGCCTCCAATCAGTGCTTTCAGGGGGTGTTTTGATGGCCTCCAGAAGGGGCCTCGCAGCCTTTTTAAATTATAATTGGAGGTTGCTGGGGTAAAATTCTACACATCGTGCGCTGACTAAGATTCTACTGCAAATTTTTCTCTTCCCAATTTGGTTTATACAGCTAGCATAAGTAATCTCTCACTGCTCCCGAGGATCTCCGATTGTGTCGCTCGTGTATAAGATTGTGGACTGACTAGCATTCTAAATCAATATTTTCTCTTCCACTTCCGCTGCTCTGTGTTGCTGACATAAGTAACGTCTCGTCACCACCGGGGGATCTCCGACTGTTTCTCTGTTTACTTCCCGCCCCTAATCTCCCGCTCGGCATAGGCATCCAGAGTCTGCAGCCAGTCTAGCTCCGATAACTCAGGCCACAGTTTATCGATGAAGTGCAATTCGGCCGCTTGGCTGTCCCATAGCAGAAATCTATCACAGTCAGCAAGTTTTTTTGCAGAGCGCTCTCGAATGCGTCGACATACCCGCTGGTCCTACAAAAGACACAGGTCAGGTAATGCTTTCGAAAACAGAAATGTAGCGCACCGCTTTTCAGAGGTGCGCACAATCAGATCCACAGGGGGAATACCCTGCTCACGGCCGTACATCTCACGCGAGACACTCGCCTCGCTGATGCGTTCCTGACGGTCCTGGAGCGACTTGACAGCGTCCACAATCTCCTCCCTGCCCCCGTATCCGACAGCGATCTGCAAAAACAGAGCATCATACCCACCCGTCACTCGCTCGACAAAGTCCATGGCCTCGACCAGCGTGGGCGGCAGTTTAGTCCGGGCATTCGCGCTGCCGATGAAGGTGATCCGGATGCGATAGAGATGAACGACGCTGGAGAACGCGAGCGCCTTGAACTCGCTCGTCATGAGGCCGAACAGCCCGTCCTGCTCCGCAGTCGGCCGGGCGAAGTTGTCTGATGAAAAGGCCCAGCATGTCAGGTATCGCGGGCCGATGTGGCGGTGCCTGAGCCACCATTCTACCACCCGAGAAGCAGTCACGGCACCCGTTCGGTGCCCTGCGATGATTTGCTCATTCCGCCGACGAGCAAAGCGACGATTGCCGTCCATGATCATGCCAACTGGATTTGGGATGTCAGCTCGAATTGATCATCGGGGATGGAGGACCATACCATGCAAAGGGCTCACTTTCGCGTCCTTCATACGAGAGCCCAGCAGACGAGAGCGGGACCTCTCGATCATGTCAAGCAGATGAAATCGAATTGAGCTCGTTACGTGGCCGATGATGCTCGAACACATCCTCAAGAGGGAGATAGAGCCGGCTCGAAACTTCAGCAAGCTAATGAAGGCACGCTGGAGGAACGAGGGGCGGATACGGCCACTATTTTCAAGCCAGTCAATGTAGTCTGCGTGTTCTATTCCAGAGGCAGAGGTCGGGATTGGCCGATCCTCTATTACGTCCATCGAATGGATCGTCCGCAGAGTTGACTGTTTACGTGCAAATTCAGCTGCTATCACGCGGAAGAAAGACGGAGTGAAACTCGCCGATACAACGCCTTTCATGCTTGGCTCGAGGAAGATAACGAAAGCAATCAAACCACGAAGTGGGAGCCACAGCAGGAGCGGATATAGCAGCCAAAGAAGCGCGCATAAGACTCGCTGCACCATGCGCGAAACGGGGCTGCGCACACCAGCGAGGACGTACTGTGCCTTCAACTCCTCCGGCAATAGGGTATGTCCGACGAGAAATGCCGCCCTAAGACCCAGCGACGTGATCCAGCGCATGCGAGTTGAGACCAAGATGCTCGCTTCCAAGGAAAAGATGATGTCGGAGGTAAGCTTGCACTCGGTCGAAAGTGAGTCGATACGAGCACTGAAGGCGGAGATGAAATCTGGATAGGATGAAGATAGCATCTCCCTCGGGACACCGAGACGCATTGCTGCACACGTGTACTCCCATACGATGAGATCCTTCATGCGGGGCGACAGTCTGAAAGGGATCAGAGATAGCAGAGAGCAGTGGCAGCACTCGAGTACTCACTCGCCATTGAACCGCTCTTCGAATGCAATCGTGACCCAGGTCAGAGTCTGAATGACGTAGACCTTGAGGTCGTCCAGGTAGCCGTACATGTCGATGCCATCTGGGATTCCGAAATCGGCGCGCGTCTTCTCGGTCACCGGCCCACGGATGTGCCGATGCATCCAGCGTAGCCAGGAGGCCGTCTGCTCTTGCTCCTGGTTGGTACCGTTCAATGCGAGCTCGACGTATATGAACTAAGCGTGATCAGTCGAATGCGTCGAGGATTATGACAATTGGCATACGGTACGGAGATAGCGAATCAGCGGACGTTCTTGAAAGTTCGAATGATTGTGCATGGCGAGGCTGATACTGGGATGGTGGTTCTGTCCAAAGATGAGAGTCCGGACAACCGCACCACACTGCGTCCACCCACCTGCAGTATCAAAGCCACAGTCGATCCGACAACACTGAGCAGCGCGCTAGGTTGGAAGTTGAAGTCGATCTCGTTTCTGCGAGGGCGCAATGCCCGATAGAAAGCCGAGGCCAGCATCGTTGCTGGGAGGGCAGAGGCGAGGCAAGATATCAACAGGTGCATGTTTAGTGACTTGGGTGAGGTTCGGAATCACCCTTGCTTTTAAACGTGAGCTGGGGAAAGTGCAGCCGATCTATGAGTTGCAATCCTCGCTCCGGCGTTAAATCAACGGCCTGAGGACACCGAATGAGGATAATATCCGGTCACATTGGGACGCCGAGGTCGTACCCGAATAAGGAGCCCCAAATTCATCCTTAGTCTAGAAATTGACTCATTCGCGACATGCGCTAGCAGAGGTAGTGCTGCGCCGCCGTAGGAAAGAAGATGTGGTGATGGCGTTGTGTCATGATGAACATTTTCCGATGATCCGATGACCGCCGGAAAGATCAAGCTCGTGACTCGTTGAATCTTTAGTGTTGTGTGCGACCCTGAGCGCAGAAAAAGACGTTGAAATGATGTCCAGTTCTAATACAGGAAATTCAAACAACGCGTTCTCATCTCATTCGCGAAGTGTGGATCTGAAATAATCCCTAGTTTCTGGTCAAAAATTAAGACCAGTTGATTGATTGATGGCAACTTGGTCTATGATATCAAGTTCTCAAACGGCCGATAACACGGCAGGAGTCATCGAAACAGACAATGTCTTGTGAAACCCCATGGTGCAAGCTTGCGTACAACTGGCTGCACCCTACAACTTTGAATGCCTGAGAACAAATGGTGAATGTCTCGCGGATTTCACTTTGTCCACATCAGCCATTGTGACAGGACGGCATTCAAAAGCGTGATTATATCCAAGTCTGCTGACCTGCTGTCAGCATCCGGACCAAATAAAATTTCATACATCCAGTCCAATCGGGCTCACCGATTCCGGCCATCCTCGCCCCCAATCTTGAAGAACTCCGGCCGCCGAAGAAGAGCAACAACCACAGCGCCTCCGAGCCCAAAATTATGCACGAGGCCGTATTTACCACGCGCATCCTCACCAAGGCTTTCAAATAGGCCGGGAGCCTGCATTGGACCGGCCCAATTGCGTAGCTGCATCACAATAGAGAAGTGCATGCACAATCCGGTGGCGCCCAATGGATGCCCCCGGGCCTCCAACCCGCCCGATGGATTGATCACAAATTTACCGCCATACTAGAGTGCATGTTAGCGCGGCGACTGCTATGGACCAATCGCATGAAATGCTGACGGTGTTGTCTCCGCGTTCAACGAATTTATGGGCTTCGTTCTCAGCACAGAGTCGTAGCGCGGGGTACATAATCAACTGTGCTTTCTTTTTAGAGATCGGCCGCATAATGGGATCTCGAAAGAAAAAAGACTGACCTCGGCTGCAGCGAAACAGTCGTGCAGCTCAATCACCCCCACCTGGTCTCTGCCCCCGTCTGGCGCAAAGCCTGCTGCTTCGAACACCTTGTCTGCGCACAGCTGGGTCATGCTGTATGTCACCACATCCATGGCGCTGTTTCCCTCCAATGATTCTGGTCCATCCGTGGCTAATCCGATTGCGACGATCTCGATCGCCTGGTTCTCGAGCCCATGTGCATGCACGAACTGCTCCGACGCGACGATTCCGCACGCTGCGCCGTCCTAAATCATTGTCTCAATATCCAAGAAAATTTCAGTTCTGCCAAGGAGACTCACACAAGTCGGGGTGCACATGAACTTCCTCAACTCGTTCGTCACCTTGGGTGCGTCTAGAATCTGCTCCTTCGTCCACCCGGCGCGGAACTGGGAGTACGGATTATGGACCGAGTGCTTGTGGTTTTTTGCGGCGATGAGCGCGAGGTGCTCGATCCCGCCGCCGAATTTCTGGAAATACTCCTGTGCGCCGTTGGCGCACATCCTCGCAGGATCGGGCCCGCGGTTCTTCCCCAGACCTTGGCTCGTCTCGAGATCCCAACTGTGGCTCTCGAGCAGCGACGTTGGTGGGGTGCGGTCGGGAAAATGGGTGCATAATGAGCCTGTAATTACGTCAACGGAAGTCTGCGGAGGGTGGAGGACGCACGTACCAGGGCTCATACGCTCAAATCCCAACGCGAGGACACCTGCCGGATTGTCAGTAGCAGCCCCTGCAGTCGAAATGACACACGCACACTCGGCCTGTCCGTACTTGACGGCCAGATCCGCGTGATACAACGCCGTGGATCCAGTCGCGCAATTGTTATTGACGTTCGTTATGGGAATGTTGGTCAGCCCCAGTCCATAAAGAGCGCGCTGCAATCCAGTCAGCATCGGGCCTATGCCAGCCGTTTCAAACTTGCTTGGCCTGAAGTCGAATCGCCGTAGCAGTATCCGACAAGAGCTGAATCGATCGAATCAGGGCTACATGAATTAGCCGCGGGACCCGCTGGGACCCGCTGGAGTCCCGCAGGGCAAAACTTGCACCACCGCGGGACCACCGCATGTCCCGCTGGGACTCCCGCCGCTCGATCTGGGACCACTGCTAGACATCGTTGAATACAATTTTGTTGTTGCACATAGACTACCACCAACTTTTTACCATAGTGAAACAGGCTATATGAAAATTAACTGCGCGACCCGCTGGGTCCACTGGGTGAACAACTTAGATCATCTAAAGTTAGATGTAACTACCTATTGATGTATGCACCATACCGTACTCGTCATCGTCGTTGAGGGCGGCGGTCTGTGAAAGAAAAAAGTGAGGTCCGCTGGGCCTCCGCTGGGTTGGCCCAGCGGCGTCCCGCAGTAATTTCCGGTTGCCCCGCTGTTGTGAATGCACACAGGTTGAGGTTTACTTAGAATGAATTTTCCCATTCAAGGAGCGGTCTCCAATACTTTAATCATTCAAAGACGAGTTTTACTAGTCCCTAGCTTTCAGGCTAACCAATAACATAGAACTCTTATTTTTCAATATATTCGTTGTCGTCGTTGCGAACGATGAGCAGGATCATGATGTGGCTGTGAAGTTTGATGTGCGATGCGACGAGCACGATGATGATGAGGCGGCTGTGCAGTCGATGTGCTGTGCGGACGATGATGAGGTGGCTGTAACGTTGATGTAAGACGACGATGGGGACGGCGGTGTGCAGCGGTGATGTTATAGAGCATCACTGCCGGATTGTGTCGGTGAGCAGAGGATTCCGCGGTGTGCACGCCCGCTGGACCTCCGCTCAAGTCCCGCGGGGCATTTGAGACGACTGCTGGAGTCCCGCAGGGTCAAGTGGGACTATCGCTGGAGTCCCGCGGGACCTGCTCGACCTCCGCTGGAGTCCCGCACACCGGTTAAGCACTCCCGCTGGAGTCCCGCGGGGTCATTTTCCATTCCCGCTGGAGTCCCGCTGGGTTTAGTCCCGCTTTAAGTAGAGTCCCGCGGGACCCAATTCTTCGACCTCGTTGTCCTCAACAATGTCAACACTACGAGTGATGCAACTAATTGGGATATCTTGTTACTGTATCAGACTCTATGCTAAGGTTGACAGAACATTGAAAAGTTCTGCCATTGTCGAGAGCGGGACTTCGATTTTTCAGAGGTCCCGCTGGGCCAGACCTGCGGGGGTCCCGCGGCGAATTCTGTAGGCCCATCGAATCATAGGTAATCCCTGGCCACGCAGTTGGAACAGCTGTTGGCTAGGATGTAGTGTACCAGAGCGTGCCTGCATCCAGAAGCGCCTTGGTGGCAGCTTCGAGTCCCATATCCTCCGTGGCCCGGGCTCCTCTGGGTTTGGTGAAAGCCGTGCACCCGACGCCGATGATGAAGGTTCGTCGGGCTTGAGGCATTCTGCACAGCGCGAAGATATCACAGTATGTAGCGGGTGCTGGGGCAGTCTAAGCAATAGGACACTCATCCAGGGAGCTTTTCACTCACAGATTCTCTTGTGGATGTGCGATACACTTGTCGGAGCTTGTCGAATGCAGAGCCAAGGCAGCGATACACGACTTATATACCTGTCCGAAGTGAGTGACATCTTCGATCATATCCAGCTTCGAGGGTTGAAAAACTCCTCCAGAATCCCAGATACAGCCGCTGCAAAGGGGCTACATGAAAGTGCCGCGGAGTGCTGTTGGAGTGCCGCAAAACTTTTGGAGTGCCGCAGGTTTGAGCCTGGAGTGCCGCAGGATTTCTGTCACGCGCCGCAGATATCACGCTGGAGTGCCGCAGCGACCTACGAGGCAGGATATTTACATATTTATATTTTTACAATTTTATTGAAAGTACTCAAAACAAAAGCAATCGGCAGGCCAAGGCACTGTCACCGTGTTTCTGAGCAATGCCCCTCGCGGTGCTGATGTCCCATCAATGTGGTTTGATGGCTTTCTGAGCGGCCGTTTTTGCTCACTCTTGTGAGTCCACTTCATTGCAAAGCCCAGAACGAAGTCGAAGACGATCTATAAGTCTGATTTATCGGTTTCTACAATAGTTAGAGGCATTCACCATGGCCCAAATGTCGAAACAATACAATCCCTCATGGATTCATCTTCACTAGAATGTGTATAACTCATTTTACATTCATTTTGAACTTGAATCGTGCACAATAGGTGGTATTCAGAACACTTGAGAGTGTCTTTGTGATGAAAAAATGCTCTCTGTAAATTCAAGTCAAGTCCACCCTTCCGGTGGTCAATGAGCTCGAGACAATCACATCTCCCAGGCATCATAGAGGCCTACAATCCAAAAACAGGCTTTCAGGACAACTACATATACAATTCTATTGAAATTCGACTAATTCAAGTCAAAATATTAGCGATTGACTAGCGCAGACAGCGTTGGATGTGCCTGCGGCGCTCTCCAGAGAGTAGCTGTGCTTTGGAGCGCCGCAGAGATGTCACATGCGTCACACTGGAGTGCCGCAGACTCATTTGGAGTGCCGCAGACTTGTTTGGAGTGTCGCCAGAGGTTCCGCAGGAGTGCCGCGGTGTGCTGTGGAGTCTGCGGCACACTGTTCTGGAGTGCCGCAGGAGTGGGATCTCTATCGCTGCCGCCGACGACAACGGCGTCTGGAGTAGTCCCGCTGCCTGCGCGAATCATTCCCACGTCCATCAACATCTCAGCCGACGTGGACAGCATGTTGATCGTTGTCGTTGTCGTCGAGATCAATGATGTGGAGTATTTGGAGTACCGCAGGAGTACCACAGGAGTGCTCCTGCGGCACTCCGCGGCACTTTCAGTGAGCCCGCTGCAAAGGCGCAAGCATGGCACGCTGCTGAAGCTACGGCGGTTGTGAGCTCGTAAAAGCCATCCAGCGCCAACGTGTAGACGAATTCTTGGCCTGAGGAACTCGTGAGCAGGCATGAGGATAATGCGTGGCATAGAAATCGAGTCGTCAGTCGGTCACTGCAATGATTCGCTTGACAGGAGCAGAGGCACACATTTGAGGGAGCTCGAAAGCCCTATGGATCGGGACTAACGGGGTCAGTCACGTTACATAATGCTGATCCGATATCTCCGAATACGTGCTCTGTCCTCCGCAGTCACAGCCAACCAGATGAAGAATCTGCGATGATGCCTTCTGAAATGGAAAAACGGGGTCAGTCTCTCAGTCCATCGAGGCTTTTCAACCTTTCTAAGTCCACTTCCGTTCTTCTCGAGGAATGAGGTGTGCAGCCCCCAGCTGCAAGTATAAGTATCCGAGGGTTGTATAGTGGTTGTTGACCTGGTCATCCGACATGGACGATCTGCCAATCTTCACCTGGGACACTACCGCCGATAAAGTTGCTGACACGTTCGCCGAACAAATCATGGGAAAGAACGGTGCGCATCCACTAGTTCTCACATCCGGATGAGTCCACGTTCTGACAGGGTTGCTTCAGTCCTGATCACGGGAACATCGTTGAATGGAATTGGATTCGACACCGCCAAGTCTATCGCCAAATACGCCAATACGGTAATTGTCTCTGGATACGATAGTCAGAGGTACTTCGACCGTCGTCCTCTCTCAACAAGGGATTGACGTTCTCTGGGGCGACAGGCTGCGACAGACGGTTGACGCGCTCGATGGGGACTTGACGAGCGCAATCATTCGACCCCTCCACTTGGACCTGACCTCGTTTGTCAGCGTTCGTCGAGCAGCAGCGGAGGTCGCGGGCTGCGTCGACCGCTTACACGTACGTGGAATGGTCACATCTAATTCTCAGCTTTGCTGTGCATATCCGACACCCTCATCCGCAGGTCCTCATCCACAACGCTGCCGCCGCCGTGACAGTGCGGCCCAACCTCACCGAAGACGGATTCGAAACCCAGCTCCAAGTCGGATTCCTCAGCCCGTTCCTGCTCACGGCCCTGCTCAAGCCCCAACTCCTCGCAGCTCGAACGCAATCGTTAGTGGTTTGGAGTCGCGGGCATTTCCCGCGCTCCCCCGATATCCCTCCAGTCGACTTGCCCGCCGTTCGCAATCCAGATCCAGCGCGGTACCGGGGCTTGGACGCCTATCGACAGGTGAAAGCTGCAGGAATTATATTTGCGCGCGAGATGACTCGGCGTTGGGGGAATGACATATATGCGTTCAGCGTCCATCCAGGGGGTGCGCAAATCCTTGGTTTGTCTCACCTCGTGGCTTACAGACTGATTGCAGCGATTTTCACAAACATGATGCTGAAAGAAGATTCTCTGGCAGTCTTGGAGGGCATCATGCTCCGTCCGGACGGATCCCCACGGCTCAATATCTCGGTTCCGTGGAAGGATCTCCAGCAGGGCGCGTCCACGTGAGTAATCCATAGAACACGTCGATGTCATGTCCATGGGTCCATCTTCCAGCACTCTGGTAGCAGCATTCGATACCCGGCTTGCAGGTGTGTTCATTGAATTGTAAGATAGTCTCAAAACGCCTCAACTTACGGCTACAAAGATTCATCTGGCGCCTACATTGATGATTGCCAGATCGGAAAGATCGCCAAGTATTGCGAGGATTTGGCAAGTGCTCTGCGGTCCACTTCTTTGAAAGCACTGACATGTCACAAGGGTTTCGCGAAAAAACTATGGAGCTTCGCTGAAACTGCCACTGGATTGCGGCCATTTGAGTTTTCTGATGGAGGAGAGGGAGAGATCGGGCTCAAAGCCAAACTGTGACAGCGCTCGGATATCTAGTCATGTTTTCTTTCTCTCGTCCTTGAAGACTCCGGTGAGGGGTATGTCTTTCGGCGAATCGGTTCATGGATAGCCCTTGCATTCCTTCCATCGCATTTGAGACGGCGACTTTGCGCTCGTACGAGATGAAGGAATCTAGCCTCCAATCGAAGATTCTCCGCGCCATATATGCTGCGCTGAAACCGGTTCTGGGGTTCCTTTGTGATTAATTCCAATAACACGAGGCGGAAGAGCGCTGTCAAGGCGGAATTCCAACTGTGGGCCCAGACCTCCAAGGCAGAACCTTGAATCCGGCTACGTTGGCCTCTGCTCAAGAAGCCGTTCAATTATTTTCGCAGTCTCGCAGTGAGCAAATAACAAGCCCTGAATCCTCCCACCGTCTCCTCATTTTCAGTATTTTGTCGCCCTTGGAACGTCGCCCCGCTATCTTTGTCAACACGTTTGCAAACACGCGATGGTTTTCTTGGAATCACTGTGTCTGGCTCTCGTGATCCATATCTACAGTTCAAATGTTTCATAGCCGGGCCAACTGCCATGAGCGCGTCGAGAATCGTCGACCAGGTTGCTATTTCCTTGCCACGGTCGGTCAAGATGACCGAATCGATGAGATATATCCGGAGCTAGAGGGAGAGATTCGGCAATCACTTCCTCAGCTACGGGTGTCAACGTCTGCCGCTTGATCTGTTGAGCCGGTCTGATCTTCGCCGAGTGTCGCTCAAACGCAGCACCTGGTCGAGTGCAGACAAGTTTTGCTGTTAATTTATTTCGGATCCACGAATCTCGCCGACCCCTGACCTCACAGCGGCCTCGCACACATAGTCGGACCTCCACATAAAGGTTATACTATCTGGTCTGATCCTGATCCAATCCTTTCGCATTTCAACTGCACTGTTACAAGCGCTGGACGACTAGTTTGCATGAGGCTTGCAGCGGGCGCCGGGATGCTACATCCCATCTGTGCACCGTCCAGAAGATCCCGCTCAAGTAGATCTCGGGCGTCAAGTTGACTGCGTGTTTCAACAAAGTGGGTCATGCACACAAATCATGCCAGGTTTTTGGTTCAACCTTGTTTACACGACACTCACTTAGTGTCCGTTTTCGGCTCCTGATACCGCCATCTCCGGCCCGGCGTTAGGGAACACGAACGGATCGTTTCAATCGGTGCCAAGGCTCAAAGCCGACTCTGGCCGATCGGGCCGCATGACCGGCCTGTCAGACTTCAAATCTTGCGGTTTGGAAGTCCATCAGAAGAGGGGCTCCAAGTAAGGAAATTAGAACACTTGGAGTACCGCTCGTGTTCTGAGAATAACGAATCGATTATCAGAGCCGCACAAGCCCAGACGGCGGCCATACAGATGGATGGATATAAATTTAGTCTGACGGTCGATTTTTTTTGGGGGCTGAGACAACTTCAAGAAGGCACTCCCGCTGCATCCAAGTTGTTCGGGCACCGAAATCGACAGTTTCGGGTTCCTGGGACACACCGACCGATGTCATTCATCGCCTGCTGACATTCAGGCCGTCAGATGTCTGCACTATCTACATCGACACCGGCCAAAAATCGGGTGCGGTATTCTTATTTCAACACGTGCGACAATTTCGGGCACTGAATCCACGACATAGAGGAGTCAGAGGTGTCTATTTCAACACTTGGGCGCGGCATGTACACTCAATTTGCCGGAGCAGAGTGCGAAAGGAGCACCGTCAACTTTCACGCTACTCATTGATCGGTTGAAGAAGCCCGCGCAGATCTGCCGGGAGTGAAGGTTGCTGCTTCAGCGTGCCAAAGTGAGATAGCCGTTTGAGCTCTCAGATCTGCAGTCGATGTTGAGAAGAATTGTCTTGGACGGCGGGGAGCGAAGCCTTCACCTGGGCACCGTCTAGATGCAGGGTGGCGAAATGATCACCCGTGGTTCAAGCCAGAGGATGAGAATCAGCGAGATGTCGATCTCATAAGGGACTAGATCCCCGCGCTCAATTGAAGTTAATGTAAGAACGTCGAACTCTAAAGTCAAAGCTCTTGATTGGATTCTCGACGGTGATTATTTGAGAGCCTCTTTCGAACCGCAGAGCTCCTGAGGCAAAAGCAAATCCAGCAGCGCAGGTTTTCCGCGGACAGGGTTTCCGTACAGTTCGGGAGGTGCTGATACCCGAAACGACAGCATGAATGTAGGGGTTTCCGATGGCCAGAATCAGACCTGCAGAAGATATATTGTCGTAAGTCGAGACATGAGTGGTCGTTGAGCTGATGCGACGGCTTGGGATCCCCCCGAGCTCTCTATGAACGACGTGTACTGGATTCAGGACCGTATCAACAATCATTTAGAATCAATGGACATGCCAGAATGTTCCTATGTACATACTTCACTCAACGGCACTGACGTTCGGGGAGCGTTTGGGCCTGACTGCTGGCGTCGAACAAGGTGCGATCACGGAAAATAGTGATGTCACATCAGTGATGTCAGTGACCAATGCGGTAAAATCTTCTTCACCAGTCCCATCCAAAGCCTCGTTGCAGTCGCGTTTTTTGCTGCATCGTTTCCTCATTGGAATATCGAATGGCCTGGGCGGCCCGCAGGCTCAAGCTCTGTCTCTGCACCTTTGTCTTCGACACGTCATCGCCAGACTTCGAATCCAATGCCTTCCGATTTCCCATGTGCCCTCACCCACCATCTTCTGGCCGATGACGATCCATCAACCGGCGCAGAACAAGATTATTGTATACCGGTGGGCGCCGGGACGTGAGCAGGCGGAGCGCATGGAGCACTTGTCAGGCCATTTTGAGCCAATCTCGCAAATATGTACGTTTTCTCTCTATTGTCTTCCGCAGGCACGAACACACGCTAATGACTTTTGCTGTTACAGGCGCCGCCGAAGGCAGACGGACAGATGCACGTGCACATTTGATACAATTTGGCGGACCACGGCGCGATGGGGAGTGTGCTTAAAAGCCACGGTCTAGAGGTCAGATCTCTCACCGCCCTCTGCCTGCAATGCCTTCCTTCTCTCGTCTCCTGGCCTTCGCCGCGCTCTGCGCCTGTAGGTGGCCCCTCTTAGCGCGAATGTCTCTCTAATCCACTCCTGCGCAGCCGCCTCCGCCATCATCCCTCCCGCACACCAGGGTGCATTCAACCAGCCTCCCGACGCGCTGCCCCCTGCCCCCAGCACGGACGCGTCCTCCATCGCTGACACCACCGGCCAGGTGAACCAGAAGGCGGGAGCGACGACCGACGCGGCACCCAACGCGGAGGTCCCTCCTACCACGGTCACTGCCATCGACGGCACGCTCACGAACGCGACCATCAGCGAGGCTAACGCTTCGAACAGCACACGCCGAAGCATCATCAACGACCGCCGGGTCGCCAATGTCGGTCGATTCGGGAAGCGCGAAGACGGCTTCCAGGAGCTCTTTTCGGGCCTCCCGGCCGGCCAGCACGACGCTTCGATCGAGGGCACCGCTTATTTGACCTACACGGTCGTGCCGAACTCCACTTACAACGTCGACGCATGTTTGGACTGGGCGAAAACCATCAAAGATTGCGGTGCGTGAGACTTTGTGCATGCGGAGCGATAGCGCGACTCAACTTGCGGCAGTCTTCGTCAACCTCTACTATGAGTTCAACAACTACCTGTTGGACAAGGTCTTCGGCGAAAAGTCAAACCTCAAATGTGTCGCGTATGGTGACATCCACACCGCGGCTGAGAAGGTCAACTTCGGCGGACAAACGTCGTACCCTCAGGTTTGTGACTCTCCCTCTTGAAGGATAAGTTTTTGACTCGCGCGCAGGTCGGAAATGAGACTGTGCCCCTCACCTTCATCACGCAGAGCAGCGGATGGGGACTGGACGCGTTGGTGGAGCCGGAAGATCCCGAAGGCTACCAGCTGGTGTTCGGGCCCACGAACGGCGCCAACAATGCTCCCGGGGTGCGTTGTCACAGGGCGCACGTTTAGGCTTTGCGTTGACAATGCTTGCAGTACATGGGCTTTGCGTTCCTTGACAAGTATGACGTGGATGCCTGCGCGCTGCTTTGCAACGGCCGCGGTGCTGACCCGGTCGGTGGAGGATGCGCCTACTTCAACATCTGGCGTGCGCTGGTCAATGGTGTGCCCACGACCTACACCTGCTCGATGGTATGTGTGGATCGTGTGACTCGACTAGGATGCATTCCTCATCGTGTTCCACCAGTACTATCTCGTCACCGATGAGTCCACCGCCGTCAACTACGGCCAGGGCGACCTGCAAGTGACCTACTCCCGCGGATACAAGCGTATTTCTGTCCTGCCCGACGGTGGGTTCGAGGACTACGCGGCCTGCAGCGACTTCTGCTTCACCACGAGTGATGCCACCTGGGTCGGCAGCGGTGCTGGCCTGGACGATGCGACGATCTTCTTCTTCACCTCCTACGCTTACACCGGCCACAGCGTCGCGCTCCTCGGCGGTGCGTTCGGTGACAACAGCGACGTCGGCACGCTCTCCCCCGCGAATGCGCTCGTCACCAAATCCGGAGTGTCGTATGTGATCCAGTGCTTCGTCAACACCGCCTTCGCGGGCTCGAGCCTGGAAGCCAAGGCCACCGTGGCCATCACCTGGAACGGCCAGACAGTCGGCACGTTCACTGGATACACCGGAAGCACCTGGAAGTTCTTCGAGGCCACCGCAGTCGGCACTGGCAGTGACAAGCTTGCCTTTGTTGGAGGTGCGGCCCCGGCGTGGGTGTTTGTGGACAACTGCTTCGTCTACGAGGGCACCAATGCTTAATTGCGCGTTGGAGTGCTGTAACTCACTCAATCTATGTACCTTGTAGAATTTTGGTAAATTGGAACTCGGACTGGGACTTTTCATGCTTCTCTTTGGTTTGAGTGGGCAGCGAGCGAGCGTGTCTCTCTGTTTATGTTTGTTTCGTTCTCGCCGTCATCGACTCCGATTCCCTGGCTCTCTCAATCATGACTACTCTGAGTGATCTGCACTAAAGCTGTACCTCGTGCGTTCGTATGGAAATTCAGGACGCATCCCCTGATCAGAACCACGTGTCCGTGCACATAACACACAACTGTCCAAAGATCTTCTAGCCGACTTCCTCTGCGCCAGTGATACACTTGTCCTGAGGCAGGTTTGGTCTTCCCTGCGCAAAGCCATCCGTGGCACCCGCAACAATCCAGGGCAGCATTTCGTCTGGGACCCACTTCCCTGCTCCGCACTTCTGCGGGTGTCCATTCGCACTGAAAGCTTCCATGGACAAGTCAGGCCACCTGTCGCGGGCATCATCGTTCAACGCATCACACAAGCGGTTCTGTGCTTCTTAGGGTCACTCGCACGAGGATCAGGGCATAGACACAATGGGGTCCGGGTTCTTTTGCACTCTCAGGATGGACTCCGCCTTCGTGGACCTCGAATGGGACCAGGATCTCGGCAACGCTGGAGTCGTCTGCGACGTCTGCGTCTCGATGCGAGCTTCTTCGAAGTGCAGTTGCGACAGCGTGCTCCGGGCCAGCCCAGCACCGATCCCGTGCGACTTTGGTCAGACCGAGAAAGATGCGCGCTGAGGAGTCATCACCCGAATGTCCCACGGCAATACGGCAAACTGAGGGCGCTGATTCCCGCGTTTGAGGATGTGGATTTCCCGTCGTTCTTTCGCGAGTCTCGCAGCGCTTATTCTGGATGGGGGGGGGGGGGTTGGGCAGGAGCGGGCTTGAACTCGCTTGAGAGATAATGTATTTCGTTGGTTCGCTGCTGGCTTTAGAGCTCGCAATCGTTCGCACGGGCAGCAGAGCTGAACGCATGCGATCGCCGATCGGTTATTTGAAAGCCGAAAGACCAGCAGTGTCCACACGATACCGAAGATTGCGAGCGTGTAGTCCCGTTTCAGTTATTCATCAATACGATATGCTTTCGCTGTGAATCCGACCCGGGTTGAAGATAGATGGGAGGAGATAATACTATTCCCGATTTTCCCCTCACAGTGAGAACGCTGATCGGCTAAGAGAGAGTGTGATGGTGGCACGTGGAAACGTAAGCGTGACCCGCGACCATCTCTCTCGCGACCTCGGACCTTCGTATACAAGTGGCAAGAGCTTGCTACGTTCACAGAGAAGATTCTTCGCCTTTCAGCCACAACCAGTTTCCGAGGATCCCAAATGTGTCAGATAGAGAAGGGACCAACTGCTTCTGAGCATCGAGTTTCGTCGATGAGGCGAAGGACAACGCCGTGCGGTCAAGATTTCGTCCATGGAGGATAGTGGAGGGCGAAGATCTTTCTGCGAGAGCCTCCCGTCTCTTGTTCTTGATTCGAGTCGGTGAACATGAGCAAGTCCCCGCTCAACCTACCAACCCTCCTTCGCCGCGCAACACAGCGCGGATATGATCCTCGCTTTCTCGCGACATTCTCGTCACTCGCGTCCCTTTCTCGTATCGTTGGAACTGCTCCAGAGGTGGCCAAGTGGCTGGTCATGACACTGCTCCTGATCAACGCTGGAGGATTGCCTCTGGTGTGGCATCGTGTGTCTCTTCTTACCCACCTTGCGTCATCTCATCTTCTCTTCGCAGTGCGCCTGTTCAGTGCTCTCATGAAGCTCCGCCTCGCTCAGTTCCGCCAGAGAGTCGCTGAGACGTCTGGCTTATGGAAGGGGAACCGGGGACCGGCGCATACCTCCCACTCGGCGACTTTGGGCCTGCACCCGTTCCACGCTACGTGGTCCTTCAACGGCATGGTCTGGCCGTACCAGTCGGACTTCAATCTACACATGAGCAACTCGTCCTACCCTGCAGCGCTAGACACGATCCACTCCCAACTCGCGCTCAGGCTGTTTCCGACGTTGTTCGAGGCGGGCGGGTGGGCTGCCCTGGGTGGCACGCACTTCTCGTTCGTGCGGGAGCTGCCGATCATGGCCTCGTACGAGGTTCGCGTCGAAATCGGTGCGTGGGATGAGAAGTGGGTGCGTACTGGAGTTGGTGATGGGGAGCGGACTTGCTCACTCGTCTTGCAGATATGGATCGTGGGTCGTTTCGTCAAGCCCGCGTCGCGCGCCACGAACCCGACGCCAAAGGCAGCTCGCCTCCTGACCAGGCATGTCTACAGTGGGGACGCAGTCGATGACATGGTCCTCAAAGAAGCCAAGGAGAAAGACGACGTCGTTTACTGTGGGCTGCTTGGTCTGCTACCCGTGACTGCTGCCCGCTCACATGTTCGCCAGCTATCACAGTGTCTCAGATCGTCTTCAAGCACGGTCGCTTGACCATCCCCCCGGCCGTTGTTCTTGCCACCAGCGGATTCTTCGCCTCGCCCGACACTCTTGTCTCTCGTTCCGCGCGCTCGATTCCGCCGTATTGGAGCCGCATTCAAGAACTCGAGCGGGACAGCGAGCTGATCAGGGCATTCTATCAGGGTGGATGGCGCAGTGTGAGGCTGTCTCTGTCGCTCGCTCGCTGACAACTACTGATCTTTCCTGGCAGTGTGCGCCGGAGGAGCGGTTTTGGGAGCAGGCATTCCAAGCATGTGACGCCGAACGCAGGGAAAGACTGCTCTCCTATGCCAGTATGGATGCTCGCGGCGGGATATCTGGTGTGCACAAGATGGTGTAGATATATAGACAGAGGCATCAGTATACAAGTGCTATCGAGGGGTGCAGGCCGGTGGTCTCGAGACTCTGGACCTCCCAACGCGCACTGGGCTGAATCTTCCGAATGGGACGTGCCACCGCGTTGACCTCCCGACATGCATCCAAAGCTGGAGATTCAGCAAGATCTAGCTGACGAAAGATTCTGGGTTTCACGGGGATCGTTTAGCCTCGGGAGCGGGGATGGTGTCCGACGCTAGATAGCAGCACGACACACTGTCCGTTAGCACTTTGTCTTGGACGGTGGCCGTTTGTGCGCAGGAGTGGCGAGTGCATTGCTGCTTTCTATCAAGGTCGATGACGGATCACGGACGCGATTAGTGGTAGAAGGTTGATTCGCGTGGGCTATTGAACGGGACGGTCATCATCAGACGTCGATCACTTTGCCTTTCCGTCTACGCTTCTCCCAAACCATCACATGCTCGCTCTGAAAGATTTTGGCTGTCTGATGCCGGATCAGGCTAGAGCTCTAACGCGAGCTTTTCAAACGGCTTGTTCTGCAGCCCACATGCTCGATGGCATTCAGGAGCATCGAATCCAGCGGAGAGCTGTCGAACTCGCAGCGAGAGGACGAATTAGACGCGACAAAATCGGTGTCTGCCTCCCCTTTGCAAATCGCTCAGAGCTCGTGCTCGGGTCTCGAGTCCCTGCTGCTTGCAAATAAAAGTCGGTCGTACGGAGTGGACGCTTGCGCCAAGCAAACGGAGACTTCCTCGTATTTGTCCCAACTTTTTGACCGCTTTCAAACATGAGCAAGGGCCGCCGGACTTTCATTATCGGTGTGGGCTGCACGGCATTTCGCAGACCGGACGGCACTAGGACCACAGAGGATATGGGTCTCGAGGCCGCCACCAAGGCACTGCTCGATGCCGGTTTGTACTTCCCATCTCATGTTCCAATCGTTTTCTAATCAGTGCCCCAGGTATCACATACGATGCTGTGGATACAGCTTTTGCCGGATACTGCTACGGCGACTCAACCTCTGGCCAGGTTTGTCCTTGAAAGAAAAGAGTACTAAGCTTACACTTGTGGGCTGATCGTCTCCCAGCGCGCATTGTATAATCTTGGTTTGACCAGTATCCCCGTCACGAACGTCAATAACAACTGCTCTACTGGCTCTACGGCTCTGTATCAAGCGAATCTCGCCGTAAAGCATGGGCAGGTTGAGTGTAAGGGCTCAATCAGATTTCAAGACAGGAGGACTGATATTTGGTAGGTGCTCTGGCTGTCGGCTTTGAGAGGATGAGTCCCGGTCAGTGCGGTCCCCAAAACCGCACTCAAATTCTCATTCATTCAAACCAGGCTCTTTGTTCACCAACTTCCCCGACCGCACGCCCCCGACTGCCCTTCTGGAGAGTCGTAGTTGGGCGCTCGAGACGGAGGAGAATTTCGGTCCCAACGCGCCACGCGTTTCGTGCAACGCTGCACAAGAGTTCTTCGATAAACACGGGGGATCCGTCGAGCATCTGGCGCAGATCGCGGCCAAGAATCACAGGCACGCGGTCAACAACCCGTACTCTCGCTTCCGCGCCGGGTGGACTGTTGAGGAGGTGATGGAGTCTCCCCAGATCACGAAGCAGCTCACGAAGTACATGTGCACATCGCCCGCGGTAAGTTTCCACCTCCCCCGGACCTCAATTTCTAGAATTCAATTGAATCGCTTGAAGGACGGAGCAGGCTGTGGCATCGTAGCCTCTGAGGACTTTGTGCATGCTCATGGACTCGAGAACCAGGCGATCGAGATCGTTGCACAGTGTTTGACCACAGACGGACCGGAGGCATTCGACGGGGATAGTAACATGGACGTGGCTGGCCAGAGCATGAACAAGATATGCGCGGACAAAGTTTTCGCCCAAGCAGGTTTCGGGCCAGGTGAGGGAAGAGATCAGCTCGGTGTCATCGAGCTTCATGATTGCTTTGCCGCCGCCGAGGTCAGAATTGGGATACCGATCGTCAAACCTATCCACTGCTAATTGAAACACACAGCTCCTTGTTTATCCCGTACTCGGCCTGTGTGATATCGATGACACTCACAAGTTTGTTGAGCGGGGCGACAACACGGTTCGTACGGTCTTGTGTTTCGAGTCCGATATCGTCGTCCGTGTCCTCATCCTTCTCCCTTGTGTAGTATGGCGGAAAGTTTGTGATCAACCCATCGGGTGGCCTCGAGGGCCGGGGACATCCGCTCGGTGCCACAGGCCTCTGCATGCACTTTTCGATCGTCATGCAATTGCGTGAGTGGGCGGGCCCGATGCAGGTTTCCGGGCTCTTCGACACGGCGGATCCTCGCGGCAAATTCGGCTTGATCCATAACGTCGGATTTGGCGGTGCGGTCGTGATATCGCTGCTCCGCCGCCCTGAATTCTTCAAGGCCGGGGGAGAGGACGGCAGAGATAGGTGACTTGCCGCAGACTACAATGAGGTGAACCTGCTGATAGTTCGACAGACTCGGATACAACCATGCTCATGAATGTCGCCCGATCACTCTCGAGGATGTCGATAAGATTAAAGCCAAGAAGAGCTCTGCGTTCGTTCTCAGACATGCCAAGCTTTAGATAGAAATCGTCGAGTCGGGTTAGATGAAATGTATCCGTTTGAGATCACAGCAGATTTGCTCTCCGAATTACATATTCGATGGACAGAACGGGGGTTCCAGTCCCGACGGATGAGGAATTAAAATGCTCACGAGATTGCAGGAGATATAATCCTACGCAGGCACAAGAGCATTCACTCGACCGAACAGGCACCGTTGATGACCATGGTGTCCCGTCAACCTAACTGACCGGCTTACCATTCAGAGCACAACCCGCTTGCCGAAACGAGCGTCCGACAATTTAGCATTCTACGCAATACGTCCTGTCAAGTGTGAGCGAGAGATTAGGTATCTTCAACCCGGCTCGGTTCCGAGGATTGGGTTCGAGTAAGGGTTCCAAACGCGTGGAATGGGCCCTTTAAACAGTCCGGGTCTCTAACAGCTCTCTCGATACGTCCCATCATGACTGAGACCGCGAATCCAAGTGTTTCCGAGGACGGAGACATCAACGGCTCAGCCCCGAGAAGAAAATCGCGCGGTTTCTATCTCAGCTTTCTAGCGCTGATGGCCACCACGTTTCTTAGCGCGTTGGATCTGACTGCCGTGGGGACAGCGCTTCCGACCATCGCAGCAGCTTTGGACGATAGCAGAGGCCTGGCAACTTGGGTTCGAATTTGGTTCGGAATGTATCGGGTGCGACTGAAACAGATCTTCAACCTAGATTGGCTCGGGGTACGCCTTGAGTAGTACTGCATTCATTCCTCTCAGTGGTAGTATGTCCGATGCTTTTGGGAGGTTAGCAATATCATATTCAGTCACCAGATAATTATCTAATCTACCCAATCTCGGGACAGACGGCCTGTATTGTTGGCTGCCTTTGTGTTCTTCGCGGCAGGAAGTGCAGTCGCTGGCGCCTCTCAAAGCATGGTATGCCAATCCAAAGTCCTTGAGATTTCTCGAGTGCCAATGAACAACACATCTAGTCGATGATTATAACGGGCCGGAGTGTGTGATACTTCAAAGATTAACTTTGTCTCTTGTGTGCTGACTATGCCAGCCATACAAGGTAACCTTCTGGGCATCTTTTCTGGCAAGTCTTCACGGATTGGACAACTCATCTCATATAGGCATTGGGGGTGGAGCAATAATCAATCTCACAGAGGTTTTAATAACAGATCTTGTGCCATTGGCAGAAAGAGGGCTTTACCAGGGCATGCTAGGCCTGGTTTGGTGTCTTGCATCTGTCTGTGTTGGTTTTCCTTCTCATCAGATTATGTCTCATATCTCTATGTCTTCTCATAGTCTATTGGCCCACCAGTAGTAGGCACATCTGGTTTTTGCAAGTTCTTTTGTCTGATGATCGTTTAAGGGTGGTCTGCTTGCCAATAGTGGACACAACTCCTGGCGTTGGCTCTTCTGTGGGTTCCTTTTGAACCATATTTGGTGATCATAACATATTCTAGACCTGAACCTGCCCTTGACCAGCATTGCTTTTCTGCTGGTTATGTTCTTTCTTAGGGTAAAGACCCCATTGGGAACAGTCAGGACAAAGCTTGTCAGGGTGGACTGGATGTGGGTCTTTTCTCAACTTCAAGTCTGCATTCAATACAGTTCTCTAGTGGAAATGCAATGGCTGTTTTAGGATCAGGTCTTGTGATCATTGCTCTTACCTGGGGTGGAGTCTCATACTCCTGGGCCTCTACACCTGTGCTTATCACTTTGATTTCTGGCCTCCTACTTCTGCTTGCATTTGGATTCTATGAAGCCTCAATCCCATCACAATCCACCATTCCACTAGATGTGATTGCCAATCAAACCTCACTCAGCAGGTGAGTGTACAGCAATGAATAACCTCATTTTAGAGAAACTGATTTTCTGATCAGTCTTTTTGCCATTGCAGCTCATGCAATTGCCAGCATATGTAAGTGTCCAGGGTTCTAGTCTGGCAACAAGCTGTTAAGTTATTCACAGCCATGATCTACTATTTGCCTGTGTACTTTCAAGCATGTTTTGGTGCTTCACCACTACAATCAGCCTTGGACTTTCTCCCTGGTGCTACCATCACTGCCCCATTTGGACTGCTTGCTGGAATGCTCATCACAGCAACCAAGCAGTACCGGAAAGTCAACTGGATTGGATGGCTGATCATGATTGTTGCATTTGGTTTGAGCAGCAGTTTGAAAGCCACAGCATCAGTTGGACACTGGGTGGGGTTCCAGCTTCTTGCTGGAATTGGTATTGGAATTGTTGTAAGCTTTTTATCATCCACCCTATAGTTTTCACTGTCATCTTTCTGACTCCGCTCTCAGTCTTGTGCTCCAGTCTTCCCACTCCTTGCACCACTTCATCCAAGTAGAGCTGCCTCTGCACTAGCACTGTTCTGCTTCACACGGTCATTTTTCCAGACATGGGGCATTGCCATCTCAGGGACTATACTTCAGGTTGAGAAACAGTTTCTCTTCACTGGATAGGAGGCATTGCTGATTCCAAATCCACAGAATCAGCTGAAAAATAATCTCCCAGCCACTTTTGTGGCAAGATTCCCTCCCCACTTCCATGTGGCCTTTGCTGTGATCCCAGCAATCAACCAACTTGACCAGCCATTGAAGTCTCAAGTACAAGCAGACTTTGCATCAAGCATGGCAGTTATCTGGCAGGTTATGACTGGAGTCTGTTTTCTTGGGTTCTTGGGCAGTTTGATGATGCATGAAATTCCTATGAGCACAGTTGTAGATGAGAATTTTGCATTGGATGAGCTGTCATCTTGAGTAGTTCTTATACACTATGACTTTATTCTATATTATAGACCCATTTTTGTTTTGTTTATCCAATCTACCGATCTCTGGATTGTGCACCATCATGAACTGTTACGCATAACTTCGTTCCCTTTCTTGTTCTGTCCCGTATCGCTTTGCGAGTCATCCGATCAATCTGATTGACACTTGGCCCCACGCTCAACTGCGCTTCCCTACCGTTAGCGACCATGACCGCGCCTGCACGAAGTTTTCTCCGCTCTGCAGCCCTCGCTGACTCATAACCAGACCCTCGTGCACCTCGTATACATCCATGGCTTTCAAGGTAGCCAGCCAGCAAGCGCGATCGATGACTCTGACGTGTTCCAGGCAACGACACGAGCTTCCAGGTGCCTCTCCGTTCTTATCCTCCAAGCTGCAGCATTACAGCTGAATCGCTTGTTAGACTTTCCCGAAAGATCTCCAGCAGCACCTCGCAGCACGGATTCCCGCTCACCTCAATATCAGGATCCAATCCAGTCTATACCTCACGTACAAGAGCCGCAAGCCCATAGCCTTCGCGACGCAGAACTTTCTGTCATGGTGCGTCTGGTGTCTATTGTCAGAAGCCACGATCCTGACGTCGTGATGGCAGGCTGGAGACCCAGCCCCCCGGGCCAGTCATCCTGCTAGCACACTCGATGGGCGGACTGCTAGCGGCCGACGCTGCGACAACCCTCTCGAACACGCCCGACGTGCGGACGCGGCGGATCCTCGGCGTAGTGAACTTCGATGTCCCGTTCTTGGGGATGCACCCGCACGTCGTCGTCAGCGGTATCGCGTTGCTCTTCCCAGACAAGGAGGAAGGACCTAGCGAGGCGGAGATGAACAAGCACAAGGACGTGAAGATCGTGGATCGCAAAGTGACGGAGGATTGGGAGCAGTCTGTGGCGACGATTGATGGTGCGAAGCTCGTTTCGTCTTGCGTTCTAGCGGACATGACTCTTGATGGTGCGCAGCTAAGCACAAGGCGTCTTCGTCCTCGTCATCCCCTCCGCACGCTGTCCCCAACGGCCCATCCAAGTTCGTCTCCAAGACGGTGAACCTGCTAGCCGGCGCAAACAACTCCACTCTCGGCCGCTGGGTACGCAAGCACGCTGATGCCCCATTCAGCGCCGGCATGCGCTTCGTGACAGAATACTTCCAGTTCGGCATCTGCATGTTCGACCCCGTTGGACTGAAAACACGCTATGCGCGGCTTGTGGGCTGGCCGGGCGGGATGTGGGTCAACTACTGGACGGAGGTGCCGAAAAACCACGCGAAGAAGGATGCGCTGGAGGAGGATTCGGATGCGAGGGCGGAGCTTGAGCTCGTGCAGAATGCGATGAACGGCCACGCGTCGACGGACACGCTCGCCCCGATGTCTCCCTCGTTATCGCCGTCTGCCTCGGGCAGGACGTCGAGGTGCCCTACACCGACAGCGTCCTCCACTTCGCTGACCTCTGCCACCCCTCCTCTGACGCCTGAGAAGCCACGGAAGCCCAAGCACCACCATTTCATCGTGCTCCCCGCCGGCGTAGTCGGGCTGCTCGGCGGTAGTGAGAAATGGGAGAAGGTGCCGATCGGAGGGGTCTCGGATGAGGTCGCGGGCCACTGCGGACTCTTCATCCGGGGACAGAATCTTGACTACGATGGACTCGTGCAGCGTGTCGGGGCACGTATATTAGACTGGTGCGAGGTGCTTAGATGACGACTAGCGCGTCGGCCCTCGCGATGATTCAATACCACTTTCTTGCTTGCACTCAATGCTTCCAAGTCATGCATGAGCCGGGCAGCTGCATAGATCGCTTGCAATGTGTTATGCTCGTGTTACTGATGACCATCGGATGCTAAACACCGAGCGTATCCGCAATCCATCACAGCGCAGAGCATGCATCCAGGCGCACCGCATCTGATCAGGCCGGAGTACAACTGCGTTGTTATACCAGGCCGAGTATGCCCGTAGTCAGACCAGGGGTATTTAATGTCGCAGATACGAAAGAGAGTGCATTGCAAGTTCTCTCACCTCGAATCACTTACCCAAGTTACTCAACACCCGGCTATCCAAGCTCCTATTCTCTTTTATGGACTCTTTCCACAACCTCGAACTGATTCCGACGACCGCCGATGTTACCCTGGAGGGACCTGCGGCCGTGCCAGCCGACGCTGACCAGAGCTCAAACGGCAGCGAATACTGCGTCATCGCGTGAAAAGCGGTTCGTTTGACTTGTTCTCTTTTTAATAACGGGCCGCTGATTGGCCGCAGAACTGCATGTTGACTGAGTAACTCTATGACTGTATTGTCTACACCTGTCGTTTCATATCGCCCAGACTATCACCTTGTATAGAAAGAGAGTCTGTCCGTTACGGGCATTCTTTTCGATAGAAATGCCCACGTGAGTCAACACAAAGGTCATGCTGTGTGTCGGATGGTTACCAGTAAAGAATGCTGGGAATATCGACCCTTCATGCCTGCAATTTGTTTTTGATGCCCACATGCCGAGATGATACTGGAAACTTCCCTTTCGGGGTTGATTTACAGGAAATTCAGGAAAACCGCGTGGGTATCATCCACCCGAGTGGTGGAAAAAATGTTACCGAGGTCCATAAAAATAACGAAAACCCAGTTGAATTTCATCCGCAAAGAAGTCAAAGTCCGACCTTAGGACTGGCTGGAGGCCACGAGAGAGCAACATCGGTCAGGGATACGCCCGAGGCGACTTTCCAGCCAGGCAACATTTGGTCCACCCGTGTGATCCAGCTCCATTCAAATTGCTGCATAGTTTTAGTCCAACCCGCAGCTATTTGGGCTAGGTATTCTGCCCAATCTCGAGTGGGATCGCCGACCTGGCAGCGAACATTTTACCTCATTATCGGATGTCCCAATGTTCCGAGCTCTGCCAGCATGGTGCTCGGCCCCGGCAGGCCCCGGCCCCGACCTTCTCGTGGTTTCATCCACCGCCAAGGAACTTGTTTTCGACGGTTGGTGCGCTTGGCCAGGCAGCCAAGCGCGAGCCGTCCTTGGCTGTCTCCCAGTCATTTTTTGGCTTCCATAGAGGCACTCAGGAATCTTGACGACCAGTGTTACTTCAGGGAATCTTCCCTCTGTCTTTCCCTTGCCCCTACAAATACATTGCTTCTTTCGACGCACCTGTTTCATAAACAATCTAGAGACGTTGATCGGAGTTGCACTGACGTTGACAGACGCTTGGCACGCTCACGTGACGGATTGCCCCCAAATCCTTCATTGATCAAATCCGTCCCTTTTCTTTCTTCCCCTCCTCCCTGCTCCAACGACCACATTTGACTATGGTCGCCCTCTCCGCCTTCCTCCTGGCGGTCTCGCTCGCCGCGACCCACACCGCGCAGGCCGCGATCACGGTCTACCACGCCAACGACCAGCACGCCTTCACCACGTCCACGACGTCATCGCCCGGTGCGTCTGCGGGCGCGCAGGCCACGTACGTCGGCCCCGCGGCGTACAACCCCTCCACACTCGTTCCGCCGCCCGTGCCTACGCCGACGGTGTTGACGACGTTGCCTATTCAGCTGCAGAGCCAGGGCACGCCGAATTTGGGCATCCCGCAGAAAGGGTCGTTTTTCGGGTTTTCGATCGAGATGTCTGTGACGAACCAAGTCTGTGCGTGCAGAATCACAGTCGCTGACATCAATGGGCGTGTTTTGACCGTGCAAGGACAGTGGGCAAGAACTCGTCGCTCCTGCAAGTCCCATTCCTGAACCTCATGGCGAACATCCAGCAGCGCGCGGGCTCGATCATGATCCGAGTGGGCGGAAACACGCAGGAGTCGGCCACGCTCGTTCCCGTCGGGCAGATACCCAACGGCCGGATCCTGCAGAAGAACCTGACCGGCGTGACCGGTACGACGCAGACGCCCCCGCTCGACTTCACGCCGGACCTGCTGTACTTGATGCGCAACATCTCGACGCTTGTGAACGCGCACTGGTTCCTCGGTGTCCCGTGGTTCATCACCCAGCCTTTCGACCTGGCTATTGTCAAGGCGGCTGATGAGATCCTCGGGGATTATCTGCTGGGGTTACAGGCTGGAAACGAACCAGACATGTATGTTCAATTTTGGGCATCTGCTCTCGAGGGTCCCGAGCCTGATTGATGATCACTAGGTACACGCTCCACGGACACAGACCGACGACCTACAGCCAATTCGATTACATGGGCGAGTTCTCTGACTTTCTTACCCAACTGTCCGCTAGTGGGAACGACCCCACCGGCCGTGCTGCTGCGAATCTCATCGGCCCGAACATTGCAACGTTTGCTTGGACGCTCGAGTCCGTCTGGGACGCAGGGTTTGTTGACAAGTTCGGTCAGAACCTGGCGTATCTGGCAGCCGAAAAGTGCGCGACTCGCTATTCGTGTTTCCTTCACTTACCGGGTTTCGCGATAGATATCCTGCGGACAATTGCGGTGCGACGTTTGGCAGCGGCAATGCGATCAACCCACAGTCTGTGCTACCGGACTACCTGAACCATGCCGGGCATGTCAATCTGCTGAACCAGTACCTGAACAGCACGATGTATGCTCAGTCAAAGAACAAGCCGTTCCTCATGTTCGAGACCAATACGGTTAGTTTCTTGTTCTCCTGCTGTGTCTTTTGAATCTGAATTTCAGCCCAGGCTTCGTGTGGTGGATTCTTGGGCATCTCTGATTCGTTTGCCGCTGCTCTGTGGGGTGTCGACTACGCGCTCTTGATGGCGCACTCGAACTTCTCGGGAGCGATGTTCCATATCGGTGGTGAGAACGTCTTCTACAATGTGAGTATTTCGTCCTCCCTTGCCCGTCACCTCTCTGATGCTGACACTGTCCAGCCATTCACCGCGCCACCAACGAATCAATCGTCCTTCCGTCAATGGACGATTGGCCCGATCTACTACTCCGCGCTCGTCGTCGCCGAGGCTTTGGGCGCTTCCAACCAAACGCAGGTCCTGAACCTCGGTGTCCCCGGACTGAGCGACTTCACTCCTCTGTATGGCCTGTATGAAAACGGGGTCCCCAAACGCGTGGCTATCATCAACTACATCGACGACCCATCCGGCGCGAACGACGTACATGCTGTCATCTCCATCGCCGGCTGGACTGCGCCAAATTCGGTCAAGGTCAAATATCTTGCAGCGGCGAGTGTCGTGCAGAAAGGGAACATCACGTGGGCTGGACAGGTCCGTCGTCGCTGGTATTCTACATATATCTTCTGCGTGTTGCTGATGGTGTGCCAGACGTTCGGGGGTGTGTTCGAATCGGACGGCCGGCCGATGGGGACGGAGGTGATCCAGACTGTGAACTGCGACACCACGGCGCAGACCTGCACCGTTGTCGTGCCCGCGCCCGGCATGGCGCTCGTGTTCCTGTCCGACGACGCGCAGACGGAGAGCGGTGGGATGCCGAGCATGACGTTCTCGACCTCGGCGCATACGAAGTTCAAGAACACCGGTGCGTGGCTCTCCGCTGTATACTACAGTAGTTTCTGTTCCACCCGTTTCTGACTTGCACGGCAGCTACGGTCGATCCGGCTGTCCTCGCGACGTCGAACGGGATGAGGATGTCAGAGTATGGCCTGGCGGGAACCAGCAAGCCCCCGAGTGCGGGACAGAATGTGCGGGTGTCGGTCGTCACGCTCGCCCTCGGGGTTCTTGCTGCGACCTTGATGGTGATGGGGCGGTTGTAGTGTGGGTTGAGCGTCCAAGCCACTCTCACACTCTTTCTCGTACGTATTTCACGGTAATAGCGACAAGTACAGCGCACGGACAGGTACTGGATATCCGCGCTGGATATTTTTTGTTACTCTCGTTTCAGATGTATATGTGGACATAATTATGATACCCTCATGTAGATTATTGCATTTTGGACTGGTGGAGCAAGCCCGAACAGGTGACACGTGACGATGAACCGTGGGAATCATCATGATAACCATTTTTTCATTTCCTGGGATACTTGGAATAAATGCCGGTCATGAGTCGCACAGCGAGAATCTCCTTTTTCAAATCACGTTTGGTTTTGATTCAAGACCATGCATGTGGGGCAGGGCGCATGTTGATTGTGAGAATTATTAATAATTGAGATCATTGGTCCCAGCTCGGATATTGGATATCAAGCGTGGCAGTGAGAGGAGAATGCACTGTAGATATCTCAGATCGAATCATGATCTCTCGGGACGTGTCTAATCCATACAGCATCGTCTAGAAATGCAATAACGATGCATGCAAGGGAGAATATTTGTATAAATAATCAAGTTGCAGCGTCCACAATAATAAATTAAAGTCAAAATTTGAACAAATAGTCGCTCAGACCGAATGGTATTTTTTCTTGTTTCCGGTTCGCGCCCGATACGACAGGAAAATTTTGATCACGGGTGGTGATGGTGCGCGCGACGGATGTCGGTCTGCGGGCCGAGGGCTGATCGGGGATGATTATGATCTGTCTGTTGCCAGCGCGGGACGCGATCTCTTGCGCAACGCTGCCACCGCTGTCACCGCCCGCGCCCAAAGCAAACAAGCTTGGTCTTGTCCTGCTGCCACACTCGCCGTCTATAACGTCGCCCATGCGCGTCCCGTCGCGGTACCTCCGACTCGTTGGGCTCCTCGCCTGCGTCGCCGTGATTGCCGGTGCAGGCCGGTACTTGACGCTCGCGTTTGATCGAGTTCTTCCGCGTGCGTATGTGCCCCCGCCGGAGACGCTCGAGCTGGGCCATCCGACTTTTGCGGATGTGAGGGAGTATGAGCGGGGGCTGGAGCAGCATCGGAGGTTTAGCAGTGCATTTGGTCGCAGGTGCGCCGGTGGGAATCAGCATCGGGTCAGCTGAATTAACTCAGTGCAGATATGTTTATTTTCCTCGCGAGGCGTGGGGGACCGGGTGCGTGGGGCGCGATTCCGATCCTAACCCAACTGTCGACTGATGCACTCCCGCAGATGGAACAACGTCTTCCAAGAACAGTATGCAGCGCACCCCACCCATTCTCAAATCTCTCACGTAATCCAGACTCCTCAACACGCACCTGGCGTTCCTGGCGGACCGGGGCTACGTGTTCGCAGACTACATCGCGCGTGATCACCCGCCGTTCCCGGACCTCCTGCCCAATGGCACGCGCGCGCACCTGCACGTCCCGATGAATGCCTTTACGGCGGGGCCGACGGGCGGCGGTGCGTGGGGTGCCGGACACTCCGCTAAACGGACGCGGGGGGTCTCGAAGGAGTGGTGGGACGTGGTGTGTCCGCCGGAGCGGGTGCACACAGTGGATCTCGGGGAGACGAATACTGAGTTGGGGATAGGTGGCGAGACGTCGGGGCTTGACATCATGACCAGATGGGCTACGAAGTTGAGGAGAATTGACGCCGAGTGCGTGGAAGTTTCAGGGGGGACCCCGTTCAACTACGAGTGCGTGCATCGGGAACTCAGCTCCACTGACGAGAACACATCCTCCCCGCAGATTCATCATCACGGACAGAATGCTCTCCCTCTGGCCCTCGTACGGCTCATCTCCGACACTGACGCAATTCACGTGGTCGGCGCTCGTCACGCGGGCCATCGCACGCAACTTCGCGGTCTTCTCACACAGCGCAGACACCCCGCCGCGCCCCCTCCAGCCGCACCTCTCGCGCTGGCTCCGCTTCCCGGGGACCGGAGAAGCGTCTTCGCCGTTCCCCCTCTCCGCGTTCCGCCCGCTCCCCGTCTCAGCCCCCGCGATCCCGGGGCTCCTCGCGCTCCACATCCGGCGCGGCGACTTCGGGGAACACTGCCCACGTCTGGCAGCCGAGTCGCTCGACTACAACACGTGGAACCTGCTTGGACGCCCGACGCCCGGCGGTGGGCCGGCCCCGCTGCTGCCGGATTACAGGAACGGGAGCGACGACGTGAGGGAGGCGGTGATGCGCCACTGCTGGCCGGCGCTCGAGAGCGTGCTCGCCAGGATCGCGCACATCCGCGCACTGCATCCGGGCCTGGAGGATGTGTTCGTCGCGACGAATGCGGAGAGGGAGTGGCTTGACGCTCTCGAGGCTGAGCTGAGCAAGGCGGGGTGGAGGGGTGTCGCTACCTCGCTGGACCTGCGGCTGGCACCGGATGAAGCAGCCGTGTCGCATGCGGTGGATATGGGTATATTGGGCGCTGCGGAGGTGTTTATCGGGCAGGGGGTGAGCGCTCGTGGTTTTTCTTTCTCTCTCTGATCCCTGGGCTGATGTACCCTGGATCAGTATTCTAGTCTGACTTCGAATGTGGTGCAGTTGCGGCTGGCGGGAGGCAGGGCACCAGCAACCAACAGATTCTGGTGATTAGAGAAAAGTAGTGTATTATTGATAGTTTACCCTGGGGCCTAAATTATAATGGAATTTTAATTATCAGCTACTTACTCAAAAGTCTGGCAGTTAAAATTACATAGTGTAATGACCCTTACGTCACAGACGCATCACGTGGAGCATCCGATCCCGTGCGAGAATTTTCTCATTTCTCCCCCACCTTCGTAACCGACAGCAACGGAATGGTGGCTCAAGTGCAGCGCCCCGCGCCCCCGTTCAGCGCGACGGCCGTCGTCGATGGCGTCTTCGAGGAGGTGTCGCTGGAGGGGCTCCTAGCCAAGGGCAAGTGGTGAGCAGCCGCCGTGGAGACGGTGCTACAACGATAAGCCTGACGCGTCGTTGCTTCTCACCAGGGTCGTGCTGCTGTTCTACCCACTGTAAGTCCCTCGCGCTTCCCGCGGGCGTCGTTCCGCTGCTGACGTGCTGCCGCGCAGGGACTTCACATTCGTCTGCCCCACCGTGAGCACCGCCGGACGGGCGACGGAGTGCGCTTCGCAGCCGCTGATGCATCCGCACAGGAAATCCTCGCGTTCAACGACGCGCTGCCCGCGTTCGACGTGATCGGCGCCGCGGTCCTGGGCGTCTCGACCGACTCGCACTATGCGCACCACGCGTGGGCGAGCCAGCCCCGCAGCCAGGGCGGGCTGGGCCCGGGCCTGAGGCTGCCGCTGCTGTCCGACCGGAGCACGAAGATCTCGCGGGCGTATGGGGTGCTCGTTGAGGAGGAGGGTGTGGCGCTGCGCGGGGTGTTTGTGGTCGACCCGCGGGGTGTGGTGCGGTGCGTTGCCTGGCTCTATTTTTTTTTCTCGCACACACATATACACTCTTTTGGCTCTATTTCGCTGGCATCCCTCACGACTTTTCTGCTGCTCACGCTGACTGCTGCGAAAGGCAAATCACGATCAACGACCTTCCGGTCGGCCGCTCGGTCGAGGAGACGCTGCGCCTCGTCAAGGCGTTCCAGTTCACGGACAAGTACGGCGAGGTGTGCCCGGCCAACTGGCACGAGGGCGGGCTGACGATCAAGCCCGATGCGAAGCGGTCGCTGGAGTACTTCGCGGCGGTGGAGGATAACGTGCCGGAGGGGGAGGTTGAGGGGCAGCAGCGGCCGGTGAAGCGGCAGAGAGTCGGTTGAATTGTGCTGGGAATCTATTTCGCACGGTGCAAGTGCAGGCCGGGTTGCTGGCTCGATCACGTCCTCCCCCCCAATTGAATTGAATCGATCTTCCTCCGCTCCTGCGTGATTACCACGCTCCCGTTCCAGGGCTTCCCGACGTCCCATTCCCGCCCTCAAAATGCACATCAGCAGCCGTGTTCCATCGCGCATCTGCATATCTGCCTTGTGGTTGATGTTCTTCTCGGGTGGTGTGATAGATAATTAAGGCATGCGCGCAGGCCGAATGCAGACCCGTGGTCCAGACGTCGGCCGGGGGAAGCGGTGATTAAACGCCCGCTCGCATGATGTGAATCGTGTAAGCGAGAGAAGGTCGGCGGTGGAAGTTGTCGCTTGCCGCGAAGGAGGGAGGGGCTGGTCGGCGCGTGTAAACAACGTGCAGTGTCGGGAGGCTGAGAATTGACGGCGAAGCAGCCCGTTCCGCGTGTTTTCCCAGGACCTCGATTTGGGATGCTTGCACCCGAGTCGGTAAGGAAAGTCAACATGTTCTGCATATGATTGTTCGGCATGGCATAAGTACAAAAAACAACAGTGCTACCTAGTCCGTCCCATGAGTGCTACGATACAATACCTAGTGATACATTTGGACTGTATGCCCCGCATACCAGTGCGCGATACACCCGGGAACCAATCCATCCCACCCACCATACAAACCCAAACCCAGCCCCCAAAAAAAATCAAGCAACATGTGGCAGAGGACTCGTCTTCCTCTTCTCGCTCAGACATCTCCGCCAGCCCCAAACAGGGAATTTTTCCGGCTCGTCAATCCACTCGAGCATGACGCGCAGCTCATCGCGCCGCTCGTCCGTATCAATGGGCCGCAAATTACGCGCGCGGCGGCTCCACGCGCGGAACTCCTCCGCCTCGCCGAGCGCGCCGTAGCCCATGGCGATCGCGTCGAGGTGGCGGCAGTACCCGAGCGTCTCGAGGCCCTCCGCCTCGATGAGCTGCACGGCGCGTTTGTGCGCGTCGATGAGGAGGTGGTCCGGCAGCCGCGCGTCGACGCACCACGCCTCGAAGCGCGCGGGGACGCTGCCCCAGAACGCGTGCAGCTCCGCGCGCGCGGCGTCGTTGGGGCGCAGGCAGTGCGGGCAGCGGCACGTGAAGTTGTAGAGCGCCTTGAGCGCCTTTTGGCGCGCGGCGTGCGGGTGCGTCGGGGTGACGTATGCGACGGTGATCTCCTCCGTGGCGGGGATCGGCCGCAGCGCGCGGAGAGTGAGCGAGAACGTCGTGGGGTCCCAGCGCCACTGCGCATTTGGCCCGCAGCTGATGAGAAATTGAAAATGTCATTAGAATGGTTAGATACGGGCCAGCCCAGCACGCACCTGTGGTTGCACCGACTCGTGTTGAGGAACACGGCCCGGTGGGTGGGCACCTCCGCGTGCGGCACCTCGGGGACGTCGAGCGTGATCGCAATCGCGTTCGTCAGGATAACACCCTCCAGTCCGGGCCGCTGCGTGCAGTTCGCCAGCCCCATCAGGCGCGCCGCGCACTCGGGGCTCAGCCTGCGCAGGAGCGACGCGTAGACGTCCGCCTCGGTCTTCCGGTCGAAGCACGTCATCAGATACGGCACGACGACCGCCGGCCGCTCAACGAGCACCGTGCCCCCCGCCGGGATGTTCCGCGAAGCGAACATCCCCTGTCCGGCTGCCCCGCCGGGCGTCGCTTGGATGCTGAACGTGCTTCCTTTCGGCGCCGCGGTGCGGGCCCGCGGCACGGGCGTCGGCAGCAGCCGCCGCACGCCGACGTCCAGGAACGCGGCGGTCTCGGTGTCGGCGTCGTGCGCGTAGGGCACGCGGAACGCCTCGTACACGCGGCTCCCGACGTGCCCCGCGAGGTCGAAGTACGGCGAGTCGAGCAGCGGGTTCGTGCGGATGTGGGCGTTCATGCGGTTGCACACGCTCAGCGGCGGTAAAGAAGAGACGTCGTGCAGCGCGAGGTGGGAGGCGGGGCTCACGCGGCGTCGTCGGGCTTGGAGGGATTGAGGGGTGGCGTAAAGCGGCGGTGGCGGTGGTGGTGGCATAGGGAGGACAGCGGATTTGTACAGAGGAGGTGGGGAAGGGAAGGAGTCGCGGTAGATTTTGGGCGGCGCAAGGCAAGGCATCTCGTAAAGCAAGAGAGCAAAAACCGAATTGAGGGGTCGTCGCGGTGAAATGAAGCATACAACGCGAGGGTATATAAACACTCGCTAGCGCAGCTAGAACGAGGGGGTCCCGGTCTGGTGCAGATCGACCCGGCACGCGACGGCGAGTTTATTAGCGACGCGATGCTGAAAGGGCAACCCCGTTCGCAAAGCGAGATTGATGTGAGAACCACTTTGTGTCGTGCCGGTGCCACCCCGTTTTGGTGAAGCACCTTTTATGTCTCGGGCCCGCTACAAAGGGCGCATCGTGGCCTGCACGCACTGATTGAATCAATGAAGAAACCGCCTTGGGTTGTTGATCATGAAAGGCGTTGATTTGGCGCACCGTAGACGTGAAACGATCTTCATGAAAAAACACCAAAGTCGCGGTATCATCTCTCTGTGTTTCGTCTCCCCACCATCTCATGTTCGTCTCGCCACATTCCGCAGCGCATAACCACCCGGGCCAAAGTGAGTCCCCGTCGAGAAAGTGCTGGCCACGAGTCTATGAGGTCATACGATCACCGTCTTCCTGTGATATCTGCGATCAGAGCGTGCTTCCTGCAGCAGGAAGAGAACAAACACCCAGAGCGCCGCCCAGTGGGTCGTCTCTGTCCTTGCAGGCAGCGACAGCGAGTTTCTGCGATCTGTCAAGTTTTTGTCACATGTGACGACCTGGAGGTAGCCCGCTTAGATTCTGGGTCACGAGACTGTGCATGAATGATCATGGTTGCCCATCAGCCACGTCGCAATTGAGCTTCGGCTACGTCCGCGGCCGCCCCCTCTCGGTGCAAAGTTGCACGGAGCTGCCTTCTGGGGATTCGCCCAAGTAGCTCGTCAGAGAACATAGAGGGCGAGCATCACTGGCGAGCAAAAAAGCCGGTGAGCGCACCGCGATCAGCGCGAGAGGACATCAGAGACAGAATTAGACCCCGGATAGATTTGATACAGCTCGGGAAAGTGATTCATTAACATCGGCATCTGGGAGCCCGGGCAGCCGGGATATTTCTGGAGCTCAGGCTCGAACTTCGTTGACCCTCAGACCATTTCGGTGGTGACACGGGCGTTATTTTCTTGTTGTTCCCCGGGTGGAGAATCGGAATGAACGGTCTGTTCGAAACAAGAGCGGACATGACATTGAGCCAGGATGTTGGCACGGTTCCGGCACTTGGGCGTATGCACCTACGATAGGCAGGCCTAGCCAGTCTGCTGGAGAACAGACACGCCTCACGCGCCGCTGTTTTGGCCAACCGTATCAAAGAGAGGCTTTCAGGAGATGAAGGCTTTCAAGAGATCATGTCCTCTCGGCACGACGGTGAGTGCATGTAGCGAGCACAGAAATTCTGGGTATCACCCTGATATCTGTTCTGTCTGCTTTGCCCGTCACACTTCGCTTGTTCCTCCTTGATATCCATAATCGACCAACCAATCACCGAGTTCGCGAACGAGGTCTGCGGCATCTCGTCTTCGACTGACGTCTTTCTGCACACGGAACTGCACACGGGACAAAATCACTCCACGGCGGGTGAGACGCAGGTCATCTGCGCGATCATCCACAGCCCAGCAGAAGGGAAGGAACAGACGAGCGAGGGGCGACCCTGGGCACCACGGGGCCTCCCTCTGCTTCTGTGATCTGCCGTGGGGCGGACTGATCCGGGATCAGATCATGAGCACACGCGCTATTGACCTGACCACCGGCATCGGCCGAGACGCGCTGTTCTCGACCCACGCCCAGGGGCTTGTGATCTGTGATGTCTGTGCAAGAGTGCGCGCGTATGCGCGATCCATCAGGATTCTGCGAAGGCCACGTTGGCCCGGCTCGTATCATCCTCGCTCGGAATCACAAAAGCGGGATGCGAGGAGTGCATTTGGAGCGTGATTATACGAATGTCCCCGCAGCTGATTCGATCCGCCTGTTCTCTGCGCGAGCGGATGATCCCTAGCGAGAGGAAGACGCGGAAAATCCCAGCTCTCCGCACGGGGTACGCTCGTAACTTTTTGTTGGTTGTGAGAGCTATCAAGTGTTGTGACGCAGCCTCGCTGAGATGACTGGTAATTACATGACACAAAAAGCGATCCGGATGCGCAGCCCTCGCGATCGTTCTTCTTCTTGTTACGTGCTTCCTTCGCAATGATAGTTCAGCACTACTCGAACTAGGATTGATTCTTGATTCATCGCAGGTCGATCGACTGAATATCCTCGATTTGAGAATTCTGAACAGCCGCATCGTTTAATAAATCTCTCCCTCGCTGAGAGAGATAATGCATTCGAGAGCCAGATCCAGATTTGGATCTCACCGTACATTGCAGTCTGACCCCAGATCTAAGCGATGCAGCCTCTGCGACATGAACGTCGACTCGAAACTCGGTTTGAGGCGCTACGAGACGAGGACTGAAGCGTGTGTGCGCACAAAAGCTGAAACGACGAATTTGTATGAACCCAGAGACGAGCAAGGGATTGCGGGAAAAATCAGTCGGTGCGGCGCACGCGGCCTCAGAGAGCGCATCATCTGAGCCCGTTCCAGGGGTTTTCACCAATGCAGATCAGCATGACACAAACTGGGAGTAGTAAGGAAGCGATTATCGAGAGAGCCAGCATAGAGAGCCAGCATGACCAACAGGCAACTTGGTCGTCGACGAACGAAAACTGGAAGCTTTGGCACGGTGCGCCGAACATCATTTTGTGGACGTTTCCTGTCCGCCTGGGAGGGATTCCGCCGACGGATTTTGGCCCAAAAATTCTAGAAACGTTTGGGAGGTACTAGATTCACGACGCCTGCTCGAGGAATCGTAAGGTCCAGACGTCTCATGCTGACGCGACGCTGAAGGAATCATCCCTTCTTAGGTGTAGTCTCGCTGCTTTCCTAACCCCTCACGAGGATGCGGGCAGCGGCTTGGGCGGAGTGCAATAGCTGGACACCAATGTTCGCTCTCAACTCACGCTCTTATCTCCTATAGCACGCCGTGTGCTTAGCCTCATCACCTCGCTCGTCAGAGCATATGGATTCTGTCCGTCTCTCTTCTCTCGGTGTGTTTATTCACGAGCCTGGGGCGGATGACGCACCTCGGAAATACCAGGCACGCGGACATGCAGGCCCTGCCGTCCCCGGCCGCGCAAGCGCTACAACGTGCACCGTGATACCCCTGGGCCGCCGCGGAGAGTCTAGACCGTCGCGCACGCGCGGGCGCAGCAGCCAGGCTTCTCCATTTCCATATCACACCCCCACCCGCCTTCAGGGCTCAAACTTTAGTGGGCAGAACAACTACTTAGCCGATCGTGACGTGACATGCAACAGATCTCGAGCCAGCATGCCCGGCCGGCTTCGGACATCTCCGGCGTCTCCGCCGGCCGGCATCGCGACGGGGCTACACCGAGGGTGCCGGACCACAGGCTTTTCCGGCGACTCCCGATTCCGATGTGATCCGGCACCAGATGGGAGCATTTCGCGCCCGGTGCGAGAACATGTTCCCTCCACGACTCTCCGCCGTCCGAGCCGGGCGAGTGGCACGTGTTCCTTGCCACGCCAGAATCTCACCCGGCCGACTACGGTGGTCCGCGTAAGCGCTATTGACAATTTGAATAGCGAGGAACCTCCACGACGGACTGTTGTGGGAACGCGAGTCTGCGAGCGCGGCACTTTTCGGGGAGGATTTGATGTGAAATTTGCCCCGATTATGGGCCATACTGATTCTCCCAGCAGGCTCGTTAGCTACAGCTTGCCCATGAATCGGCGACGATGCGTACGTGAAAGCGCAATGCTTAGTCGCATGCGGTGCCCATCGACGCGAATCGTTATCATCCGGGTTTCTCATTCGTCTATCAGTGTGAGCACTGAGGACTCTTGAAGTCCAGCTCTCTCATGGATCGCCACCATGGTTGACCCACCCCGTAGCTCTTGTTGTGTTCGATTTCGACCTGCGACATAACTTCAGTTCATGCTCCATCTTCGCTAGTGTCCATACACGAGGTTCTGGACATCTGCAGCGTCTCGCCTCTCCGCTCAGACGATCCAGGTTCAAGTCAGGGCAAGCATAACTCACCTCTCCGTTGAGGTGTGGTTCTCATCGAACCCGACTGATCCTCAAGTTTATTGTTTTTTCGGTACATCCTCGCAACGTGATTTAACTCCGTGATTCGAGGCGTCGCCGATCGGGAAGAGGATAATATTGCGTATCACAAAGATCAACGTTCCGTCTTACATTGTGTACTGCCTCATTCGTTCAAACAGAATTCCGAGTCCGCTACGCTGCCACATTGACCAGATTGCGATATCATACAGCAAATAAGCGTCTGGGATCGCTTAGGCGCCCTGGATGGTGAAGTACGGGCTCTGGTTGCCGGAGCCGCCAAACACTACCAACCGAGGGCACATCAGCGCCAGCTCCTCGCAAGCCAGAACGCAGCAGAGACACTCACAAACGAGCTGGTAGTCGTCTCCGTCGACGACCCACGGGACGGTCACCTCGATCTGCGCGAGCAAAATATCGAACCCCTCCGCGAGGATGACTGGATCGGATCACACAACAACAAGTCAGGCCGAGTCCTTGGGACGGGGGAAAAGAACGCACCGGGCGTGGTGTAGTCGGCCTTGCGCAGCATGATGTGTCCTTTGCTGTCCGTGATCTGCTTCGGCGCATTCGACGTGTCCCTGCGCAGTGCGCAGCCTTCAGCCGCGGCGCAAAAGTACAACAACAGAAAAAAAAAACTGAGCGCACCACGTGACGTTTTGTTTCTCCCCAACGGTCCATACGGCTCCGGCAGTCGGGTACGTCATGTGCGGGCTGTACACGTCGAGAGCGTTCGGCGGCAGCGCGGCGGTGCTGCCGAACGAAAGCATCACAGACGCGAGTCCGGCCACGGCGGTTGTGAATTTCATCGTGGATTTGCGGTCCTAAGCGAGGAACAGGGCAATGAAGAAGGGGGGAGAGGAGGGAGGTGGGAGTGAGATAGCATGGCGGGTCGTATCGTTTTTATATTCGAGCCGGACTCACGGCATTCGGCCGAATCGGGAACAGAGCGCGCGCGCGTAGTTGGCTTCTGAAAGGCAATGCTGAAAGATCGACGCTGGGGAACCGTGATCTAAATGGCACGTCGACGTGGTCTCTGCGGGGAGGGCATCTGGAACTATTGGAGCCCCCACTATCTCGTGTGCCCGCGTAGGGCAGAAGTCTCCGCGTTATCAGACAGCTGACAAGGCCGTCGGCCGAGCTGATCCTACCTGAGGAAAGAAGCAGCGCCTGCCAAGCTCCTGCGTCGTAACCAGCCCAGCCCAGCCTGTCCGCAGAGAAACTTCGAGGCGGGCGGACACAGTATCTGAGTGTCGCGAGCTTGCGAAGCTGTTTCAACTCCGGTTTCTGTGATACATAGCGCAACTTTTATCTTGACGAGGGCGTAGAGTAGACGTCCCAAATCGTACTTGTTCTACTTTGATGCAACGGCCTATCCGAGCAGGTCGGAGTTCAAAATCGGCATCTCGCGTGTAGGGATGACTGATGGCCGCTTGAGCTGTGGCAGGCGGCATTGGTAACGTCTTGGGCGCGTAGACAGCTTGCAGGAAGGCCCAGCGAGGCATATTTGCAATGGGACAGCTCGCTCGGAGTCCCTCCATGGCTCGAAGATTCGGTCCGAGGAGGCCAGGGCTGCACACAAGTCGATTGATGGACCTCTCTCACGCAGGCTGGTGCGGCATTTCGGTGCGGTGTACGGTTCCACGCTACTTTCTTCTTGCCAACATGATGCTGAGCTCGTTCTTTGCTGATCCCTGGGCTGGAGCACAAAAAGTTCGTGTTCGAAGGTACCGGTAATGTACATGGTCGCAGATGATACAATACAACCACGTTCCGCAAGGAAGATGGTGGAGTACGGCCAGTCAGTATGTGTACATACAATACGTGTTGCGATACAATGTCCAATGTGTGATTGAAGGCGTTCGTGAAAGACCTCGGCAATGCCTGAAGGATCAGATTCCACCGCCCTGGATCGTGAAGAACGGGCTGAAATTGCCCGAGTCGCCGAACACTATAATCCGAAAACGAACCCGTTCAGAACATGGTAAAGCACGAGCACGGAAGAGCACGAGGACGCACAAACAAGCTGGTAGTCGTCCCCCTCGATCACCCACGGGACGGTGACCTGAACCCGGCCAAGCAAGATGTCGAAGCCCTCGCCCAAGATGACTAGGAGCGCAGTTCAGTCTACGCCACGAGGACAAGCAGGTGGAACACGCACGAGGTGTCGTGATGTTGGCTTTGCGGAGCATGACTACGCCCTTTCCGTTCGTGATCTGTTTCGGCGCGTTGGACGTGTCCCTGCGCGCGCGCATGAGATGCGCTGTACAGAGCAGAGAAAGGGGTTGGTCCGGAGCACGTACCACACGACGTGGTGCTGTTGCCCGACGCCCCAGACGGTCCCGGCGTGCGGGTAGAGCACGGGCGGGACGAAGACGTCGCGGGCGTCCAGCGGGAGGGCGCCGACGCTGCGGATCGAGAACATCGCGGACATGAGCACGGCGGCGGCGGCGAAGGCGGTCGTGGATTTCATCGTGGGTCGTGGGTCGTGAACGAAAGGGCGGAGGGAGGGGAGAGAGAAGAAAAGAGGCGCAGGAGGAAAGCGAAGGGAGATGGGGCGGAGAGTAAGGGGAGGGGGCGGTGTATATATAGGCAGATGTACGCCGCGCACTCACTGCATTCTGCCTGTGCCGCGTAGGGCAGAAGTCTCCGCGGTTGCGTCATCGGACCGGACAGGTGATGTCGCCGGCGGGCCAGATGGGTGGAGGATCATCCTGCGTGCAGAGAAGCGCTGCTGGCTCCTCTGAGCTCGCCGGATGGGGTGCTGGCCCCGTGGACCGAAGGCACAGGTTCCAAGCTGAACCGTGTGGAAGGGGAAAGAAATAAAATGCGAGATTGCGCCACTGTCAGGTCAGACACAGACACATCTCGCGGCCGTTAATGCCCGCAGCGGCATGTCAGGGGGAGCCTGGGGGCCCACAGCATGTGCGGAAGAAACGGGGCCACAGTGGGAAGCATAAAGCAGCATTCGTATGATCGATGACTCAGTCAGTCATTCGACTACTCCGTTTGATCCCGAGTCTGTATCCGATTTCAGCCGATTTCCGATCAAGTCCGAGGTCAAGCAGTTTTCGTGAAATTTATTCTAGTTCAACATTTACAATACAGAGGGAGATGAGTGTGAAAGTATAGGGAGAGAACAGTGCAGTCTGGGGGCTGGTCTTCAGCCGCATGTGGCGGGGTTGAAAGGGCAGTTGTTGCTGAGAGGGTTGGTTAGTCGACAGGAACGTGGAGGGCGGAGAGGACTCACGCATGACCTCCGCCGCGCCATCCACAGTGTGCACACTGCGGTCCGCTATGCAGCTTCGGCTGCGTCTCCGCTGTGATAGCCCGGTTTTCGACCGGAGCTGGGGTGACCGCTGCGGCTGTGCGAGTAGTCTGCAGCATCGCGTGCATCTGGGATGTGTGTGCGGGTTGGGGGGATGGAAGGGTCTGGTTTGAGCGGGCGCTGCTGGGCTGTTGTAGCTGAGTATCCCGCGGCCCAGACTCTTTAAGTGCCGTCGCGGACCCACCCAACAATGGTGTCTGGACCTCGAGGCTGGCTTGCGCATCAAGACATCGAAGCTTCAGTCCGCGGAAGCATCTGTCCCTTTGTGGATGACAGTATGAAATTTCACGACGTGGGCCGCAGGGTAGATGAACAAAGGGGGGGTCTGCGGCCTCAAAGGGAGGCAGATCTTCAGTGTGGTCTGTTGGCTGTCAATGTACTGCACTCGGTACTGTACGCAGGCTGCCCTGTCTGTCGAGATTTGACATCTTTGTGGGTAACGATATTTTGATGGGCTGTGCGTTGAGGTAAATGGACTGGACCTGCGAGAGAGCTGGCTGATAGGGTGGATATTTCGCACGTGATCGTGGTAGGGTGTCTGATTGCCTTCACCGGCACAGCCACTCTGCTTTTCCCCTCCTTCACTCGCGGTGCCCAGTTGAGCCAAGCGTGGACGCACAGCAGCCCGAGTCGAGGGCACACGTGAGCTCGCTTGAATCCAGGCCCTTGCATTTTTCTTACGATCGAGTGGAAAAGAGAAGAGAGCGAGGCTACAGATCTTGCAGGTGCAGAGATGTCGGAATCGAAGAGACGCGTTTCGTATTACTACGATCGTGAGTGCCTGTGCTTGTTTGGAGCTCTGAAATCGCACTGATTGCACCCTCCCCATATGCACACATCCACAGCCGACGTAGGCGGCTACACGTATGGGCAGACGCACCCGATGAAGCCGCATCGCGTACGGGTTACACATGAGCTGGTGGGGGCTTATGGCATGCTCGAAGCACCGGGCATGACTGTCCTGGTATGTGGTGGTCCCACCCCCCACTCTGTCCCATCCACGCCCGCCCGCTGACCTGCCAATCAGCGCGCACCCCGCGCGACGCCTGAGGAGCTGACGGCCTTCCACACCGACGACTACATCGACTTTCTGGCGCGCGTGACACCCGAGACGTCGGACCAGCTGACGCATCAGGGGCAGGTGTGTGAGTCGTCGCTGCACGCCGTCCACGCACACACTCACGCACCCACGCAGTTCTCGTCGGCGACGTGCCGGACAACCCGGCGTTCGAGGGCGTGTTCGAGTACTGCACGATCTCCGCGGGGGGCTCGCTGGCCGCGGCGCGGCGCCTGACGTCGGGCGCGGCGGACATCGCGATCAACTGGGCGGGCGGGCTGCACCACGCGAAGCGCGGGCAGGCGGCGGGCTTCTGCTACATCAACGACATCGTGCTGTGCATCCTCGAGCTGCTGCGCACGCACCCGCGCGTGCTGTACATCGACATCGACATCCACCACGGCGACGGCGTCGAGGAGGCGTTCTACACGACCGACCGCGTCATGACGTGCAGCTTCCACAAGTTCGGCGACTTCTTCCCTGGCACGGGCACGCAGGCGGACCGCGGGCGCGGGCGCGGGCGCGGGTTCGCGGTGAACGTGCCGCTCGACGACGGCATCACGGACGAGGCGTACGCGTCGGTCTTCGAGCCCGTCATCGGGCGCATCATGGAGGTGTTCCGCCCCGGCGCGGTCGTCCTGCAGTGCGGCGCGGACTCGCTCGCCGGCGACAAGCTCGGCGGGTTCAACCTCAGCCTCTCGGGTCACGCCGCGTGCGTGCAGTTCCTGCGCAAGCAGCACGTGCCGCTCATCCTGCTCGGCGGCGGCGGGTACACCGTGAAGAACGTCGCGCGCGCGTGGACGTACGAGACGGCCTGTGCGCTCGGCGTGGAGGACACCGTCCCCGTCGACCTACCGTACACGGAGCACTTTGAGTGGTTCGGCCCGCGCTACCGGCTCGAGGTGATGCCGTCGAATATGGTGGATGCGAATCTGCGCGAGGGCAAGCTCGCCAGGGTCCGGGAGCGCGCGCTGGCGCAGCTGGCGGAGTTGGCCACGCGCTGTGCGCCGAGTGTGCCCATGGCTGACATCCCGCACGAGAGCCTGGGTGTGCACCTGGGCTTGTTTGCCGACGAGGAACATGGGATGGATGCTCTTGATGAGCGAGTTGCTCGTGCGTTTTTCTCGTCTTTTTGCGCCTGGAGGGACTCTCATCACGGTCCACGATGTCCCCAGAACACGCTCGATATGTGTATGACCTGCAGGAACCGTCGTCGGACGAGGATGAGGACGAGGATGAGGACGAGTACCCAGAACCGCGCAGACAGATGAGTATCCTCACCAACCGCCCGATACCGGAGAAGAGGACATTCTTCCCGCCGCCCAGACCAGTGGAGATGGCGCCTTGGGATCCGCGTCGTATCCTCCAGATGAAGTCCATAGTATAAACGTCTCTTGATCTTTCTTGTATGGCTATGAAGGGCCCACTAAACCAGTTTCAAACTGTCCTAACATCCAAAAGAAACGCGGAGTGATTTGTTCGCTCCTTACCTTGACGACGAGTTTCTCACGAGATCGGCGAAGGGGAAAGAGATATCCGGGTCTGAAAGGCAGGAACCATATCTGCGTCCATCCCTGCTCGGATCGCATAGCTGCGGGTGGCTTTTCCGCTACTCTAGACGAGTACCGCACCCGCGTCGGACCGGCTCGTTGTCCAGTCCCTGATGATGAGCACGGGTGCACACGCTAAAGCAGCCACCGCGCCAGCTGCTTGAGCGACGTCATCGCGCCTGGCACGGTCGACTGGCAACGCACGGAGACACGGAGGTACCGCCGAACGGACCCACGGCGTGCCGTGTGAAGGGGGATCGCGGCGCGAGCACGGGCAGGACTTATAGCCCGGCGTCGCGTCCTCCTAGAGCCGTCTGTGGATCGGATCCGATCGATGGGAATGTTATCGTGCGTCCTTGAGTGAAATGTCCTCCAAAACAAATTTTATAATCCGACCTTAGGCTTTTCTGCAATTCCCGGTTCGAGTTTTTTACAGTCTGGCAGCTCACTCGGTGCGCTGACGGCTTTCGCCTTGTATGTGCTTCGTGCAGGGGCTGGTGCTTTTTCTGGTTCACATGATCGTGCTCTTCTTGAGCACTGCACGGGTGGTTTGGGACGAGGAGTTAACGTCCTTCCGCCTCAAGTTTTATTGATACTATATTGCGACTAGATACCTTGTGAACGGGTTCCTGGTTAGCATTTTCGCCGGATTGGCATACGGTACGTCTGCGCGCTGTCTGTTTTCTCGCTGGGGAATGGATCCGTCATGCAGGCTCCTTCTTCGGCAAGTCCCGCCCTCGTGTCTCTCGCACCCGCTTCTCTCTCTCTCCACTAGCACCTCCCCCATTTCCAGGCAGAGCATCGCTCGAATTCGCCCCGATGGGCTCGCGGGAACCCGCCTCGAGCGGGACCAAACCCAGCGGGACTCCGGCGAGGATTTGCGCGGGAACTCCAACGGGCCCCACTTGTCCCGCGGCTTATTCATGTAGCCCGGAATCAAGATGCTGTTGGCGACGGATACAATATCATGGGGACGGTAAATCCAGCGAGGTGAGTCACGGTTGCGCTTTTGCATCCGTCGGGCGACTCATCATGTCCTCAGTGGAACCCGAATTCCGGTCGTGAGTCTGCTCCCGACGTTCGAGATCACGGTGAACAGTGGTCTACAACATTGTTTCGCTTACTGCATTGGAAATGCGGTATGAGCTTGTGCTTCCATTGGCCATTGACGGACAGACTACAACAAGCGCAGATGAACGCGATCAAGGCAAAGGGAGCTACGCCGATCATTTGCGGAATTCCAGCTCGGAGGCAGCCACGTAAACTGACATGTAGCCAGCCTCGCAAACTGGCGCCAATCATTGGACTGGGACCAGCATTTTCCCGGAGAACGTTTCGTGCAGTCCTGGACCACTACAGTATTTCTGAAAACACGAGCATTGTTGAAGTGTACCATTACGCCTTTGTAGCCCAAGCGCATGGCAATTTGGACAGACCCACTCACCACATTGTATCCGATGGATCAGCTGCACACCAATGCTGCTGGAGCGACCGTGGTGGCGCAGGTGTTTTTCGGGGTCTGTTGTGGGGGAACAGTACTTTCAAAGGTCTCGTGAATGCTGCAGGTGTGGCAGCTCCAATTACATGGCAATGCTTGAATGGAGGATCGTCGGATGTTCATGTCCGACAGACGGTTGTGTATAAAAAGATGGATAGCTGAGACTGGCGAAGTAGATCATGGGCGCTATCATGTGCCTTTCTTCCCGCCAAGCCCTGCATTAATATGCTCCTTACAGTCATGCCTTGCTGTCTGACGGACCGACGAAACTCCCATGTTTATTCCTGGACGCTGTGGCGCTGTCATGTGCTTTTCTTCCTGCTAAGCCTCGCACTAACATGCTTCTTACAGTCATGCCTGGTTGTCTGACGGACCGACGAAAATCCCATGATCTATTCCTGAGCGTCGAGACGTAAGCACGGCTGGAGTAGAAGCAAAAAGGGACAATATAAGTACGGAAGTCCTATCGAAAGTAAGCTCTACCACCATGTTTTCCCAAATCCTCACCGCACTAGCCGTTTCTCTCGCAGTCCACGCGCAGACTATTTATTTGGCGGGTGATTCTACCATGGCTCCCGGAGGCGGAGGTGGTGTAACCGATGGCTGGGGTCAATACGTCGGCCAATTCTTCTCCATTCCTGTCGTCAACAGCGCTATTGCCGGTCGCAGCGCTCGCAGTTACACAACCGAGGGCCGTTTCAGTGCTATGCTGGGTAAGGTCAAATCGGGCGACTTTGTTGTCATGGAATTTGGACACAACGACGTCTCATCTGGTGCCATCGATAACGGGCGGGAAGATGCATCTGGAGACTCTCTGACTGCCACTTCTGTAGTCAAAGAATCCGAGTAAGCATGTCTCTTAACATAATCTCACTACCCAATGTCTGATACCCAAACACACAGCGGCAGCACTCAAGTGATGTAAGCGTTCATCTTGGCCGTCGAGGTGATTTCCGAATGCCCCAGTCACACCTTCAACTTCTACATGGAGAATGCGGCCAAGGCCTTCAGAACCAAGGGCGCCACGGTGATCATCAGTTCCCAGACTCCTAGTATGCATCCGTAACACAGCACATGCCTGTATTGGCAATGATTTGACCAATTCTAAGTTGAGAAATGGAACGCTGACAACACCTCGATCGCAACTCCACGTCAGTGGCCCAATTTTACATCTTACTGTTAGAGCTCATAACGTCTCTAGGCCCCGTGTTCGTTTACTATTCACCAGATTCAAGTGGCAGTCATGAAATTTTGTCCAGATTCGTTCAATATGCTGCTGAGGTGGCCGGAAATACCTCGGCCACTTACGTCGATCATTTCAGCTACATAGTTCAAGCTTACAACAAGATTGGGGAACCCGTGAGTGCAACGTCGGCTTTTAGAGCAACTTATGCTGAAAAATACCAAGACTGTGGCCACATACTACCCCATGGATCACACTCACACCACCCCGGCGGGAGCAACTGTGGTTGCTAAGGCTTTTGTGCGAGCCTTGCTCTGTGGGACAAGCACGATGAAGAGATTCTTGAACGCTGCGGGCAATTCCGTCCCCAGTCAGTGAATCCCATCAAAATGAAAGCGATTTCTCATTTCCTTCTTCGCAGACGGATGCCTTTGAAGGCAAGTGGCCCCTGAAAGGATCAGAGTCTTATCTAGCTATCAATAGTTACTGTGATCTAGCCGCAAAGGGTGATGGCAGTATGCATTGTGATGCAGTCACGGCAAAAATAAAATTCCCATCCATATCGGGAATGACTTGATCCGAAGCGCTGTGATGCGATCAAATGGGCTGATTTCGAGTAGATGAGCCTCTTACAGCTGCCTTTGCAAGAAATTAAGCAAAGAAAGTCCACAAACACATTGAGTACTACTAGTATTTTACCCATAGAAGGTTACTCTCTCGCAACTGCTCCAAACAGCATGGAAATGAACAGTAAAGGTGGATGATGTACTGATGGAATTCTGGTGATAGCCAGATCTCACAAGCAATCCGAAAGAGGTCCTGTGCGGTTCTAATTGTTGGGTATTCTGGATGACAGTGAATGCGGCGCTTGAGCTCTGCCTACTTGTTCTCAATGAGTGTGAGATCGGGGGACTTGGCGGGCCATGGTGATAGGCTGGCTACCAGACGTGCTGAAATGCTGAGGGCGCGCTCACAAGTGAATCTACTATGAAAGTAAACTCAAATATAAACACGTTCACACTTCTCGTGATCAGCTTCTCAGTGTGTGAAAGATGCGAGGGCTTCGGGGTGGACAGAACACCTGTATCACAACTCTCAATAGACGCAGATCAATAGTCGCGGAAGACAAAGTCAACGACAAGAATTTATATATAGTAAACAATGGTGTCTCAACCAATATCTTCTATACGAACGAGACCAACACTAATCCAATCACAACCAACAATATAACAAGTCAGAACTTAATACGAAGTATTAAGATCCCTTGTAGCAACAGCGTCCAGATGGCGACGCAAAGCCCAAATATCAAGTCAACGCACTGCCAACCGATACAACCAATATACTGAGTCGACGCACTGCCAACTAGTAAACCAAAATGCCGCGTCGATGCACTGCCAACTGACAGCCAATATCCAATGTCCAAAACCCGAGCACAACTTGTCGATGCACTGCCAAGCAAGAAGTGTGGAACCAAAGTTCTCAAGTCGACGCACTGCCAACTGACCAAAACAACCCGAGCACCACTAGTCGACGCACTACCAAGCTAGAGGTGTGGAACAATCTCAACAAAGCCCGAAGGGCGACGACACTAAATGCCGCGACTAAACCAGATGCGGCAAATCCAACTTTCTGATGTCTCAAAACTCAAACTCAAATCACAGTAGCTACAAGTGCTCAGGGAGCAACTCGTTGCGACCGGGCAGGGGTGGCAGAACTTCTTAGGGTAGAATCACACGGCAAGCAAATTGTACAAAACAATCTGATATGAGAGTGATTCACAGTCCGGGGGAAAGCTTCCTAATACAAAGAAACGACGTGCTACTTATACTGTCTACGACAATGCTTAGTAAAGTCCTGTACAACTGCATAGTAGCTACGCTACCTAAGATCGGTTGCCTTTTAGGGTAATGAAAAAGTTGAACGATCAGGCAGGTCCTGAGTGATCAGGACCCCGCCCCATAGCCCATATGATACTTTTGATGTGGGTCAACCCACCGCGTCATACTTTTGGAATATGACGTGTTGGATTGGCCGACGGGTATGTCTCGGCAGGTGAGTGGGTGCCCCAAGAAGCCGTATGGTCCTAGGCATGCCAGTCGTTCCTCACATGGTTCAGTTCACGGATCTAGCCGTGTCGATTTTAGTGTGTTTGGGTATGGGCGCAACTCGCCGTGACACTTGGAAGTGTCACCGTAACGCATCCACAATGTCCCATGATTGAATGGATCCTGACATGTGACAAGTCATTGCTGTGGCATGATCCAAAGGACCATCCAACCTAAAGACGGGAGTTGCTGCGACAAGATTGGTTCAATCTTGTAACACCAAGTCCTGTCCAGTAGTAGTTGTATTATTGAGAACGTCGCACATCGCTCAGCCCTTCAGCCCAAGTTCCCATCTGCAGAGAATGACCCTTTTGAGAAGTCGACGCAATGAAAGATCCCTTTTTGGGGAATGGTTGCGGTCCAAGCGTTCGTCACTAATGGCCCTGAGCCTGGTATAGACTCATAAGACCAGTTCCCCAGTAGTGGTCTGACTGCCTTGCTATCGCCGACACTATCCACAGTCGTCGACTGGGCAGTAGACCCTTAAGTCCTACTGAGCGCAACACTGTCAACCGCGACACGATACACCGAATGGTTCGAGAGTAAACTCTGTAAAAAGCGCAAAAATACACCCTTACAGAGCTGGTGCAGAGCGCGTCTGGTAGCCAGCCTATCACCATGGCCCGCCAAGTCGCCCGATCTCACACTCATTGAGAACAAGTAGGCAGAGCTCAAGCGCCGCATTCACTGTCATCCAGAATACCCAACAATTAGAACCGCTACCTGGTAATGGAGAATCCAAAGAGTAACTGTGTTGTGGATTCTCCCTGCTAGGCGCCACTATTTATATGATACAGGAACAATAGACTGGGCAGCGATAAACAAGAACAATAGGAACAATAAGTACAATGGCTATGACAGACCAAATAGGAAATGGAGACAATAGGAACAATGGCACCACCTGCCATCAAAGAGAAGCGCTTGGTGCGGCGGTCCGGGCCGCTGCGCATTACAGCTGACAGGTCACATGAGCGTGATCACATGCCAGATTCCAGGCTGATCAGTCCAAACTGGGGGTTTCCCTGACACCATGTCGCACCTTCACTGACATAGACACAGGTAATGTGCTGTACAGGACATGCTATGTGGTATAAGAACAAGATGTGCAAGTGGTTGGTGTGTGAGATGAGAATTGGTCACATCACAGCGCTTCGGATCAAGTCATTCGCAATATGGATGGGAATTTTATTTTTGCCCTGACTGTATTTTAGACACTAAAGCCTTTCCCACTAATTTCATATTATATGAGTTGAGGAAGATATGTGATAAGCATATCAGACCTCCTCAACCATGTCAGACCTTTGGCTCAGTTTGCTAACATGTTGTATACACCTCATTCTTGGGAGGTTAGCTGTTCAATTTCCCCAGAAATCTTTATTTTGGCTGGGGGACACCTTAGCCTAATGTTGTGTTTATATACACGAATAAAGTAATCAGTTAAAACTGCTTATATCCAGGACAGTAGCCTAAATTCTACTGCCAGGGTTGTCAAACTGTCCCAACATCCAAAAGAAACGCGGAGTGATTTGTTGCCTCTTTACCTTGACGACGAGATTCTCACGATATCGGCGAAGGGGAAAGAGATATGATCCCTGCTCGGATCGCATAGCTGCGGATGGCTTTTCCGCTAGACGTGTCCCGCGCCCGCGTCGGGCCGGCTCGTTGCCCAGTCCCTGATGAGCACGGGTGCACATGCCAAAGCAGCCACCGCGCCAGCTGCTTGAGCGACATTATCGCGTCTGGCACGGTCGACTGGCAACGCCCGGATACACGGAGGAGCCGCCGAACGGACCCACGGCGTGCCGTGCGAAGGGGGGATTGCGGCGCGAGGACGGGCAGGACTTATAGCCCGGCCTCATTCTGCCTGAGCTGTCTGTCTGCTACCCCTACCCTTCGAGTCCTTGAGGGGCACACACACACATTCGCTTTGATCGACTGGATATGCAAAATGAACACCTCAAGCAGGTCTCGAGCCCGGCTGGTACGCTGTGGGTGACGTGCGTCGCCAGCACCCGGGATCATCCGTGCCTGGTCTCAGCCTCTGCAGATACATGCTCTCCCTGGCCACGTACTTCGTTGGCGTTTACCGTACGTCTTTTTTGTTCTGTGACGAGTCTCAGAAGTCTGTATTGATTGATTGATTGATGTGGTGGGACGCAGAGGTGGCAGTCCGCGTGCGCATGATGCGCCAGGGTCGGGGGGACATGCCAGCCGAAATATTCGTGAGCCCTTATACTCACCGTTGAGACTGCCGTGAGGTGACATGCGCTAATGGATGCGCAGATTTTCGCAGTCTTGTGCGTCTCCTTGGGTCCTGGGGATTCCTCTTGACAGTGATTATTGCTTCCAGCGGGATCGACAGTGCGGCGCTATTTTGTCGTCAGTCCACGACTCTGTAGACATGATTCTACTGATCCTAGATTGCCCGACGCAGTCTTCAATGCGTGAGTCGTAATGCCGGGATGACCGCCATGCACTCAAGGATATGATCTCCACGCCCAGCGTCTATGCACGGCCCACATTCTACCTCGGGCTTGTCGGCCGATCGGATCCGATCGATGGGAATCTTATCGTGCGTCATCTAGCGAAAGGCCCGGCAAGAGAGAGATCTAATAATCCGACATGAGGCTTTTCTGCAATTCTCGGTTCGAGTTTTTCGTGGTTTGAAAGCTCGCTCTGTGCGCTGACGGCTTTCGTTTGCACTTTGTGCAGGGGCTGGTGCTGTTTCTGGTCCATATGTCTGTGCCCTTCTTGACCCCAGCACAGGTGGTTTAACTCCCAGCTCCTTCAGGTTCTATTCATACTATATTGCGACGAGATACCTTGTGAACGGGTTCCTGGTGAGCATTTTCGCAGGATTGGGATACGGTATGTCTGCGCGTTTCCTGTCCTCTCGCTGCGGACTGGATTCGTCACACAGGCTCCTTCATCGGTCAGTCCCGCCCGCATATCTCGCACCCACCCGCCTCTCCCTCAACTAGCCCTTCCAATCCACAGGCAGGGCATCGCTCGAATTCGCCCCGATCGGCTCGAGCACGCCCGGCATCTGGCAGTCCCCGCTCTTCACGCTCGTCGCGGCCGCGGCCATCTGGTCGTCCTTCGTCACGCTGCGCTGCGTGCGCGTGCCCATGGACGACGGCGGCGCGGTCGGGTGCGTGTTCCACAGCGTGCGGCCCAATGCGTGGGCGCGCGACGCTTACCTTGGCGGCGGCGGTGGCGGTGGCGGTGGTGCGGGGAATACACCGCGCGGCGTCGTGTTCCTGAACGCCGGCCCGCGCGGGCTGCTCGCGCTGGGCCTGTTCTGCGTGTGCTTTCTAGTGGTGCGCGGGCGTGTTGCTGCTTGTGCATGTGATTGACTTGTTGTCCGGTAGTTCGTGGCATGCGGGGACCAGCTCTACTGGGTCGTTTTCTACGCCCTGGGTGTCAAAGGTGTGTGATCTCCGTGCATCTTCCAAGTCTGTACCAGATTCAATGGATGATTCAGCTTCGATGAACGGTGCTTTTTATCTGTGAGTATCGTCGAGCCTGGCAAAAGGATGCCTGATGGCCGTCGGGCAGAATCAACACTTGCGAGACGATTCCGCGATCGGCGAACGAGGATGATTTTCCGGAGGCTGAGGTCTGAGTCTCGTTTGGGAATTGGGCCTCGATTGGGACGCTACACGTGATCCGGACCGGCTGTAGAGATCTACGGAGATCAACTTTCTGTCGACCAGCACTCCTTGCATGGGGCTAGAGTCCATCTGCGTCTACCAGATATACCCAATTTTACAATAATACATGTTTAATTGTTCGTATCTAAGCAACTCACCAGTCACCCAACACCCGGCTGACAACGAGCACGATTGACGGTCCACCGTTTCAAGAGAAACCACTTGAATGGTTCTGAATTGCGATTATTGGAGGTGGATTTTTCTGTGTGAAATTCATGAAAACCCAACATAAACTGCTGTCGAGCCAGTCAAACCGGTCAAAAAGAATGGTTCACTGTTTTTCCCCGGATCAGAGCATCTGAACATAGACCACGTGCCCGAGTGTCAACTTTACACGTGATATACACAGCCCCCGCCATTCCTTCCCTCCGCTCGTCTTACGGTATCACGATTCTCGAGACAGGCGCGAAGCTAGTACAGAGCTTAGAATTCATTCGCGTATGAACAGACGGACTATTTCCTTGGATCCCACGGGGTGATGCTCGAATGGGAAACCAAATACCCGCACCTGACCTCCGTGGTAGCCGAGGGAATTCTCCAGCGGGGAGCGGAGGGGAGGAAGGCGACGTGGATATGAACTGAAAGCGCGCTAGGGTACGTGATGGGGTCGGTGGTTTCACGCTATGGGCCTCAGCGGACGGGGATTCCCAGCCAGGCCAGGTTCTCTCTACCCACGAATCACGATCGATTGCGGAATCGAGGCGAGCTCGTAGATGCCGTGCCGACTCGCGACCGGTGAGGCCAAGTGCGATACAAAAGCGTGCATGCCAAGCGGGGATCTCACAAGAGCAGCAGAACGACCTGACCCCTGCGCGCCATACAATGCACACCACCACCACCACCACCACCACATTCATCATCATCCTCGCCACGCTCTCGCGCACGGCCCTCGCAACCCCAGCGGGTCTCGGGGTCTTGCCGGGGACGGTCCGGCTGACGAGCTACTCGGCGGCACTGCAATCCAAGATGCACGACGTGAGCCTGGGCAACTACACGACGTACGGGAAGCTCGGGTGCATACGGGCACCGACGGCGCTGACGACCACCGTCGGGCTGTCGAACGCGACGAACCACGTTGCTGCGGATGAGGCTAATGGGTATGATGTAGGTTGGGGTTCGCGTTGTGGGCCGCGTGCGGCCTGGGCTGATCTTGTTCTTTGCCTTTAGCTGGATCTCAGCAACGGAGTAGACGGAGATATGCTGCAGTGCAACCCGGGCTTCATTCCCGAGAAGCTGGCTATTGAGAACTTCTCCAGCAAGGTGCGCGGGAACAATATCTCATGGGGTCTTCGCGCGATTCTGAACAATGTAGGGCGCGACTTTGGGGAGCTACAGCGGTTTCGATATTATTCCCGACACGACCTGCCGGGCATTCAACTTCACGCTCGTCGTGCACGCCCAGGAGCCGCATTTCTTGACCCGCGTCCCGCTGTACACGGTATGTAGCGGTTCTATCTCGAAGTATGAACCGGGGAGCTGAGCGTGGCGATGATGCAGATCTGCTGCGCGGCGCTCCCCCACAAATGCCTCAGATTCAATACGGCGGACCCCGCGAAGGTCCTCGTGGATACCCTGCCGGCGGTGAAGAACCTCGCCTCCGCGACGCAGCTACTCGACTTCCTGTTCGCACTCGAGCATGAGATTTCGGTGTTCCCGACGGGGAGCAGCATCCAGCACGATGAGGAGGAGGAAGAGGACGCGTCGGCTGATTCGGAAGACGCCGATGACGACTCAGATTCCGCCGATCCGGACCCGGCTGATGATGATGAAGACGGGGACGACCAGTCTGGTGCTTCGAAAGGAAAGGATGGCAGCGATGGGTCTGGGAGTGAAAATGACGGTGCCGATGATGATACTGCGAATAACTAGCGGCCTGTCGCCTGGGCGAGTGAGTGCCCGTGTTTCTGAGGTAATCCTACCGATGTCTATCTATTCTGTCTATGTTTTCTGGCTACCGAATTTGGTGTTTTGATGTTTCTAATACGGAGTGTAGATGACGGATATTTGCAACTCTACAGTCCCGAAGATGTTAATGGTAAGATTGCAGTTGTGAAATATGACACAACTAGATATTCGTTGTCGTGAGTGATCGAACATGCGCCGATGTATCGCTTCTATTACCCTTGCTGTTTCTGCCACTCCCACAATCTGATTTTGGAGCCAGCAGCGTCTCAATCGCCAATGCCTTTTCTCTCTGCTTTTGCAAAAGGAATTTGAGGACAATGGTGACAAGGCTGTATTGGTAGGTGAAGGCAGGGAGCTTAGTGGACTGCTGAAAACGTGCATGAAAACGTACCTCGAGTCTTTGTAGAGTTGTACTCCTGAACTCAATCGATCTATTTCACCTTCGGAACTCACCTCCATGCGCACACAGTGCGGAATTGCACACGCCAAATCGTCGAGAACCCTCGCAGACAGTTAAGGAAACGATCAAGTCCGAGGACCAAGTCGCCGGGGACTGAAAGTGGGAGCTATGGGAATGTTTGAAATGACTGTAGCAAAACACTCAAGCTCGGCTCTGGTTCAATGATGATCGAGCCGCATCTGTGTCCGCTCTACTATCGTGTAGCTTACTCATTATTTTCTCGGTTATAAGCAAGACTCCTGCTCTATACCTGCAATTGCATATAATTCCAGCATGATAAATCACTGTCCGAAGTTCTTCCCACTAGGAACACGGTTCTCAAGTTCTCCCAGCCTGACATCAAATCAAATTCAGCATGTCATTAGAATGGCCACAGAACCACCAATGAGCAACAAAGGATGCACAGAAATCTGATGGAGACCAACAGCCGCACCGGAGGCCTTTTGACCGCTATTGGGACTCTGCGACGGAACGAACAAGAAACTTGTCTGTGCGGGAGCCAGCCCTGCGGGGGTCGAAGCCGCCGTAGTCGTCGTCGGCGAACTCGAAACAGAGGACGGCGATCCAGCGGCGACGGGAACGTTGGCTGGTACCGCCGCGGCATTGAGTATATCGGAGGTCCCAGTCAGCTGACCCCAGGGTGCCGTGCCGTACGGCCCGAGCACGGACGCCGGGCTCAGAAATTTCGCATCCGAGGCGACGAATGCGCTGGGATCGTTGCTGTTCAGCACTCCCGAAACCAGCCACGTGTTGTCGGTACCGATCACCTGACTCGATCCGTCGGTGTATTGAACGAGGATGGCGGCCAGGACGCCCGCGCTGGCGTTCTGCTGGGCAGAGAAGTTTTGGGCAATGATATCGAAGGTCGTGTTCTGTGCGGTGAGGGGCAGCACGAACCGCTGGGCGAAAAGCCCGGTGTAGGTGCTCACGGATCCGTTGTCGCCGGATGGAGAGGCGCCGACGTAGGCACTATCAACAAACAGCTGCAACGCATTGTCCGCTGTCACCAACACCGTTGCATTCGCAGGAGTTTTCCCATCCGGGGCCACGAGTGTCTTGCGGAACCCTACGGAACCTGCGGCGGCAGCGGTGCCCGAGTTCCAGATCCACGACGCTTGTCCGGACAGATTCTGCGCTCCGAACGCCGAGGGCGAGAGGAGCGAGGCGTTGCCCCAGGGCCCGACGGTATCCCACAGTCCCGCGACGCTCACATTGGACCATCCAATCCCGTTATTCAATACACGCGCCTGATCCGTAGATGGTAGAGGGAAGCCGACAGGGTACGTCGAGTTCGACTGCGTGTTGTTCGGGCCCGCTCCGAGCCATGTGCTGTCCGTGCCGAACACCTCCGTAGACCCGTCGGTGTAGCGCACTTGCACTGCCGCGGCAAGGCCCGCGGGGTTACTCCTTGTGTTAGTGGGCTGAAAGGTGTTCACGCCCATCACGCCGATGATGTTGTCCGACGCGTTGAGCGCGGCGCTGAACTGGAACGCCGTCTTCCATGTGTCCTGGCCCGCAGGCGACGCTCCGACGGGCTGGCCGTTGACCCAGAGTGTGAATGAGTCGTCGGCGGTGATGGTGATGAGCGCCGAGGACGCGGATTTGTTTGGCGGATTCGGAAGGAGTTTCAGGAAGGAGGCGGTCCCGGCAGGGGCGTTTTGTGTGAAGTGGGACGAGGAGGGCGTGGAGAGCCAGATCCAGGACGCAGAGGTGAATCCGCTCGAGCCCAGATCGCGTCTTGTAAGGTCGAACGAGTGTGCAGGCAGAAGAACAGCTGCGGCTTTCAGGCGGTTAGGAGGACGTATCCAGTAACGGCATCTCAGCCTTGCACCTACCGCTGTAGGGCAGAGAAGCCAGCACCGCCGTGAAAAGGATCGAGACTGGAGAATAGACTGGTTAACAAAGACATTCATTTCAATCTCATGCGCCCGAACACTCACCGAAAAAAATCATCCTCCCGTGTCGAGGACGTGCAGGCAAGTGAGAGAATCAGATGCTGGGGGAAACCCTAGTTCCTTGGATATATGCTGGCTGATGACCTGCCGAACGGATGGGCTGAATGGACGACGTTAGAATTGAGGAGCAATCATGGCTGAGCTCTCCTCAACGATCATCGATGCCGCTGAAACCTATGATGAGCAGATTGGAATCATCGCTGAGATGAACAAGATCTGATTTGATCCCTTCGTAATTTGGTTCTCGACGAACATTGCACCGCCTCCGATCTCACCCCAGGGACCTCCAATTATGACGTAAAATGGCTTCGAGGCCCCCTCCGGAGGCCATCAAACCACCCCCTACCCCCCCTGATCGGAGGCCATTCTGGAGGCGCCTTCCTAATTGGGACGCTGCCTGGCCATTTGTCCACAGCCTGCATGGTATTCAGGCGTAGGCTGGGGATCGGCCTTGGTACTGATATATGCTTCAGTAGTCATTATTAAGTCTCAGAAACTGTCTTAGCTCCCAGAAGCCTGTATTTACTGCTCGCAAATGGTGGGCCACTGGGCACCCAAAATCTGGGATTTGAGCGCATTAGCATGGCCCAAGTGTATGGGGCAAGGGGATGTGTATTCCTGCGAGATCGAGCATGAAAGACTGGCGTCTGCATACAAGATTGAAATGTTATGCAAGGGAGGGATCACGGCCTCCACGACCTCCCAGGGTCAGAAAGAAAAGGCGTTGGGTAGCCCGCAGGCGCTTCAATTACCTTCAGTAGATCAATTTGACGCTTATACTCTCTAAAAATAACAGTTAAGCACGTAGATCTGATGCCAGCACCGATAGCAGAGATGACCTCCATGGCCTCCACAGCCGGGCACGAAACGCGGTTAGAAAGCGATCATCGTGGATCCAGCCGCACGAGACATGTCTCCAGCATACCAAGTCCTCTTCTGGATGATGAACGTCCTCCCGCTGGGCGGCCCGGCCGGTAGATCTGATGCGGGCACCGATGGCAGTTATGGCCTCCACGGCCTCCACAGCCGGGCACGAAACGCGGTTAGAAAGCGATCATCGTGGATCCAGCCGCACGAGACATGTTTCTAGCATACCAAGTCCTCTTCTGGATGATGAACGTCCTCCCGCTGGGCGGCCCGGCCGGTAGATCTGATGCGGGCACCGATGGCAGTTATGGCCTCCACGGCCTCCACAGCCGGGCACGAAACGCGGTTAGAAAGCGATCATCGTGGATCCAGCCGCACCAAAAAAATTGAAGACTTGGGACAAATTTTAGCGGGTCGATCTGATGCTAGCACCAAAGCGGTTATCGTGGATTCAGCTGTTCCACTTGGATACTCCTGCAAAACTCCTGAATTGTAAAAATCGTGTTTCAATCCCCATCCCCGTGCCATGCACTTCGCAGTGAGACATCTCGGCATGTGGGTCGGATGTTAGCACCAGACAAAGATCCTGCCTCCACCGCCTCCCCAGCCGGGGACCCAAGCGGTTTTGTTGGATTCCGCTACAAATAAATTGCATTCAACTGCTCTAATTTCTTTTTGAAATAGAAAAGCGGTCATTCCCTTTCATGCAGGTGATATTCACAGTCGTTCCAGTCCAGTAAGACGGGGAGTGACGCTTGGCGACCTCGGGGACCTCCACAACCACCCATCACTAGAACAATCAAGTACTAGTCGGCAGTCCCGACCTCTGCCATTGTTCACATTGTTTTCCAAATAAACAAAAGTCACGTATTCGATTGCAAATGTTGACACTATGATAGATGGTACAAGATATTGGACAGACAAGTGTAATATGACAAGATTTATTTTAGCTGTGGAACACAATAAGCAAGCTGAAGAGGAAAGAGAAACAGATTGAAAAAATCACCGAACCCCCAGCAATGTAGATGACGACTCCAATGACATTCAGTGACCCGTCATCTGAATCACTCCGTCATTCAGCATGGTTTGCAGTGCTTGTGTGACCAACGCTTGAATTTGATCAGCTGACACGTTCATTGATGTCGAACTCGAAGGGACGGCTTCTTGATCAGGCAGAGCAGCCTCTGAGGAACTGGGAGGGGCTGGAGGCGGTGGAGGCGCAGGTGTTGCATCTGCAGCTGGAGCCGCCATGCTTGATGACCGTGTTGCTGCCGCACGCCGAGGTTTTGGGACCGGTCTCGCGGGTGCTGCTGGTGCCGATATTTTGCTGCTACTGGCCTCCTTGGTGCCAGACTCTCCTAGGTATCATTTCAGCCTGCTGCGTAGGGAATGAAATACAGAAACTGACCTTTGTCGCTTCCCATACTCTGCTTCTTGGCGGTGTGGCTTTCGGACTGAGCACGCTCCGCTTGCCGGTTTCTCACCGGGGTGGGAGTTTCGGCAAAAGAGACTCCTGGCACGTTCTTGGTTGCGTTCTCGGCTCGAGGTGCATTGGGCGGAGTCGATGTCGGCAGCGAAGCCGGGACGAAAGTGGCCGCTGGCTGCGACGCTTTGCGACGGATTTCCCGTTGCACGGTTTCCTCCTCCGACTCCGGTCCAAAATATTCGGACCCCGATGGAGAGCTGTCGCCGCTCTGCCGGGTTTGCTGCCTGCGCGTTGGCTCCCCCTTCGTCCTCGGCCGCAGAATCATCGCCGCTCCACCCCCCTCCTGGACCTGTTGCGCGGAGAGAAGCGGAATCTCATCGAAATCCGCTGTCGCAACCTTCCGGCCCCTACGAGCTTTTGCAGTCGACTGCGGTGTTGATTGCTTGCCAGCAGCCGTCGTCGCTTTGCGAGAAGTCCTTCGCGATGGCCGACTTTTCACTGTTCCCGAGCTTTCCGCAGCATCCTCCACCGCCTCCGCAGTCTTCGTCGCTGCTCGAGCTCGTCGCGTTGGTCTTGAGTTCTCCTCCACGTTGCTCTCAACCTCGCTGTCACCTTCAACGTTACTCTCCGCTCTGCCTTTGCCCTTGCCTGAAGCGTTGCGCTTGCGTTTGGAAGGTCCAGTGGACCCTTCCGTCTTGATCTGCGTCCGGACCCGGTGTTGTTGAGGCGAGCTGATTCGAGCGCCCTGGATACGAGCAATGACCTCCGCCTTCTTCGAGCTGATGCCGCTCTTTAGCACCGTCATGTCCCAATACGGGGGAGCCCGCATGAGGTCAAACCTGAAGGCAATGAGCTGGTTGTGCCCATTGAGCCCAAGGGTGAAGTCTCCATTCGAGTGGTATCTCGGGTCGCGATCGCTCGAGTCTGGCAGATCCTCGCGATCATAGTTGTGGCAGTAGATTACTGGATCCTCTGAACGAATAGAATTAGTACATGCTATTCAAAACCTGGAGGGATGCGACGTACCTGGGCTCAGCTCAGCTGGAGAGGACATGATTATGAGCCCCCTTGGTGACTTGGAAAGAGTTTCCAGCGCCTTGCACTCGAAAACCCTAAAGTTGCTCAGACCCTTGTCGGCGTTCATCTCCGGAGGCAGTCGGACGTGGTCGGGATAACCGAGGATGATGACGTGCTTCATCAGAAGGACCTCGGACGCGAGACTATTCCAAGCAAAGCCGTTCTTGGTTTCAGCGAAGATGTCGAAGCGAAGACTGCGCTCGCTCCATTTGCGCAGTGCCGTCCGCAGCCGACTAAACAAGCCGTCACCTCGTTTGTTGTCCAGATGCGGTGAGAGTTTCCGAGCAATTTGCCAAAAGGTTTCGGCGGAAGTGTTATTGGCAGCAGGGTTGGGCAGTGACTGCCGCCCACCCAACTTGGAGGTAGAGGAGGCGGCGGAGGCAAGGCTGAAATTGGTGGCCGTGGTGCCGGTCTCGATTCCCTCAATCGCCCGGTAGTGCATGTTGAGATTGAAGTGACTGGCCGGTTTTCAGGATTCATGCACAAGAAGGAATGAAAAAGAAAAGACCCACGTGCAACACTCCGTTGCAGCATTGAACAGAACATCTGCTGATCGTTGCAGACTGACCGGGAACTGAAAGAGTTCGAAGTCAGCTTTCGAAAGAGCTGGAAGGCAGCAATCGTACCTGAGCCATGCCGGAGGTTGCCATGATTTCTCCGAGTGCCGCATCGTCTTGCCCACGGCCGCCAACAACGATGGTGAAACATTGGAAGCCATTGGCTTCCACTTTCAAGAGCTACAAATATTGTGAGAAACGAATGATATCAGATGGATGTAAGATTACTTACCATCTTGTTCACATCGTTAGATGTACGCACAAAGCGTTTGGCGCGTTCGGCCATCGATTCTGTCACGTCCCGCTGCTTCAAGATTTCCCAGTGTCTGAGAACGACGATGGGATCATTCCCTGCCGCCTCAGTCTCAGTCTGCCAGCCGTGATAAGCCTCGTTGAGGCGATGCCCCGACTGGAAGTGAGCACGGCACTCTTCCAGAGGAACGTCGTTGCTGAATACACGCCGTGATTCCTTCTCTAGATTCTGAGGATCCAACGCGAACGTTTGATACAGATTCCAGGCATTCGAAGGGAGAAGGGGTCCAGTCAGCAGCTTTCGGACGTAATCCATAGTGAACGCGTGGTCCAATTGCACCTTCTCCGATTCGAAGCGAATGGTTTCGAGGATTCGACCCGCAAGAGAGAAAAGCTGGTCGCGTTGGTCTTGCGACAGCTTCTGGGATTGGGTGTCGCTGTGCTTGGAAACCGAGTTGCTGCCTCCAGCGCCTCCAGCGCCTCCAGCATCATCATCGAAAGAAAGAAGCGATGGTGAATTGAACACATCGGCATTCGGGACGTCCCTCATCTCGGTACCGGCGTTCTCGAGAGCTTGGGGGTTGTGTAGATGGCCGAGGGTGGGGGTGAGCGAATGGAGAAGCTTGGGCTGCTGGGCAGGGGACAGCATCAAGGAGGAAGAAAGGGGGTGGCTTGGAGTACCAGGAGTACCGGGAGGCGACTGAGGAGCCTGTTGAGGCTGGGGTGGCGGAGGTTGGGTGCCGGGCATCTCGTTTGGGACAGGCTTCCTGACACGATCCTGTGCAAGGAAACTGGCGGAGGCCTTGGCGGTCGGCATGACGATGGAGCGGAGTCGAGACTGAGGGAGATGGGAAGGTGGTGTGGCCTCCCGCCACAGTGATCCTCCTCCTGTCTGTTCCAGCAGCGAAGCCTTGGCCGGCGATGACGCTGTGGTCGCGAGCTCATCCACTTCTTCTTCATCCTGTTCCAGCTCGCCCTCACCATCATCATTGTCCTCCAGCTCAACACCCATCTCACCACTATCCAAACCCACCCCTTCCTGCTGGCTGCCGTCTGCTTCTTCGTCTATGCAATCGATCTGAGCGAGGGACATCTCTGCGTCGGGGAGGGGATCTTCCACACGCTCCTGCGAGTGTTCTGCAGTGTCCATCGAGGGGGGAAGGTTGGATGGTTCTGCGGTAGGATTCTGGGGTTCGGCTGGGGTCTGGATGGAGGGGGGATGGTCGGATGGTTCTGCGGTAGGATTCTGGGGTTCGGCTGGGGTCTGGGGTTCAGCGGCGTTCGTTGACGGTCTTGCAGTATCCTCCGATGATTCTGCTTGTTTTGCGGGGCTCATTGAGGTGGGATGATTGGAAGTCAAGGCAGGACAATCGGACGGTCCTGGGGTATTTATCACGGTGGGATGGTCTGATGGTTCCATCGAGGCGGGACGGTCTGATGTTTCCATCGAGCTGGGATGGTCCGATGGACCCGCGGTCGCCGATCCTGGCGCAGTGACGACTTGTTTTGCTCCACCGGTCCTGGAGCGCGTCGAAGGGCCTTGTTGTGGCGCGGTGGGTGCTAGCACAATTCTGAGCTCAACAATCGACCATTTGTGAGCAATGACTAACCTTTTTTCTTGCTTTTTGGCATCTGAGGCCTGCGAGAGGGATTGTGCAAGAGAGACGATGGGGAATGTGAGAGAGAAAAAATGCGACTCGTCACAAACACATGATATGACCGGTCACTGTGACCAGAATGATCGGTGTCTTGCACGGATCGCCGGGAAATCCGTTGCCGAGATCAAATTCCGACAGATTCTGACATGACATGATCGGTGTCTTGCACGGATCTCCGGTAAATCCATTGCCGAGATCAAATTTCGACAGTTTCTGACAGGACATGATCGGTGTCCTTGAGCGGATCCATCGGTAACTCGGTTGCCGGGATAGCTTCACGTCTGCCAAGAGCAAAGATCCCGCCAATCAGCACACGAATAACAATCGAACCAACATATTCACCTGGCTGTAAAGACCATGGAGAGTCCTAGAGCCTTCGGACCTTTGAAATTCAATTCTATTTCACTGTCCCCTCGATTTCTGATAGTTTTTTCTAGGTCTTTCATTCGAAAAAAAGTCGATGCACAGAATGGTGTCGCAGGCTAGTAAATACCTTGTATAACTTGCTTCTGACCACATCGTCAAAATGGGTCGTCGAGCTCGGCACCTCACATTGGCCGCAAAGAAGGATTATCAACACATCTCGAGCCTCAAATATGCTCTGTCCGAGCAGTAAGCCCGTTCTGCTTCAATTTCTTGCTCACTGGACTCCACTTACATTCTCTCAATAGTGGTCAAACGCGGCGGGCAGACCGCAAAGCAAGGTCTAAGCTAGGGGAAAGCCCGGGATCCAATGATCCAACCCCTCCTGCTGCTTCCGGAGACAAGCCCCCCAACGGTCTCATGCTGGCTCTCGCAGAGATCCCACTGCCGACAGAAAACGCGCTATTCCGTCGTGTTGTAGATGAGCCAGACTCAGTTGGTGAAAGCGATTTCCCTCGCTGGCTAGCGGAGCCCCCATTTGCTGGAGATGACGCATACTTTGAGCATCATTCTGCAGAGTACCAAGGCTTTACGAAAGCGCTGGAAACAGCAATGCACGGTGTGCAGTTCCGGATGCGTCAAGCCCGCCACAATGATCTCCACTCACGGTTCCTTCGTGCTGCGTGCTGGATTGGCCAACGGGTATGTCTTGGCAGGTGAGTCCAACGTGGGCGCCCCAAGAAGCCGTATGGCCCTAGGCACGCCGGTCGTCCCTCACATGGTTCGGTTCACGGATCTAGCCGTGTTGATTCTAGTGTGTTTGGATATGGGCACGACTCGCCGTGACACTTGGAAGTGTCACCGCGACGCGTCTACAATGTCCCGTGATCGAATGGATCCTGACATGTGACAAGTTGTCGTCATGGCATGATCTGAGGAAACGTCCAACTCAAAACCGGGAGTTGCCGCGACAAGATGGTTTTAAATCTCGTAACGCCAAGTCCTGTCCAGTAGTAGTTGTATTATTGAGAACGTCGCACATTGCTCAGCCCTTCAGCCCAAGTTCCCATCTGCAGAGAATGACCCTCTTTGAGAAGTCGACGCAACGACAGATCCCTTTTTGGGGAATGGTCGCGGTCCAAGCGTTCGTCACTAATGGCCCTGAGCCTGGCGTAGACTCATAAGGCCAGTTCCACAGTAGTGGTCTGACTGCCTTGCTATCGTCGACACCATCTGCAGTCGTCGACTGGGCAGTAGACCCTTAAGTCCTACTGAGCGCAACACTGTCAACCGCGACACAATACACCGAGTGGTTCAAGAGTAAACTCTGTAAAAAGCGCAAAAATACGCCCTTACAGAGCTGGTGCAGAGCGCGTCTGGTAGCCAGCCTATCAGCGGCATTTTGGTCTACTAGTTGGCAGTGCGTCGACTCGGTATTTGGGCTTTGCGTTGTCATTTAGATGCTGTCGCTACAAGGGATCTTAATACTCCGTATTAAGTGTAAGGGCAACCTCGAACGGGGGTTCCCCTGACATTAAGTTCTGACTTGTTATATTGTTGGTTGTGATTGGATTAGTGTTGGTTTTGTTTGTATAGAAGATATTGGTTGAGACACCACTGTTTGCTATATATAAATTATTGTCGGCGACTTCGTCTTCCGCGACTATTGATCTGCATCTATTGAGAGTTGTGATACTGGTGCTCTGTCCACCCCGAAGCCCTCGCATCTTTCACACATTGAGAAGCTGATTACGAGGAGTGTGAACGTGTTTATATTCGGGTTTACTTTCATAGTAGATTCACCTGTGAGCACGCCCTCAGCATTTCAACGCCTTGGGCAGAGGAACACCAGTGTTGTAAAGGCACCTTGCAATCTCGCTGCTCAACCCGCGCTCGAGGAACTCGATAAGGATGTTGTCCTGATCTCCCTTCTTGTACTCGCCCTTGTCATTGGTCAAGGTGACCACGTTGTATCCTGCGTCCGCAGCCAGCATCTCGAAGTCGGAGATATAATCCGCAAAGGATCACCTATTCTGGCGTAGAGCCATAAGTCGAGCGGCGGCAACTTGCTCCACGTTGGAATCCCCAAAGGCCCTCTGAAGCTCCTCCAAGAAGGTCGTTGAGGTGACCCTGGCCTTCAGTCCATTGAGGCTTTCGAAGTTGCGCCGTTTCCAGTTCATTGCCCATCTTGAGGCGGCGCAGCTCGTGCCAGCCTTGTTGCGGAGGTACAAGAGGATAAAGAGGATTTTTGTCTTGTCCTGCGAGAATTCCGACCAATAGGCACCGATGTAGGTGGTGCACAAGTCCACGAAGCCCATATATCTGGACTTGTCCCCATCGAAGTAGGGGGGGTTGGCGGCGAGGGTGATGCGGTGATGTCCTGACATGGTACGAGCAGGTGTGGTAGGTGGGGGTGAAGGTGGTGGTTCGGAGGGGAGTTTGTCGAGGTCAGGGATCTCGTCTTCAGGCGGCGGGAGGGCAAGATAGGGGTTGGAGGGCCTGTCGCAGACAATACCGCGCAGTGGAGATACGACCAGTAGCGATCACCTATAAGACAGAGTCTCAGCGAGTGTAGAGACACAGGAGCTAATCATTAGCTGTACCTATAAGACAGAGTCTATGGTACAAGTCATAAGTAAGGTCATTAGATCGTAAGAGAGAATGCATACCTCAGCGAGTGTAGAGACACAGGAGCTGAGGATATGGAGCGTATAGTACTAGGTTTATATACCAGTCTGGAGCAGATATCATGATGTCATAGTGGAGTAATGATATCATAGATGAGTAATGGATGACACAATAATGAGGTCAGGTATGAGGTCATTGTGGAGCGAGCCAATGTAATCTAAGAATACTACTTATGATGTCATGTCTACATACTGTGATAGTCGCTAATACAAACAAGCTTCAACACTCCCACTCGACTAAACAGTCGGATCACGAAGACCCAAAGACAGCCGATGTTGTTGGAACTTCACCCATGCCAAAGACTTTGTAAGCGTGTCGGAGATCATCGCATCAGTCGGCACATGGTAAAGTTGGACATTGCCAGCTTCGACGGATTCTCGTACAAAGTGATAGCGGATGTCGATGTGCTTCGTCCTCCTATCATGAACTGGATTTACTGCCATAAAGATAGCGCCTTGGTTATCAACACAAAGAGGCGTGGATGGCAAGTCATATCCGAGCTCAGTCAACAAAGTGCGGATCCAGGCAATCTGGCGCGTAGCATCGCTCAGAGCCATGTATTCGGCCTCTGTTGAGGACAAAGCGACCGTGGGTTGGCGTCTAGAAACCCAGGTCACTGCACAACCGGCGATGAAGAAGGAATATCCCGTGGTGGAATGCCTGTCGTCTTTGTTCTCCGCTCAATCAGCATCGGAATAACCGATAAGGCCTGCGCCAGTGGAACCATCATAGCAAAGTTGGTAGTTTTTGGTGCCCTGAAGGTACCGGAGTATGTATTTTGCCATGTTCCAATGATGTTCTGACGGGTTGCTGTTGAACTTTGATAGACGGATGACTGCATAGGCAATGTCGGGGCGGGTACCAAGCATGGCGTATAGAAGGCTGCCAATCAACTGCTGGTAACGGGTACAACGGTCTTCATCAACTTCTCCATCATGCTTCTTGAGCACGATGCCGGAAGGCAGGGGAGTACGAGCTTCTTTACACGAAGACATCCGGAAACGTTCTAGAACTCCTTCGATATAGGAAGTCTGATCGATCCAGATTTTACGCGCTTTGCGATCACGAACTATGTTCAGACCAAGGAAATCCTTCGCAGGACCAAGATCTGTCATTTTGAAGCGGTTCGCGAGCATTGATTTGATCCGCGCTATCTCCGGCAGATTGTTGCCCATAATGAGCATATCGTCAACATACAGCACCAAGATGATGACCGTATCTCCCATTTGCTGGCGATATGTGTAGACACCGGCGTCAGAGTATGTCCGAGCAAAACCAAGTTCGAGGAGGGCATTGTGGATTTTGATATTCCACTGACGAGACGCCTGTTTCAACCCATAGAGTGATTTACGAAGGCGTGCCACCTTTTCTTTTGGCCATGACGAGAAACCTTTGGGTAATTCCGGAAGTTCCATATAGATTTCTTCCTCCAGATCCCCGTTTAGGAATGCCGTTTTGACATCCATGGCATGAATCTCCCAATCTTCGAGAGCAGCCAGAGCCATAAGTATGCGCAAAGATTCGTAGCGCAATACTGGCGAGAAGGTCTCATCATAGTCAAACCCATGAACCTGAGTGAATCCCTTGGCAACAAGTCGTGCTTTGAAACGACCGTCACGCTTCCTGCTAAACACCCATCTGCATTTGACAGTCTTTCGACCGCGTGGAAGGCTGGTCAGATCCCAAGTACAGTTTTCCTCAAGAGAGTCCAGTTCTTCGCGCATCGCGCGCTCCCACTTGAGTGCATCCGGGCTCTTTGCTACATCCCGTACGTTTTGAGGCAAGTCATGCTCAGCTTGGGCAGCTGATAACATGGACTCAATGCTGCTAGGCCTCTGATATGTAGTTCCATCTGGCATAATGCGGGGCTTATTCCGACGAGGGCGGCGATGGGCAATTGGGCGATCGTCTATCGGGCCAGGCATTAGGGGTACTTCTCGCGATCCCGTGACAGGACCTTGTTGCGCGAGGGGTGCCGGTGGCGGTGGGAGAGCAGGAGGTGGTATGCTTGCATAAGGTGTTGCAGGCACAGGATTATTGATAAGGTCAGGGAAGGTTTCCTCGAATGGTGTGAACGGCTCCGGTCCAGAGGACACATTGCTGGTGACTAGCTTGGACTTGGCAGGGAATACTCGCTCATCAAACTCAACATTTGAAGAGACTCGTATCTTGCGTTGATTCGGATCCCACACTTTCCAAGCTTTTGTCTCTCGTTTGTATCCAACGAAGATGTGGTCGGGGCGTCCATGCTCCAACCCTTTCGGGCGTTTTTCAACATCCACATAGAGAGACGCCTTGCATCCAAACACACGGAAATAAGAGACGTCTGGCTTCTTTCCAAGCCACAGTTCCGCAGGTGTTCGCCATCCCAATCGTGCCATAGGTTGTCTATTATGAACGTGGACAGATGCATCCATAGCACATTGCCAGAAGCCTTTGGATAGGCCGGCATCGAGGCGCATGCATTCCGCTTTCTCGTAGGCTGTGCGATTCCAACGTTCAGACCTCCCATTTTGCTGTGGTTCGCGTGGCGCGGACTTAGGGTGCATAATACCACGTGCATTGAGCCAGCCTGTGAGTTCATCGGACATATATTTGCCTCCACGATCTGACCGGAAGGCCAGTACTTTTGTGCCAAGCTGACGCTCTGTAAGGGCAACAAAGTTTTTAATCGCAGTAGAGGCTTGGTCCTTTGATTTAATGAACACCATCATGCCAAAGCTCGAGAAATCGTCGTAGAACGAAATTGTGTAGCGTGAACCTTCCAACGACTGAGTAGGCCAGGGGCCCATCAAATCAGTGTGGATAAGCTCGAGGGGTTTGCTAGCACGTTTCTCTGATGCAGGGTACGGATGCTTGTGCTGTTTTCCAAGCATACATCCATCGCACATGCTGCGCTGGTCTTTATTGCGTCGCAAGGGGGGAACACCTTCAACTTGTGTCGGCAAGTGAGTAAGGGTCCTCCGAGCCGCATGACCAAAACGCTTATGCCACAATTCACGATCGGTAGTTTCCAGGGAAGCGAGCGCGGTAGACTCGTGAGATGCAGACACAGACGGTGCCACGAGCTCCTCGGGGTAGTACCAGTAGCAGCGATTGCTTGCTTTAAAGGTCATCAAGACATCCCCATGCGCTTTTCCCTTGTTGAGCCAATCCTTGGTGACTAGGATTGCCTTGTTGTCACCAACCACGGTGTAGTAACCAGCCTGATCGAGCGCATACCCAGAAAGGTAACGCCCTCTTATGTGCGGGTTGTAGATGACATCCTTCAGCGTGAAGGTGTAGTCCATGCCACTACTAGTATGACCCCCAACACAATATCTCCAACGGCTTCATTCTTGAAGCGAGCTCCCGACCCAACAATTACATAGGTGTCGATAGGTCTGATGTTGTGAAGATCGGATTGGGTGTTTGTCATATGATGCGTACAACCCGAGTCCCATAGAAAACGAACTTTGGATTCGTCTCCCATTTCTTCAACAAAAATTCCATCATCGATGTGTTTGAGGGAGTCACTCATGAGATAGGACGAAATGTGCATTCCATTGGAGGCAGCTGCAACCGCGGGAGCGGCTACAACTTCTTTTACAGCGCTAGTACCATCACCGCTCTTCTTTTCCTTCTTCTTTTTCTTCTTCCCCTCATCCTGCTTCCCCTTGCCTTTGTCAGAAGATTGACCAGTCGGCTTGAGGTTGGGATACTTCTTGTAGCAGGATGCCGCAACGTGACCGGACTTGTTGCAATGAGTGCAGCGGGTGGCAAGGGACAGAACGGTGGAAATCTTCGAGTTCGACGTCGTGTCGAGGTTCTCGATCTTGATATTCCCTATGATGCTGTTCTTGACATCGACTGGGTTCAGAGAAGCGATAGGACGATTGGCCAGGTAAGAGGTGACGAAACCTCTGCTGGAAGCGGGCAAAGCGGCGAGCATTAGAGTTGCGAAGAGGTAGTCGGGGATCTCGATTCCTCCTTCCGAACACTGGCGACGACGAGTCTCCATTTCCATGATTTGCTTTTCAATGGTGTCACCACCATGGAAGGTGGTGGTGTTTAGGAGGCGGTACTCGACGAAAGCATCGATGGCATTTGGTTGGCCATAATCCGTCGCCATCTTCGCAAAAACCTCGCGCGCAGTGCGCTCCCGCTGACCGTCCATAAAGATTCCCTTGCGCAGATTCTGGGTAATATAAACCCGCGCAAGACCCAGTGCCTTTTCATTGGCAACGTCCCATTGATACTGGCTGTCACCAGCCGTTCCAGGACGCTCCATAGAACCAGGGTTCGAGGTAGATGTGCCGTTAACCATGATATGAGTGGGTTTAACCACTCCCCAAGTGCCCTGATGCATGCAGATGCTCATGTAGTTGTCCGACCACGTATTCCAATTGGTGCCATCGAAGACACTCAGAATGGAGTTGTTGAGTTTCTCGATTCCCGACATGGTGGGGAGATACTCGATAACGTCGGCGGTTTGATAGTGGAGAGAGGGAAATTCGATATAGGGAGGATCACCAAATAGGGACCGAAGCTCAGGAGTCCAATCATCCTGATGGTGAAATAGATCTTCGTTGTCGTGTTCACCAAGTTCGTATAGGTCTTCCCAATCGGTGTCTTGAAGGGTAGTGTAAGAAGGTCCCTGAGCCCAACGAACAACAGGAAATAGGATAACCCCAACGGGAGGGTCGTCTGGTGATGACAGGGTGATAGAGATGAAGACTAGAGCAACAAAGTCAGCCCCAGATTCTCTGCAGACCAAGAAACAAATCCCAAGTGCCAAATCTCTGAAACGAGAACGACCAAGCGTCCCCATCCCATCCATGATGCCCATATACGCGCGGGGAATGATAACGAAATAAAGCGGTATAGTAAGTGCCCATATTTGTATCAAAGTAACGTAACTATATACGTCAGCGGCGGCAGTACCCGACGGTGATTACTGCCCTCGCAGTCCGTCACTGGCCAAGGGACACGTGCCCAAGGCCGTCCCAAGCACCGGGTTTGGCCGCCCATCTTCTCCCTTTTAAAGACATGCATACACGCAGAGCGTCATTGCATGAATCCTCGTAGTGTCACCAGCCCGCAGGGTCCCTTGTGAGGAATGCGAGTCAACCCCGAAGGATTGTTTTGCCTGGCGGAGGGATTGACCTCCAGCAGCTGTTGAGAGCTACCACACCACCTAGGCGCTTCGCGCAAGGTTCAGGAGTGGGATTGACCAAAGGACCAGTGCCTGGTGGGTATGTCCGCTGTACAATAAAAAGATGTAACGTAAAACGCGCGCGAGCAATCATGGACGGAATAGCTAACAGCGCGTCTGCCAACTGAATGACTCCCTGACGCTGCTCGCGTAACCCCTTGAGGGTGAGAGCACAAATGCGAGGACCGACATCCAGCAAGTGGGACGAGCGCACAAAGACGGCGCTCCAGAAGGGCTGAACGAGTGAAAGATACTCGCCTTAGTAAAGGGAGTAGTTCGATGTTTCTTGATTTGCCGCTAGTGGTTCAGGCGGGGCCCATAACCTGTCGCAGACAATACCGCGCAGTGGAGATACGACCTGTTGAATTTCAGTAGTATCCCCGGGATGCAGCTCGGCTGTCCCGGAACGTTCCAGATCATTAGATAATTGTCTTTAGTCATATACCAGTAAATAGAAGAATATTCTAGATTACTAGTATTACTACTATATAACTAAGCTTGTATGTAGTGTACGGGCATCAGTTTGCCCTAAAGCAATTCAAGTTCAATTCTCATTGCTATTGCAAACCTACACTACAATTATCTAATCGACCCTTCGACCCATTTTCCCCAACACAAACTGATCTCGGTTCACGTCACCGATAACCCGACTATCCCCACATGGCAGACACCATCACGGCCAATGCATTTCGGATCGAGCCGCTTGCCGGTTCATCAAACTATGGAGCGTGGAAAGTCCAGATGATGGACATTCTAACAGAACAGAATCTTGATGATCATGTCGACGATTCCGTTACGCCCCCAGATGATTCCGAAGCATCGAAGAAGAAGGTCTGGATCAAAAATGATCGCCGAGCCCTTTCATCGATCAGACTCCGTGTTGCCCCAGCTGTCGTTCAGCACGTCCAGGGGGAGACCACTGCTCTAGGTGCCTGGCAAATGCTGTCACACCTATTTGAGCTTAAAGGCCAGATGGGCCTAGTCCTCGCGCGCCACAAGTTCTACAGTACCCGCGCTAACCCCGAAGAACCGCTTGAGCCGCACATCAAATTGATGCGACAGATCCAGGGAGAGCTGACATCGCTTGGTCACACGGTTGATGATGCTGACTTTGCTGTCACACTTCTCAGCTCCCTTAGTAGTCAATGGGACTCATTTATTCGTGCTGCACTTGCTTCCCCCACTGCCCCAACCTCCAAAACCACCATCTCCTCAATTCTCACAGAGGAAGCCCGCCGAAACAATCATCCTGCTGATGCTGGTGAAATTGCGCTTACTGTACGCACTGCCACCCGTCACATCAACCGCTTCGTCCCGAAGAACCATGCCATCACCCCTTCCAATTCCCACACACGCCCGGCTAACTCCGCTACCTGCCATAAATGCGGCGGCAGAGGTCATTTTGCACGCGTTTGCCCAACACGCGACAGTGATGACAAAGAGGGAGAGAGCAATCAAAATGGTGCTCATTTCTTCACAGAATCCGATCTGGTGGACAACGACGATGATTATGCCTTCTGAGGCACCCCCCGAAAATTTCCGACAACTTCTTTGATTGACATGACATGATGTGAAGTGATTTAGCGTGTCGCGGCAGTAGGGTGTGAAGGGCAAAGTGCCGGTCCACACTGGGCACTGTCAAGCATGGGGCAAATCAGGGCCACAAATATTTCTCGAGTTTTTTCTTTTGTTTTTCTGTTGTGCTCCGGTCCAGCCACGCTGAGGGAGAGTGTTGAATTTCAGTAGTATCCCCGGGATGCAGCTCGGCTGTCCCGGAACGTTCCAGATCATTAGATAATTGTCTTTAGTCATATACCAGTAAATAGAAGAATATTCTAGATTACTAGTATTACTACTATATAACTAAGCTTGTATGTAGTGTACGGGCATCAGTTTGCCCTAAAGCAATTCAAGTTCAATTCTCATTGCTATTGCAAACCTACACTACAATTATCTAATCGACCCTTCGACCCATTTTCCCCAACACGACCAGTAGCGATCACCTATAAGACAGAGTCTCAGCGAGTGTAGAGACACAGGAGCTAATCATTAGCTGTACCTATAAGACAGAGTCTATGGTACAAGTCATAAGTAAGGTCATTAGATCGTAAGAGAGAATGCATACCTCAGCGAGTGTAGAGACACAGGAGCTGAGGATATGGAGCGTATAGTACTAGGTTTATATACCAGTCTGGAGCAGATATCATGATGTCATAGTGGAGTAATGATATCATAGATGAGTAATGGATGACGCAATAATGAGGTCAGGTATGAGGTCATTGTGGAGCGAGCCAATGTAATCTAAGAATACTACTTATGATGTCATGTCTACATACTGTGATAGTCGCTAATACAAACAAGCTTCAACAGGGCCCGGGTTTGTTTTGATGCGCCAGATCGGGCGACAATGGTAGGATGGGAGGAGGGGACGGACTCCTAGACAACGATGGGAATCGGTACGAAATGGTGAATTCGTGTGCTGTACAAGCACTCGAGGGAGGGTTCTTTTGCTAGCAAAAAGATCCCGGGCCTAGCTCTTCATGTGCCTGTTGATCCCGAGGTGCGTTTTCCCAAAGGTCTCCGCAGCACTCCTTGTAGCTACCGTAAGGCTTGGGTCGGGCTCAACGTTACCCATGGCCTGGTGCTGTTTGCTCGAGATGAACCCTTCACTGCGATTGCAGAGAACGACTAGATGATTCGGTAAAAGGGTAAGTGGATTGAATAGGGTGAAGAGGATGTAGCGGGCGTAGCGGTGAGAGGTGCAGGGTAGGAGGTAAGAGGTATGAGGGTTTGAGGGAGTCTTCGAATTATGTGACAATCAACTAAAATAATAGTCGAAAAGAGAAGTGAATTCGAAGACTGGAGAATACAACCAAGTAGCTACAGTATTTATACCCAAATCCAGTCTGAGTCATATCTACAACTAATGAGTCATAGGGCTATGTACCGCATGGAACGCTGGTCATGGGTTGTAGTAGAACCTTCCAGAGCATATGTTGCGCAGCCTTGAATTGATAAAGATGACCCCTGTCCCCTTAGCCCGGACTGTCAGATGCCGTGGTCTGCGATAAGATAATCCGTGTTGAGATAAGATGAGATTGTCGAGGATAAGATGAAAAAGAGTCGAATTATGACAGCAACCCAGATAGAAAGCTCGCAGTACATTGTGATCTGACCCTGTGCCTCTGTCCACTCACTTGGACTAGACGTGTCAGCAAATCATGTCAACCATGTGTTCAATAACCCACCAAACCCTTGGAGCAGCACAGTCTTCAACCCTCTGCCTCCAAACATACGGCCAACTCGAGAGGTACTTTTGATCTGTTACTCAATGCTAGTACTGATCTTGTCTCAGTTACAAGATCAAGCTGATCATGCTCTTGATCTAGTTAATAACAGCTACATTACCAGTCTTCAACGGAGTGGCAGCGCTCTCTCAATTGCAAAGAACAAGCTCCATGGAGCTGCCAGTACCCGGCCTGCCGTGAGCATCATTCAAGTCAAGGTGCAGGAGTTTAGTGTCAATCCGGGACTCTGTTCATGATGTTTTGTGACAGCTCACAAAAGTTTACAATCTCTATGGAACTGGAGCTGGTAGAACGTCCCACATGTTGCCTCAGATGGTCAGCTTCAAATCTTTGTGCCTTAGAATGATAGCACCAAAGCTTGTGTCATTGTCTCACTGGCTGCTGCCATCAATTGGCACTACATGACAACGTTTCACACAGCAATTACCAGGTAAGTTGAAACTTACTTTCTCGAATCTGACATCAATACACAGCACACAGCACAGGGACGACATCACATTCCAGCACTCAAACGCGAAGACTGAGTTGAATCCTGATCAACTTGACGGGACTCTGGGTGACCTCTTCCACCACAGCACCACACCGGCTGTTTCTCTGAAACAGCGCACTGTAAAGATCCTCGAACTGATCATTGGTGTTCGTTATCCTTGGCAGCATGATAATGTTTTTTTCTTCTTTTTTTTTCTTTAACACCTGATCACTCTGATTCTTTCGATAGAATGATGGTGATTATGGTACAAGCACAAGTACTAGCAAGAAAACTAGTGGGAGAAAGCGGAACCGTGATATGATTGAGACGGGATCTTCTGTAACAACATTGAAGTGTGTGTTTTTTTGATTAAATTGTATGTATCTCAACTGACCATTGGCATCCTAGGCCGTTATGTGCCTGCTGGAGCAAGTGTCTATCAAACATCACTTTCTGCCACGTCTTGCAGTCAGCACGCACCGCTGACAAATATGACCAAATACAAAGTTTTGCAAATGGATTACGAAACTGATGGCATGTCACCAGGGGAGTGGGTCGAAATCCCAGACAGTGCAGTTGTGCACATTGGCTCGATCATTGCTGCGGGGCAAACTAAAGAGATGTCTGTGGTATGTCAGATCACTCAATTGATGTAGATATTGCTAACATTTGATCGAGCTGATTTTGCATGGCAAGAAGTATGTGACAATCAACCAGAAATAAAGTCGAAAAGAGAAGTGAATTCGAAGACTGGAGAATACAACCAAGTAGCTACAGTATTTATACCCAAATCCAGTCTGAGTCATATCTACAACTAATGAGTCATAGGGCTATGTACCGCATGGAACGCTGGTCAT